GTTAAAAGTAATACAAATTTCGAAGGTCAATGACATTTGCGAAATATTTTGTTATCTTCTATATCTTCTATATATATAAAAATGGATTGCTGTTCCTTAGTCTCGCTAAAACTCGAGAACAGCTGAACGGATTTGTCTTATCTTAGTCTTGAAATGTTCGTGGAGGTTCAGGGAAGGTATAAAAGGTGAGAAAAATTGGAATAATTGCCGGGAAAACCCTAAAACCAGCCCTTTTCTATTTCCCATACAAACGCTTTTTTTGACATTAGATTTGACAACTAACTAATATGTCAATCATTCTGTTTGATTGAAACAGGAAAAACCTGATTATTTATGGCCTCTAAGACGGAATAGAGTTCGCCTGGTCAGCTATACATATATTACTAATGACGAAACTAACGCGGACGAAGTCGCGGGCAAAAACTAGTGTTTAATAAATCACTCGATTAAATTTGCATTATCTTTTTCTTATATTGCAACAGTTTAATAAATTTTGTAAAGCGAAAGAATAATTCAAAATACTACAGTAATTTAACCAATTTTTGCTACGAGATCACACATCTAAATCTTTCTTAACACAGTGTAAAAGAAATAGGTTTCTTTAAAGTACGTTAAATATCATTAAAATTTTAAAATTAAAAAGTCAATGGCGGTAATTTACAAAAAAGGTGACGCGAAGATATTACAGAGTAAAAAAGGAAGTATAGTTTCACGGAAAAAAAAATATTAAGAGAAAGTTTAGTTATGAGGTGGCATTCCGACACGAAAGCCGGGGTCAAAATGTTTGTCAAGGAAGTCGTTCTGCGTATTGTGAGCTTGTCATAGAGGCCCAAATTGAGACGATGACTCTGTTTCGTCGTCTACTTTCACCCTTAATTCATTTCCATGCTTAGATTTGATATTTTAATTGAATTAAAATTCAAGAAAAACTTCAATTTATGTAACTATTTTAATGTCAAATTATTTATTGACGTGACGGTATGGTGTTGCCATTTTTTAATCATTTTTAAATGTTAGTTATGCCGCAATAGAAATATAAGTAAAATTAAAAAACTACTTAATTTAATAAAATTTTATTATAATTATCATAGTTATTTTTTTATATAAAAGTTATTACGGAATAGCTTTATGCTGATAATAAATTTTTTTGAAGTCAGCGAATCATTTAGGCGCATCTCATTTCCTTTTGTTGTAAATGTCGGTTAACGCGCCAAAACGCGTACATTTTTCGTAATTAATCTTTACATAGTTTCTTCATAAAAGTCGTTTCCTAAGGGAAGTTGCTTCAACATAGATCTGGGTCAGTGTCGTATTTTACGCTATAGTCATTTTATTAATATGTTTTCTCCTCTCAAAAGTGCTATTTTATTACTACGACTAGTGTTACGACTCTTAATAAAGCACGATATTAAGACGGGGTCAAAAGACTATTGTCGTTTACCCAATTATTGCCACGTGAGAAATATCATTCCGTTTTGGCGGGAGGTGAAAGTGTTTCACAATGAAAATTAATTTAGATTCGTAATTTTGTAACGAACGAAATTTTTATATGTGTGTAATATATAGATGAAAATAACATTGAAGAATAATTTTTAAGAGTATTTAGACATTACTGATTAATGCGTTCCCAAAGAGGGTTGATGTCAGGCAGGCGGCCGGTCGTAAAAACAATTAGACATAACTATTCACAACATGTAAAGCAGGCCCTGGCTAATGCTAGGAAATTGCCAGGTAGAAGAGAGAGAAGAGTGAATACCGAAGAATATTTCTAAATGCATTACGTCGAATTATATGTGATTTTATCAACCGCAATTTCGTATAATAATTGCTAGGACGTATCGTTACATGGAGATAATTTGATAATTATTAATTTTATATTGAAATTATTGACTGTATGAGGATGTTATTGTTAATAGGGCTAAATTTTAGCAGGTGCTAAGAAAAGGTCAACGTACTTTATTTCTACCTTCGTTTTTGAATGTTGAATTAAAGAAAAATTTCTTTATTATGTATTATTTTATATACTTATCCTTTAATTTTTGTATTTTTATCACAAAATTATTGTAAAGCTTTTAATTTGTACTCGTATGGATCCTATTTAAATATCTTTATACTGATAGGTCTTTACCTAGGATGCATTTCATTTCTTATAAAGCGGATCTGTCGAGTACCATCATTTACATTGCCCGGTGGGTTGCAAGTCGACCTGGTTATACCTAAACTAACTGCGTATTGGAATACGTAACGGTACAAAAACTGGTCGAACTCGATACTCAACATAGTGGAATTTACTAATACAAAAACATATTATGAAAAATCAAATTATATATGAAAAATAACTGCATTTTATTTAGAATCAAACTTAATATAGGTAAATCTTGTATCAAAATGAATCAGCAAATGACATCAGTGAAGACAGCTAAGTTCAGAAATTCCGCTGTCGAGTCTCGTGAAAGCGCTTTCGAATAGCTCATATAAAACCAAACCCATAAACTAGACTCAAGCATAGTTTAGTCATCTAGTAATTTTTTATTATTATTCAAATTTATATTTACGTTTTTGTGAATGTTATTTCTTACTTGTAATAGAACAGTTAGGTACACGCAAATTGATTGAGCAAATTGTTCGTATCATGCTAGAAATAACGGAAGAAATATTGTCATAGTTTTCAATATATTGAATAATATTTATTCAACCAAAAATGTGATATAATTCGAGAATAACCGAATGTTATTACATGTATGTGATGAAGATTTTGTATATATAAATGTGAAAGTTTATGTATTAATGGGCTATCATAATTTATTGTCGGTGAGAGATCGTGGGCGGTTTGCGGCTCGGCCCACTTATAATGACTGTCAAACGAGGAATCCACTTGTTTACAGTTCTTATCTATAGGACATTCAACTTAGTCTACTTAAAATAAAAAAAACTATTTGATTAATTATATTACACATAGTCTTTGTACATTTATCTGTTACAGAAGCGTTTAAAAATCATTAGCATCCATCATGAGTGATAAATATTTATTACAAAAATTTTATTACTTACATAATGGATGCGATTATTCAATTCACTTCGAAATTTTGAAACTATATATATATTTTTTAAACTTAATTTGTTATTTGAAGCAAAGGTTACTTCTATTCAGCCAATAAATAAATTTAATTAAGAATATGTTAGTCAAGTTTAAAGTCACACTTGTCACTATTAGTTCGATCTTATCGAAGAAGACATTAATGTATCTAAATAGAAAACTAATAACGGCTGTTTAAGTTGAAAATTATGGAAAATTGGATAAGTGAAGTCCAAATTAGGTGATCATTCCACGACTGGAGCTCAGACGGTAGGTCATCACGCTTTCTTACACCTGGTAATCATGTCTTTGATGTGACTACGACTCATGGAACTACTGACGCTAAGTGCTGTTATTACTGAGCTATTAATGTGTCGATTCCGTAACAAACCGATTTTCACACTGGCTCATTTATTATTTATAGGATTTCATCGGTTTTTGACGACACTAATTAAAATGACAATTGATATTTGACATTTCACAATAGTTTTGACAGAAATTAAAAAGATTCATACTTATAATACTTCCTAATAATAAAACGGATTTGTATTTTGGATGTCATTTTATAAGAAATCTAGTATAAAATAGACATGTTATAAAAAAAATATTATTCAACTTCCAATAAGAGAATATATATACTATATATATTATATTTAATATCTTCCACAAAAACATCAATCTCTATCATACAAACTTTGTATGCAGTAAAGAAAATCATTGTCATGTTGAAATAGTTACATTTCAAAACGTTATTCTTACTCTACCTTTACGTCACATGTCACAGAGTGCATATGTAAATAGACTATAAATTGATATTGCACTATTTTTCACCAGTCTTGCGCAAAAAGGTTTGTTATAATTAAAATACTTATTGGTTTAATATATTCAACAATCTGTTTAGAGCATTTTATACATCTAAATGTAATATTTATAATGCAATGAATATGACATTTTAAAAAGTTACCCGCGTTTATTTAAATAAAGTAGATTAAAAACAAAAATACAAAAGTTCCATTATCAAAATATTTTGTGTCACCGATATTTATACAACTAATTCGTTTAAAAGGTTTAAAATTTCACAAAACTCGACATTTTGGCGGGAATATTTTATTTGATTTCAAATGAAAATATGAGAACATAATCTTTAATCTACGTACCATTATGATTTGTTGAGATAAAATTGTTGAATTCTCCATACAGTTGCCAAGTCATCTGACGTCGTAAAGCAAAACTTTCACTGACACTTGCCCTCTAGCCCGATAGCCTACGGGCATTTCTAAGTAACAGGCAGATACGCTTAAGATTAAACAACTAATTTATTTCTACATCTCTGGATTTAACTGGAATTTCTTCTCTGTTACTTAATTTAAATATATATATCTAGGTATTAAATACTCTGTCGTATAAAAAATATTTTGTAAGATATATATCCAGACAACGGATAATTGACAAAAAGTATTTTCTAAAGCTTCGATGTAAAAAATAAATTGATTATTTATTTTCAAAATAATACTCCATTCTCAAAATTCTTAAATTTAAATTACTTTACTAAGTTTACATATATAAAATTTTCTAGAAAGGAAATGAAGAACATAAAACAATTGCAATGAATCGTTATCTAGATGATATTTTTTTTTATATTGTGAAACAAAGTGTTGTAGAGATAAAACTTGTGGGATGCCATTACCTGACGCGCTTTCACCTCACAGAAACAAAACGGATTCATTTAAATCATGAAACATTTCAAATTTGTCATGTTTCACGGATATTCAAAAGGCGATGACGCGTTAAAAATTTTGGCCATGCCTCGCTCGAGTTACGACTTTCATCTTAATCGTCACATCCAAATTCGTGGAACGGTCATAATGATTATATAAAAAAAAACTTAATTAATTTAATGAATCACAATCGTATGGCAAAATTATCATTTATTCATCACAAACGGGGCTACAAAGAGGTCTATTAATAATAGGATAGCTGCTGCGGTGCTGAGTGATATTTTAATGATCACCTGTCTTTTTAGCTGGACTCCTAAAGCTTGGAGTAGTTCGGCCACCACTCGAGTCAGGTCACCAGAATGTCGCCAACGACGATATATTACGACAGCATTAACTGCCATCAAGACCGAACCGGTTCCACTTAAATAAGCCTATCATTAAAGATCAAACATTAAATAAATATTCTCGAAAATTCTCTCAAGATAATTGTATAAAATAGCATATAAATTTACATATTCTGTTAGACCTACTATATCAAATACAACTGTTGAATTTTAATCCAATTTTACCTGAAAGGCCAAACTCTTGCAAGTATTGACAGCAGCACATAAAGCTAGTCCCAGTATCCCGATGGTATAAGTGACCAGTATACCGCCTGTTACCGAGTGTTCCCATCGGAATACTCTCATTGACCGCAGATGAGATGTCAGCATCGCAACCACAATTACCAGCGTCACTAGACGAAGTGTTAACAACGGCGTGCGACTCTTCTCCTGGTCGTCAATCTGACTTTTAAACAGCGCCAACGATTTTCCGCTCATTTTTAAAATAAATATATACAAACAATTTAATATTATTCTATAATAAAGAATATTTAACACATTTTTACGTCGGATTCTTTGGTACTAACTGATTGTCTTTTTGAAAGTGTCTGTCATAATTTCATTTTAAACAACAAAGTTTGATAAGTTCAGTAATCAGTCTATTTGAGTAAAGTCTATTTTGTTGATAGTATTTTTATTTAGAGGGATTTGAATGTGACAAAGGAGGTTTAATTCAAGTTTATTTCTTTTCAGGTTTAGCAGCTTCTTCTTGTGGTTTCCCTGGAGCTCCTGCTCATTGCACTGTTGCATTTTCTGACGATAATCTGACAGAAGGCACTGTGGCCACATACGCTTGCGAGCGGGGCTTCGAACTTCTCGGACCTTCTAGAAGGCTCTGTGATAAAAACGGCAAATGGACCCCCGACGGGATACCATTCTGTGGTGAGTAACTTAGGTCTTAAATGAAAAAAAGTTCGTTTAATCTTAAAGCGATCTTATCTCAAGTCGTTGACACATAAAACCAACATGGTAATGGATTTTATAACCATTTAATGACGTCTGCAACCATGGTTTGTAACCAGATATCAATCGGTATGGTTGCATTGCTTTAGTTAATTTCTATTCAAACATATTTGCTTAACTAGCCTAGAAGTTAACAACTTTGACTCAGAAGATTAATTTCTGAATAATGGACGATAAATTTGGATACGTTTAAGAAATATACGTCATATTATAAATCGTGTCGAGTGCTAGCACTTTATCACTTGTTATTGAGCTATTACGAGAGGCTCCATAACGTTACAGTGCTAACAGTTGTATTTCCGCACCGAGCGAGGCTTCTGCTGACCCACTTTTACTTTCTTCGTCGAGAAATCACTTCACATGGCCGTGAATGGAGACGAAAAAGCGGAGGATTAATAATGCAGCACTCCCACGGCTCTCACCGCACGGAAAGTTGTTTGCAAATAAACACCCTTTGTGTATACGATGCTAACGTTCGTATTGTTCACATAAATCACAGCTGTCGATTATATGTTGTGTCCTTACGTGAAACTAAAATACGATGAGACTTTTGATGGTGTATTCATTATTTTATAATAAAATCATTTAGATTTTTGATTAAAACAACTATCAGATATTGCAAAGTATCAAAACTAAATTAACAAGATACGTATGTAGGTGCATTCTGTTCAACAACAAAAACAAAATATTAAAAAGATAATATTATCTATTACTCAAATTTTAAAAATCCAAAAGTGTTATAAAATACATGTATATACTTGACGTAACTGTATTTAGGTTCGCTGAAAAAAATGTTTTTGTAAAATAACTGTTGTATCTCTCAAGCCTTGTCCAAAAACTAATGTATCTTTTATTTCTCGTTTATACTTATTTTTACTAAAATAAAACCTCCGAACAAAAGATTTCGTCGCCGAATAACGATCATAGATACATAAATGATTAAATTGTGAAATATGCTTTCAAAAGCTATAGTAATTTAAAGACTCTACAGACTTAACCGTTTTAAACCGTCTCTAAGTAAATATAGAAACACAATACAACTTTCCGACTTCATTCTATGAAATTGAATAAAAGAAGTCGGTTCTCAAGGGCATTCGACATTTATCATATAAAAACTATGTATTATTATTATTGTCAAATGATTTCTTTGTATTACAAATTATGCATAATATCTATGTATTTCTTTGAATGCTATAGGCAAAGCTTAATTTCAGTAGCGAGTGTCATTTCGTCATTATTGTTTATATAATTTATTTAAAATATTTCTATCATACAGAATAAAGAAAAACCTTTTATTATAAATATAATTCATCAGAAATATAAATGATTAATTATAATTAATCGATATGTTTTATCGATATATTTGTATCGATACAACGCCGCGTCTAACAGGTGTATACAAGTTCGGCGTCGCGTCCGCCATTGTGCGTCACATTGACCCATTTGTAAATCGTAGCCCGTGGAACTAGTTTGCAAGTTAGATGCCCGCGCTTCCATTTAAAGATCTTCCGTATCGATACGCTTGTTTATATAAACAGAGAGAAAGTTTAAATAAAAATCAGTACAAAATTAGTTACATTATTTATTATATATTGAAATATTTGTAAGTATTTTTAAGTTAAATTGCTAACGCCTCGGGTATTGTTTTTGACAATCCTTATGAAGGATACATTGTTGTGTTAACAAAAGACATTACATATTAAATAGCAATGATAATTCAAATATGCCTTTACAATGAACGCTTTGTTTGCTTATAAATATTATAAATTTATTATGAAGAATGAAAATTGACGTATTTCGATATTTCAAAAAAAATATAGGAAATAATTAGTTATTAGATTGAGTATAAAATTGTATACTAAATACTATTTTTTTATCTCAAAAATTTCTCAAATGAATGAATCAAAACGTAAAAATCAAAAGCAGAAAAGTCCGTTAAGACTTCAAGTCAAATTTGCAACGTATGCAAGGCACTTATAATTTTGGTAATTTAATACGTACCTGTAATTTGTTCTAGAAAATTACCTATAATACACATGCCTAAGGCTCAGACATTAGTTTAAGTGTAACAGATATAAATCAAAGTGACAGAATCGAAGCAGCTCCGGTGCAGGTGCGGCGAAGAACCACCGTTAATCTAGCACACTTATACGTTAGCCGTTAAATACTCTAGGGATTCCACGCGATATGTCGACATTAAATACATTTTATCGATAAATATATTATAATTAAAACTATATATATACATTATTTCACACGTAAAAGTTTCTTCATGATTTAAAACATCGCTATTATGTTGTATGTTACGCTAGTGTCAAAAGTTGCAGTTACTGTAGCACATTTCTAAGTCGTCATGTTATATGAAGATATTTAACGAATACACTTCACTAAAATATGAATTATTACGTCGTTGACAACCCTGTGATAGTCAAAGTAACAGTTTTGTTTACACATTCCTAGCGAGCTTGAAACTGTACTAATGAATTACTTCCTTGTTGCACCATTATTATTATAACTTTAAATTATGATATTAAATAAAATACATGATTTATAGTATCAAATTTTTGAAATTATTCTTATATGATAAATAAAACACACTCTGAAATATACCGCTATTAAATAAATCTTTGAACGCAGCCATTAATACATTTTTTAATGCAATTTATCAATTACTTGAGCATGTGCCGTGTTTAAACTGCAAACACGTGCTGCAGGAAATGAGAAAGAAGTCTTCATTCTTCAAGTGTTGGAAGAAATTTTTTTTATTACATGATATGATATTCGAACTTATTTTACTATTTATTGACATTGACATGTCACCATCAGTACAGATTATTGTATGTCATAAAAAAGTGAATTTATGACACTGACACACAGATAAAATAACAGAACCAAAATAGAATTATAGTCGCATTAATAATTGTTGATAATAACAAGTAACGGTATCCGAGGAGGCATCAATACAAGTCGTCGAGTTGTTAATATGCCGACAAATGCATGCAAATTAAGAAGTCACGGTCAACAAACTAACGGTCCATTCGCATTGCGGCGCCGGGAACAGATTGTGCACTTTTTAATTTACCTATATAATATTGGAAATCTATATACATAGTTATAAAAACCGCTACACATATATTATAATAATTAAGTTGTCTGACAGCCTCAATCGAATCAAATGTCATTGATCTTGACCTGCCTCAGTGAGTTCAAGTATCCGTTACCGAGTCACTTGTTTATTTGAGACGCGTGCGATCGCAGGCGGCTACTACTTAGTAACAAGCACCTGCTCCATATAAATATATTCTATACTATTATTACTTATACTTCGAGTTATTGATTTCGTTATTTTTAATCTGTTATTAATTGATCGATTAGTTGATTATTAATCTGTTTTCTGATGATTTATAAGCTCAAATCTCAATTGACATTTCAAAATGACAGGTTTTTTACGATAGTATCGCGCGTTATTAATCAATGATGAATTTAAATTTTAAATTGAAGTGTTTTTATTAATGACCTAATTATTTTTACGATGTGATTTGTGTCCAAATTAAGGCCCAGAACTATAATCGATTTTAGTCGCGAATTTTACTTACTTTGCTTGTTTATACAAAGATTATTACAGGTGTTTTATAAGAATGTACATTTTCAAATAGAAGTATGTAGTTTCAAAGAGTAACATATGTATGACGCACGTTTTATTCCCATTTAATATTTAATAGATTTTCTTTTACGAATCAAATGATATAAAAAAAGAATAAGCGTGTTTCGATTGCACCGAATATAAGTCAGGTATATAGCTCTTATAGTTTTTTTGTAACCAATTTTCACTTTCTCTGAACTTTCTCCTTCACATCTTCAGTTTGCATTGTGAAGTCACCAATCAGATTTAGACGAAATATTGTCGGTTAATTTAAATTTAATAGAGAAATGATGACGGCGTTTATTTATAGACATAGACTTGTTTTAGTAAGAATTTACGAAAAACATAAATTATTATGCCGTTAAAATAAAATTTCTGACCTCTTCGTATGGAAATTGGAAAGGTAGTTTTAGGTATAAGAAATTAATAATGAAATATTGATACAAATATGTTTAAATTAAAATTTTATTCATTTGAAACATTTGTCGTGCCTACATGTAGCTTTTTTGACATTTGCAACTTTATTGAACGTGATGATTATACAAAGAAATGAGTATAAATCAGTATAATAAATAAACTTATATGTATTAATGTTTTTTTCGTAGTATTAAATGTAGCGGCCGGGAAGGCTCCTATGCAGATATCTACGGAGGATGGAGGTGTTCCTCAAAGGGCGCTAGATGGCAGCACCGCGGCGGCGTTTAACGCTGAAACATGTACCCTCACTAAAACTGAAAGAGTTCCGTGGTGGTACGTAAACCTACTCGAGCCATACATGGTGCAACTTGTACGCCTCGACTTTGGGAAACCCTGCTGTGGTAAGTCATGTATAAAATTATAATAAAACTAGCTGACACGACAAACGCTGTTAAAATAGTAGTTGGTGATAAAAAAGTAAAAATTTTGGGTTGTATGTAAATTTAATGCCACATTTTAAATAAAGATTAAAAAATTCGCGCGAAATATAAAAAAATTAAGTGAACGACCCTTATCACTTAGGGCTATTAAAAAAGATAGTAACCGATTCTCAGACCTACTGAATACGCCGATAAAATTTTTTAAAAATCGGTCAAGCCGTTTCGGAGGAATAAAGCACGCTACAAGTTCCATAATACATACAAGGAATAAATCGAATTGTTCTTTGTCTGAGTCGTGAGGACACGTTTTGTTTGTTGAAAAAGTTCCTTTACAGGCCAGTGTAATGATGTCTGACCTCGTTGTTTGTTAAAATTTATAAATAAATCAATATAGACATATATTACAAAGGTAGACTTTAGTTTGTAAGGAATTTAAATATGACTATCTATTAACCCTGACTCCGTCTGCGTAAAAAATAACAATGAAAAAAACTTAAGCGATCCGCTCGCCCCGCCTTCCGCTCGCTCAAGATAACGCTTAATTTCGGGTTCGGGATAAAAGGTAGCCTAAGTTACTCATCGTTACATCAGCTACCTGCAACTAAAAACCCCGCAAAAATCGGTCCATCCATTTCAAAGATTAGCCGTAACAAACAGACAGACACAAAAAATTATAAAAAAAAATAATTTACGTATGTATGCGTGAGGTAAAATATGGTTATTTCAATAACATAGACAGACACTTTATATATATATATATATATATATATATATATATATATACAGGGTGACTGGTAAATTACTATCGATACTTGAGGACGTGATATTTGACGATCATAATATATGACAAAATAAAAATTAATATAACATAAATATTAATAAACTTCTAAGTAAAGTTAACCAAAAGTTACGTAATTAATTACGCATCGTGTGAACACCCTACAGATTAGGTATACACACACACACACACACGCGTGTGGCGGCGTGGTGTTGTATCAGCACGCCGCCGCACGCGTCCACATGTGGAACACTTGGAACGTGTCCACACTTTATTTATTTTTTATGGAAATTTGGTCAAAATTAAGTACCTATTTTTTTTACATAATTCGAATGAGAATCATGTACCGAGTATTCTCCTTAAATATTGATAGTAATTCACCAGTCACCCTGTATATACATATATGAAGTTGTATATATAGCTCATGTTTTCGGCTATTAATTTCTCGTTGGTGTATTGTTGATACTTGGTAGTGTATTTAAGACTCGTTTTACTCTACCATACGTGTCTGCTAAGATCGTCAGTCTTATGACCTATATGTGCAACGACGCTCAAATTCACTCCGCAAGTGTTAACTTACTAATTGAACTCCCCCACACTCGCTTCAATTTCCATTTGACATAGCTCTGCTTTAAAATATAATATTTTTAGGTGTACTACCCTCTTTTTTTGTAATTTGGAACTACCTAGTCCCTACATTTCGGTTATTTTACAGCAACAGTAATCACGGGTAATATTAGTTTCATTTAAATGAATACTCGCGAAAGTCTTGGGTTAGAAAATTACTATATATTTAAACATTTAAAATTAATAACAATGATATTATAGATATATAATAACAAGTCATTTGATAACTGGTTTCTGCCACGCTTATCATGTGGAAAACCTGTGACTTGTGACTTTCCACAACATTTTAATGTCAGTACTATAACAGTATTATTACGAACGGTTTCACGGACAAAGTCGGGTGACAGCAAATTACTTCCAAGTGAAAGTCTCGACAACCCGACGAACTTAGGATGTAACGAAAGTGGCGTAGTGTGAGGGTCGTTAAAAATCAACTAACCCGCTTGTATAATGATCTCTTACTTTGTTTTGTTTAAAACACGGCTACGAATTGCAATTATCGTTTTTGTGAATACCATTTTTTATTTTGTCATGCATATTTACAGGTGTTTTCGTGTACTAAAAGATAATAATGCGTTTAAAATAAAAATATTTATAAAAAAGTTAGAAATATGATTGTCTGATATTATCACTACCAAAATGGGACTTTGAGTGAAACAGGCTTAAATTTAAAATGTGTTTTTTATATGAAATGATTAAGAAATTCCGATTTTGTATATATATTGATATATATAAACATCTCTATAGATAAAGATTTATTGCTATTTACAACACGAAATCCCAACATATACACTTATATGTAGTACCATTTGCCTGTACACACTAATTTACCTATAAAAAAAAAATTGATTTCTTGTTAGGTAATTACGATTGCACCTTGAACATACTTCATTGTATTCTGATACATAATAATAACTTTCAGGTGTGAACAAACCGGCGGTCGTGGTCGTGAGAGTCGGTAATAATCGGCCCGATCTCGGTACGAATCCGATTTGCAACCGATTCACCGGTTTCCTTGAAGAAGGCCAGCCTTTATTCCTGCCATGCAATCCTCCGATGCCGGGAGCATTCGTCAGCGTTCATTTGGAAGGCTCGAATCCTAGCCAGCTATCTATTTGCGAGGCTTTCGTTTATACGGACCAAGCGCTGCCGATAGAGAGATGCCCTCAGTTTAGAGACCAACCGCCCGGCAGTACTGCTACTTATAATGGAAAATGCTATATATTCTACGACCGACAGCCAGCTGACTTCCGAGATTCTCTCGGATTCTGTCGTTCAAGAGGCGGTACTCTAGTGGATGAGAGCAATCCAGCTTTACAAGGATTCATCAGTTGGGAACTATGGAGACGACATCGGTGAGTATTTAAACATTCACGTACATACGATATTCACAATACAATATATACATATAACTCGACGATGTTAAAATGTAATCTTTTCAATGCTGATGCGATTTTAATGTCTCACAAACAACAGCTAATTCATTGCGAATTGTCACAAGCTTTGCGAAATGATGTCTCAATGATTTATAGTTCTGCAAGCTATGTAACGTCGAACCGGCGTGACAACTGCTTACGAGTGATTCAAGCGTGACGATTAACACGTTAAACTTAACGTGTCGTGACTTATCGTGAATGCACCGATAGCTTTTGGTCCTTAAGTTTCACTACACGTTCTTATTGTTTTGCTATAGTATACTGTTTTTGCGTCGGAACAAACTTTCTTGACATTCCACAGTTAAATCGAAACGTATGTCTAACTCAAGTTTCATATGCGTTATTACGAGAACATCCTTTTGTTATAAATTTTGCGTGCAAGGGAAAGTTTCTTCATCTAACCACCCAAAACTATAAAGTCACAGACTAAAGCTAGTGTCATACATACATGTGTATGTGTTTGTGTCTGTGTGTGTGTCTGTGTGTTCGTTTTTTATTACGGTACAATGAACATCATCTCTCAAGTTCGTACCACTTGAATGATCCATTACAGATCCGCTACGCGAACCAGAGCGAGTCAGCCGACTCAATTTCTGTTTCTTTAACTTCACTATTACTATGGGCCGTTATTATAATTTGATGTATTACAACGGGACCGAGCTTACATTTCAACGTCGTACTGTTATTTACGAGTGATGTAATTATATTAATGTTTTTATGTCAAATATATCATTCAAAAAATATCTCAGTAGAAGCGTTGGCGAAATATTTTTTTCAGGTATTTTAAACCACACTGCAACTAATTTATCTCAAAGAGACTGCTAGATATAAATTATATAAAAAAATACATATTATAAAAGAGATTGAAATATTGAATCATTTTAGAAAAGAAGCTATTTAAAGCTTTTTCTTCATATTTAAACAAGTGTTAAATAGTAAAAACATATGACTTTTTCTATAAATGCTAAGAATTTTATCAGTATAAAATGTAAACGTTGATCTTGCCTTATATATTTTTCATATATCCCACATAGTATTTACATTGTTCTGCTGTCAGCGATCATGTTGAGACCACACGTTGTTTAAATCGTTTCGCAATCAATTCCAATAAAACATTACATACTCAACCAACATATTAATAAATATTCTGATAATGCATACACGGGAATCTTTAAAATCTATAGCAATGAAGAAAATTATCGTCGGTATGAGATTTTTTGCTAACCATGGGACTATCTGCCACCAGGAGTGACAGCAGCAGTCAGTATTGGATGGGCGCTGTTCGTGATCCCCAGGATCCTGCTAATTGGAAGTGGGTGAACGGAAATGACGTCACTGTGTCTTTCTGGAACGCTCCCGGCGGGACGGAAGGCTGCGCCAGGTTCGACGGCAGCAAGGGCTGGCTTTGGGCAGACACGGACTGCCAATCGAAACTAAACTATATCTGTCAACACCGTAAGTCCATTTTGTGTTGGGCGTTGCGATTTTTTTTGACACAGCGAAATGATTTTACATATGGTATTTTCTTTGTAGCTAGCGGTTTAAATGTTTTTGTTTTTTTACCAAATGATGTATCATTTTTCCAGAGCCTAAAGCGTGTGGTCGGCCCGAACAGCCGCCGAATTCGACCATGACGACTGAAAGTTTCGATGTCGGAGCTACAGTTGAATACTCGTGTGATGAAGGTCACCTGCTGGTCGGACCTACCGTCCGAACTTGTATGGACACCGGCTTTTACGACGAGTTCCCACCAGTCTGTAAAAGTGAGTTTATTGTGAGAAAATAATGACTTCAAATTCCATTTAAGATGCTAACAGATCAAAAGGATGTAATAACTGTCAATAACAGTTCATTTTTAATACAAAACTGCTTCATTCGTAAACAATTTCGTAAACGTGGATACCATTTAAGTGAAACTAATATTTTCGGATTTTATTTCGCTTATTGATTTATATATTTTCGGATTTTACTTAAAAACGCGAAGTAAAATCCGAAAATATTAGTTTCATTTAAATGAGTACTCGCGAAAATCTTAGATCTCATTACCATATAAGTGTTGATATAAACGTATATATATTTTTATCAGGGATAGAATGCGGTTTCCCAGCGGATATAGCCCACGGTGGCTATAAACTGATGAACTCATCAGTGTCTTACCTCTCGCACGTTCAGTACGAATGTGACGATGGCTATGAGATGGTGGGTAGATCGAGACTCGTCTGTGATATTGATGAACGTTGGAACGGACCGCCGCCTAGATGTGACGGTGAGTAAAGAAAGAAATGACTATAAAAATACTGTGTTTAAGTTAAATATATGAATGATATGTTCAGAATTAGAGATAACTAATAGATTTCACACCTGATTTGGCTTAAAATGAACTAAACAATGGTTATAACGCTCGCAGAAAAAAAGGGATAGGATTTCTTAAAGACATATATGTTATCCAAAATATGCTGCCTATAAAGCAGTCACATATATAATTTACTAGCTGCGCCCCGCGGTGTTACCCGCGGATTTTCGGGATGTAAAGTAGCGTATATGTTATTCCTTAACGTCAGCTTCTTGTATGCAAAACTTTATCAAAATCAGTTCAGCCATTTGAGCGTGAAGAAGTAACAAACATACACACACACTCGCAAACTTTCACAATTATAATATTAGTAGGATATATATCATACAAGTTTTTTTGTCAGCAGTGGTCCAATGCGAACAGCCGCCTCAAGTATTAAACAGTCGCGTCTCGATTACGAATAATGTTTCCGTTTTTGGAGCTTTCGCTGAATATACGTGCTTTAAAGGCTATAAGATGCAAGGAGCGCGTAAAATAAAATGCCTAGCAACAGGAGTTTGGGATAAACCTGCGCCTCAATGTCTTGGTAAGTACTATCTCAAGCTTTAAACTTAGTTTTCATATAGATAAGTATTGATATGTAATCTTTTTAGCTGAAGAGCGTCCTACAACTACTACTACTACTACTACAACGACTACTACTACAACAGAAGTCCCTACAACTATTACTATTCCTACAACACAATTACCAACCAGTCCTCGTTTAATATTACCTACCAGAAGACTCCCAAGACCGTCATCACCGAATCCATTCGTGACTCCCGAACCTTCCAAAACAAGGCCGAGACCGAAATTCACGACTACCGAAAGAACTACAACTAAATCATATGATAAACCTCAAAGGAAAGTCACAATTCCCGACTCACAAGAAAGTTCGTCGAGTCACGTGCCTCACATCATAGTGGCTAGCCATCCGAGGGAGAACCAGGTGAATATATATACACGCTCGATAAATATACTATAACTAGAAGACCCGGCGAACTTCGTAAAAATCAAGAAATATCTGTTACGTTATTTTATTTATATTTTTAGAGTTTTAAGACCTTTAAGCCATAAATCTCCGTGTTTTGAAGTGCGACAGAATGATTGACATATAAATTAAAAATTAATTAAAAAAACATTGTCCAGCGGACAAAATTGTAAATCTAAACCATTCCCAGATCCCCTTGAACACACACAAAAAATTTCATCAAAATACGTCCAGTCGTTTTAGAGAAGTTCAGTGACATAGTGTACTCACAGAAGAATTATATATATAAAGAAAGATACCACTTGGTTATTTGGTTGAGGAATATTAATGAATTCTTTCAAACTCACTCGTGATTATGATTACTAAATAATTTTTTGAATGCCTGAGTTGGGTGTAAAAGAACATTTTAAAGCTACTACATATAAATTAATGGCATTCGCATAATTTAGTGTAAAAAATAGGCTTATGTGCAATAATAATATAATTAACGGCATTTACATAGTTTAGTATAAAATAGGCTTATGTGCTATATAATTTGTAGGTATTCGGAAATGGAAATAATATAAGGGCGGAACAGACTCCTCGTGTGAATATTCCTCAGCCTGTTGACGGAGAGAGGAGAGAGACACTTGGAGCTCGACTTAATATAGGCGCTGTGGTTGCTTTAGGAGCCTTTGGAGCGCTTGTATTCCTAATAGCAATCATCACAACAATCGTCATATTAGTCAGGAGGTGAGCTCAAACTGTTATACATTATATAAGGTACGTGTACCTTAAAATATAAATGCTTCTTCTACCTGGCAATTTAGCCAAAGTCTGCCTGAATGGTTATATGCATAGTTTTGGCTATGTTTTTACGACCGGCCGCCTGCCTGACATCAACCCTCTGGGAATGCATTAATCAGTGATGTCCAAATATTCTTAGAAAGTATATATGAGGAGGAAAAATCAAAATATAAATGCTCTTTATAAATATACCCAAAGAATTGTCGATGGTTATATGGTAACTGGTATGTTACATTACAATGAGTGGTGAGGGCACGCCTCGTTGCCGAGGGCGTGGGTTCAAACCTGGCAAGTACCAATGTGATTTCGGAGTCATATGTACTTTCTAAGAGTATTTAGACATCACTGGCAGATGAAGGAAAACATCGTGAGGAAACCTGGAATTATAGTTTCACATATAAGTTTAAAATCACCAACCCGTCTTGAGCAAGCGTGGTGATTAATGCTCAAACCTTCTCCATGTGAGAAGATGCTCAGCAGTGGGCGTTAATAGGTTGATGATGATGAGTGAGGTATGAATTTTGAAGCAGAAATAAATGGCTAATACCCACCAGTGGCGGCAAGCGTCAGAAGGCTGTTCGCGAGCTGCCTCCTCGCTGGTACACGTTGCTAGCGCTCCCCTTCCCCGACCAGCAGGTAGGGAGGAGGGAGTTCGTGCGCTCACACCGACACACACACCGCGCCGGACATTTCTCCAACCCATTATAGCCAGAACGTTTATATTTTAAGGTACAGCCGCTAAACACGGTTGATGATTTGAACATTAATGTTCGTTACTACAGAATTGCACAAGCACGAGCACCGATATACAACGATGGAAAATTCATTACTATACTTATAAGCGTCACTTCATAAACTGCACGTGATACCAGCACCCACGCATATGAATCAAATTCGAACATCGCTATTACATGTTATTGCTTAATACAATAAATCTAGATATATATTACAATTATTATATAATTACAGGAAACATAATGATGGTAAGCGCTACAGGCATCACGTGTCGCCGGATTGTAATACAGTGGCGTCTCTGGATTCTTCATCATCAGAATCAAGGAGTGGTTTGAATAGATATTATCGCCAAGCGTGGGAGGAATTACACGAGGCTACGGGAGCGAAACACGCAAATAGACGTCATGAGCGAGAAACTCCTAAAGACGGTTCTGAGCTAGTTATATCAGATGTATATCAAACAGAACACAGAGACAAAAGACGCCATCATCATCATCATCACCGACACCAAGACTGGCAACCATCACACCGCCCCCACCACAAACATAAACCTAGATACTAAAACATATATATACGAATAATTTATTTATAATCAGAGATAGTACATCCGTGTAACTACCATTGGATAATTCCGCGTATCTATATCAGAAGCAGATTATCAGAAGAAAGTTTGAGATGAAATATTGCCTATATTAACGAATTTTAAGGTATTTTTTTCACAATTAGGAATAATTTAGTGTTTAATTTATTAATAATTGTGAAAAAAATTACCTTAAAAGTCGTTAATATAGACAATATTTCATCTCAAACTTTCCTCTGATAATCTGCTTCCAATATATATACGCGGAATTATCCAATGGCAGTTACGCGGATTCGCACTATCCCCGATGATATTTAGTTGTAATTTACATTAAGATCAACACCATCTATCGGTTATTCCATTAAACATTCCGATTTTATTCACGTTGTGACGTCATAATGTATTAACGCTGTTATTCGCCTATTTACATACCTACTTAAAATTGCTATATAAGACCGATATTGAAATATGGTTTATATATAAGAAAAATATCTCCTAATTCAGCTGCTTCGTTTATTATTAGGCTGTTATACTAAAATAGATCTATTCTTTGTATAAATTAGTTGGTTTCGTTATATCTGTACATACTCTCCTTGCCTCAGCTATGATTACCTTGATCTTATCTTGACTGTAACTGTTACATAACTATAACTTGGATCGTACAGGCGTTAATGAATAGCGAAATCCGTGTAAATATACTAGTTTAAGATTAGATTGAAGTTAATCATTGTCAGCGCTCTGTAACATAATAATAAGAAATTAAATTATCGACACTAGAACAAAATATTATTTAGATGTTAATTTAATGGCATTTCTTATACGTTTCCGTTACTTACATACAAAGCTTTTTATTTTATACTCATGGTACAAAGTATGTGGAATAAGAATAATAAGTAAGTACAACATTTGTTTCAGCGGGATCACTTTCAAAGTATTAAAGTATATAATGTGCCATTATACGGGCAAAAACCTACTGTGTTAAGTAAGAAAAAACTAAGCGTTAAAAAATCTTATAAATATTCGTTCGTCGAAATACTTTATTTCTTTAATAAAGTTGACGTTTTGTAATATGCTGCAACCATTGGGAGCTATATATATAGTAGATACTAATATTAATGTACTAAAAATATATATACATAGATATATAATTAAGTTTTAAATAGAATATATGGCTTAGAAGTTTAGTTTAATTAAATATGTGATATACAACTGTTTCAATAAAATTATATCAATAAAACAACATTTTTATTTTTAATTACATTTAATTTGTCTATTGTATTAACAAGAAATACATTGGATAAAGTCAATTTATACTGTTTGAAATTACATCACATGCGAAGCCTCAGTGAGAAAAGCACGTAAGAAATTAAACTACAACTATAGAGAAAGTAAAATAAAAAAGAACTTCACAGTGACGCGTCACTTAATCTAAAATCCGGGCGAAATTGTACTAAAATCGTAATATAACAGAAAAAAGTAATCTCAAAAAAATACACGAGTCTAAGTAATTGTGACATCAAGAGGTAAATAGTTAAAGAACAAGTTTATAGTAAAAAACAAAGCAACGATTAGCACAAACTTAACCCATACAAAACGATTATCATGTCCACATACTGTTTCTCATAAATGTCATTCAACGGTCATACATAATTGTGTTAAGTATAAAAATCACAATCTAATATTTAACATAAAAAAGTATATAAAAGAAAAAAATAATTTTTAGTTAAACGATAATACAATGCAAATACTAAGGAATTATTAACGTAATTATAATCTGTTCTTGAACTACGTTAGTCAATTATATGCGATTTCTTTCTATTGTCGTGTAATAATTTTCTTTGAACAATTATCTTACCACAAGCATCAATTGTCGAACTGCATACATAGATTATGTAGTTTTCTATTCATAAATACTCACACTAGATAGTATTGTGATAAATACTCGATACGCTACGTATTCAGTCCAACGATCAAACCTTTAGTAAGAATAAATTTTTATTTCGAAACACATCAAGTACGGAGCAAGCGGACTAGTCAGCGATAGAAACTACAAACATACGTTAATACAAAAATATATATATAATATAATATATACATTCATTTTCTCTTAAAGCTAAATATATTTGGGGATTTATGAAAGCGAGAACGAAATCTATCAGTTTTGTATTGACGGAAAGAAAATATCACAATATAAAGTGTGTTCAGAAAATGTTTAACGATAATAATACTATAGTACAATTGACAATCCCTGTTTGTTATATAAATCCATCTGGAACATAATTTTCATTATTATTATCAATTTGTCAACAAACATTTATAAATGTCATTAAACTTAGCACGAGTTCGTTTCAAACGTAATACGTAGCGTTCCCAGTTTAAATTAACTTTTAACGCTGCGTATAAAGTACGTTTACGACAACTAGTAAGGAGTTAATTCCAACATACAGACAGACAAATATACTGATTATATAACCATATCTCCTTTCATTTACTAAATATATATAATTTGTTTTTATTGGCACTATCTTAAATATGAAAAAGCACATTATTATCAGTTACTTTAATTATATAATAAAATTTAAGATATTCCAATGTCGTCATACCATATAAAACTGTGATTTCTACATTAATTACTATGTAATAACTAACAACTTTCGATCATGTCAGTAATACAACAGATTTAGTAAAAAAAAGCAATGTTAGATCTTAAGATATTAAAAGAAATTAATTTATAACCTTCTAGAATCTTCCATAGAGGGGCACCATTGTAACAGAACGACTTCTAAATATTTTACAATCTATTATATATAAATATTTACTATAAACATTTGGCTCATCTAGCACACCATATTTTGGGACGTTTTAGCAAAAAAATATTAACAATTACATCTCTCGAATAAAGCTATTAAAATATTGTTATATATGACAATAAAGCTTTTATATTCCCTAGTATATAATTTCGTTCAACTATATCTGTATGAAAAAATTATGATATACAAAATTATATTAATTCAAACAAATATATATATTAGAACATCAATTCCAGACAATTATAATTTGTAGTCTTAATTCATCTCTCTCTACTGAAAATAGCGCTGTACAAAAATTATACTATATTTGAAAGCAACATATATATATATATGTATATATATGCATACAACTTGAATTTTAGGCCAATTTTATATAAGAAAAATTTCCAATAAGCGCATTCTTCACATATTTTTATATTGGAAATTAAATAAAGAGAGCAAAACTATTTAAAATATTTCACAACTATATATAATATATATGTAATACAATAATCATTATTGTCACATATATATCATGTGTCACTTATTAAATAAAAATTACAATTTCAATTAACAAGTTATTGTGTTGAAACAATAAATGAAATATTTTGTTTTGAGCTCGCTCCTATGTATTCAACTAAATGCTATTTCACATATAATACTCATATTCATTTGAAAAAAAATTATTGAAGCAATGTCAATAACAAAAATACTATATATATTTTTTTATTGTTCAGTTTGTGTTGAGTGAGCGGGCAGTTGAGTGTATTTTGACTGTTCTTTAACACTCAATAATATTTGTATTGTGAATTATAAACGATCACATATTGTGATTCTTCTTGTAATTTTTCTAATCACCAGCTCTGTTTCTCGATGAATTTTTTCTCCTGTTATAAATAAAACTATTAATTAATCATCGGTCTTAATTTGATTTCTGTAGAATAATCTTTATTTTTAAACTGTGGCATTGAGTTAGCATTTCACATTATAATTGTATATAATCTGTGAGCTTTTGAGATAGAAAAATGTTTTTTTTTTATTAATACGATGATGATGATCTTAAATCTAGAAACAATTGTTCTATTTGAAGGTCTTTAATGGTAAAAGTTATTTATTATTAATTTTTGTGTACATATGTAATATTTTGATTTCATATAAATATGAATAGTAAGCAAGCATAAATGCTTCTAATACCTTTTACATGTTTTCTTTGAGAATAAAAAAGAGTAAGATCGTATATATTTTGAATGTTTTATAAATTATGGTAGTTATTATTGTTTATTGTTATATACCAACCTATCAGCAGCCATTAGAGCTCGATGCGCATCTCGTTGAGCGCATATTTGTACCAGTTCAGCAACACTCGCTGCTTGTTCCTCCGCTGTAATAATATACATATACATTACATCTCATACATATAAAATTATACGACATATGAAAAATATTACGAAATACGAATGATTAAGCGTGATATGATACTTGGTAATGAAAGCTTATGTTATCTATGATATATGTTATATGATGTGATGTACCAGGTAATGGTCTTGAGAGTCTTTTCTGTAGTCTAGCGACACGGCGGGAGGAGGGCTCGTCGGGGGAGGCCTCGCGGGCTCGTCTCTGAGCCACGAGCCGAGCCCACCGAGCCTCAAACCACAGCTGCATCGCGTCTCGCTCCACAGGATCGGGTTCGTACCCGCCACCCTCCCGCGACGATAACACTACAGCCGGCACAACACGTGCTTATACTCACACGGCAATAACAACCTTATGTCGCATCACTATGAGATCATTTTGTTACAACCTTCAAATGTATTTGATGGCATACATGACGACCGGCTGTACAATTTCAATATTAATATTTTTATATGTAATTCAATTTAGTTGAACATCAACTCATTTGGACATAACTTCAAAATGAAATTGGTCAGCCGTGATGATGGGTATGCAACAGAAAATATGAGCAGAGGGTAGTTTAGCTTTGGTTATGTGTGATTACTGATTGGTTATCAGGTCGACCTATGGGTGTTACCTGATGCAGCAGGCCTCGGGTTATACGCTGTGGGGGGCGGAGGCACCGGCGGGGCGAAGCCCCCTGTCGACTTGTGCGACTCTCCAACTTCCTGCAAACGCGGATCCTATACCAAACATCTTAAAAATCCCAACTATCCCAAACACAGAACATACCTCTTAGTTATAACTACATAATAGAAATTATTTCTGCCAATTCAACTAATTTATTACCTTACTTGTTATTTGACATCACAGAGCCCACCGGTCTACATACATAATATGATCATGCATTCATATTTGTCGACAACACTACATTCATACATAAGGGCTTAAGCATGCTATGTACAATATAATTTGATAATTTCATCTAATTTTTAGCGTTTACAGTTAGCGTAAAGCTTTGTTTATTTATATAAACTATAATTATGTAAGTTGACTTCAAATTATATCTAACTTTAAGAACTTAAAAATAGATTTCCTAATTAAAAAATATTGGTATTTTTATTCATAAGAAAGTTCAATAAATATTTTGTAGATAAAAGTTAAATAGCAGTTATCTTCTAAAGAACACTGTTGATTGAGTTATTGTAGAGCATTTATAAGCTTTACATTATATTTACAGGCATATATAAAACAGTGATGTCTCATTTAAAGTTAAATATTATTATTGTATGTGGATTATTAAAAAACAAATCTGTAAACAAAAATTCTTCCTGTCTTTTGATGGGAACGCAAATTTTATTTTCATTACCTTCTCATGTTTTTTTGAAATTCTACCAAAAACATATTAAATTGCAAAAAAAAAAAAAAAAAAAAACTTAATTATACATCACAATATTTTTACCTGAATTTATTTTAGCACTAGTCATATTCTATTGTATGTACACTTATAAATAATTTTCAGTCAATTCTGTCCTAGATCAGAATTGACAAATACGAAGTAACATGAGCATTACAATATTCTACATTCGAAAATATATTACAGGCGGAGAGAGTAAGCGATGCGACAGAACACATACTGATAAAAAAAGCCATTCATGCATAAATACAAGGAACCTAATACATCTGCTAATATATTCAGCATCAAAACATTAGAAAAAAATCACAGGCAAGCCATAGCAGGTTGTCTCTCGAGCATCTGATGAAAGCGATCAAGACAGCAAAAAAAATAATCGGACATCGGAACAACTATTACGGGAACGTTACCAAAAAATAGCCAATATAGGATAGAGGAATCATGGAAAAAATCCATATGAATTATGAATCAAATTCAATGAAGGATCATGTATATGGCAACAGGTGTGGAAGAGCGAGACAGGACAACGTACAGTTAGCGTAATGATGAGTGCGAGAGAGATGGCACAGCATGCGACTCACGACATCACGATACTCTATTTGATATTTGCTTACGTGCGTCGTCAGGTCCGGCTCCGAGACACACTGAAAATTTTAACTAGTGTTAGTCTACGGCGTGTCTCTATTCATTACATCACTTTGTTATTATATAGTGATATATTATACCGAACATCGGACACCCGCCCAGCTAGACTAGAAAATTCAGCCACCTTATGTACATTATTCACATCGATATAAGTATGGATGGTGGTATACTAATGTTCATGAACGATACATACTCATTCTACATTCGTTCGTATCATGTGCACTTAATGTTCATGATTCGTTATTGTACAGATGGTAATGATATCAGTCATATTGCTAAATGTTTATAATCAACTGAATACAATTTAATATCAACTATAATTACCTTATGCCGAGGTCCGAGGCGTCGGTTGAAATAATTCGAAATGCTTCTCATAATACCTTTCCTTCTTCGATCTTGAGTTAGGTCTGGGTCTGAGAAGGAGGATGCGACTGGTAGCGACATGAGCGCGGCTGGTGGAGGAAGGGGGCGTGGTGGCGGGGGAGGGGATGGAGGCGTGGCCAGAGCAGGCGGCGGGGGCACGGGGGGCGGGGCGCTGCAGACGGGCGACATCCGCTGCCGCCTGGCCGTCTTACGGATGACGCGCTGTCCGTTCCCCAATCGCTCCAATACCAGCCTCTTCACGAGGTCCGTCTGCTCCTGCCTCTCCTTCTGTATCACTTGTATCCTGTCCACAGCGTCGGGACCCATCATAGAGGTCCCGCTGCCTGGTGATATCGACCCGGGACTCACGTGACACGACTGACCCCAGTCGTAACGCGGTGATAGATTCCCGTTCTGACTCAACCTGCCGAACGTCTCGCTAGCTGATCTACATATCGCCGGCGCGTACAGCCGTATACTGCACGGACTCGCGAACGTTATAGGTTTTTGTGCTTTCTGGTATAACAAACTATTGTGTGATTTCGATTTTTCTGACGCCAACGGCGGTGATATGTCCTCCAACGAAGCCTTGTCGTTCGAATTTTCGCTTTTACATGCACTAGTTTTACTAGCCAAGTCGTCGTTTTCCAATGGCGGCGATATATCCGATATACTGACAGAGTCGCTTTTTGTTTGCGGCGAAATGTCTTCCACTTTTATAACAGCACTCAAATGTTCAGATTTGCTCAGGGAATTTTCGTCTTCATGGCTGTTGCCATTGCTCAGTGAGTGTGATGGAGAATCTTCGAACAGTTTCTTCAATTCACCGGTGGATTTGAGACTTTCGTTTTTCGATACGGCATCACTTTTTGAATCTTGATCGTCTATGAATTTTATCTCATCGTTGTCGTTTGTGACTGCGACTTCTTCGTTTTCTAATACTATCGGTTTAATAGTTGTTTCGGAGAATGTTCTTTCTATGAAATTCATCGATCTGTCGTTTGTTGGGGAGTAGTGACCGTAGTAATCATCTACTAGTTCCATGTAGCCTTCGTTTTTTGGTGTAGCTGGTGACTCTATTGACGGATCCTGGTCCCCTTCATCTGCGAATTCGAAATGCTCTAGAGCATTTGAAAACACGATATGTTCTGTGGGACTCGTCTTGCCACAGATATGTGATGCTATGGCCGATATGTTTTTAGTTTCGTGGACCATCTTGGGCTCACTCAGCGTTCGTGGATTCTTGTTTCTCTTCCTATCGTCCTTATCTTCGAATCCACATTCATCCAAAACAGCGCTTTCCGCTGCCCAGTCTGAAAGCTCGGTCTCCGTGAGAGCCAGCGTCGTTACATCCTTATTCGAGTCAGAAGATTCAGAATCCACGCAGACAGCGGAAAGCGCCGTTGTGTTAGTTACTTCTGTTATTTTATCTTCTTTGCTATCATTAACATTATTGGCTATTGTTAGACTATCTAATTGGATCAATTCTCCACCCTCGTCATGCACTTCTACTCTCGGAACTGATTGGTTTGATAATTTATGATTATTCGAGGAATCGTCTTCGGATAGAGAATCAGAGTCTATTTCCAGATGTTCCAGATTGCTGTTTCCTTCCTCGATAGGCAGCACTGGATCGTAGAATGGCGAGAGACCTTGCTCTAAAAGATCTAGAGGTGCGTCTGGGAACAAGTTACTTATTATATCCGGCATCGGAACCTTTTTATAACCCGTAGTTACACGTAAAGTGCGTATTGGTTTGGGAGACGGTAATTCTATCGGTGACGTTTGATTATCCTTCTCAGGAGCTACATCTTCAGGTTCTTGTATTACTTTAACTGGCAGCGATTGATCTGATTCTGGTTCCTCGTTCGTATGTGTTGTTGCCGTTTGTACTGTCACTGATATTTGTTCAGTTACCGGTTGTATGGGTGCTGGGTTTAGTAGTTTTTGGAATTCTGTAATATTACATCGGAAAGCTTCTAATTTAGTGTCCAACTGCGAGGTGGAGTCTGATTTTCTGACAGACGGTGGTGAAGGTTCGCCGAGGAGATATTTCCTCTTTAGTTCCAAGGCTCGCTTGGTTGCTAGGCCGCCGGCTGATCTGGTGCGGCTGAGAGGATAGTCTTGAGTGGGTGCGACGGGTGCGATGGGTGCAATGGGTGCGACGGGTGCCACGGGTGCGGCCTCCGTCACGAGTATAGCTGGCGGGGTAGTAGCTGGCGCGCACTCCTCACGAGCGAACTCGCTGTCCGTTGACACCTCGGTCGCTGAAGAAACCTCATCCTCACTACTCTCACTATCTTCCTCAGACTCCATCTTAAATGAATATTGAACGTTCTTTACAAATCACCCAAAACGATCGTTTGAAAAAACTGTTTTAGGCATTATATACGTATAAAAGAAAAAGCCAATATATTTGTTAAAGCGAGATTAATAAAAGCCATATAGATAACTCGGCACACTTGCTTCCACACTAACTTAGTTTTAAAATTAATACACTAAAGTTATATATCAAAAACATAACAACAACAAAATAATGAAAAGTAAAACAATAAGTGATGGATGATAGTAATGAACTATTTTGATATTGAAGTAATAAAATATTGTACCTACATAATATATGAAGAATTTGCTTGTGTACTACAAGCAAATTTTGACGAAGACTAAACTGGGATGACATTTAAATTATATATACTTTTTATCCAACTAGTGTATTATCTTAAAGAGACAAAGATGGTTTTAAAAATAATGTATATTTATCAAAATAGATTATTTAAACTCTCGTATTTAAACTATTACATAAAATATATACAAACACATATTTAAAGATTTTAGACCCCACAAATCTCCTTCAATACACAACATACATCTTAGTTAATTCCGAATATAATATTGATCGTACCAAATATACGAAATTCCTCAATTTTCCCACATTTTCAAACATTGTACAAACCACCAAAATTAAATTTACATCAATTACTACACATTAAAAATTCTGTTTACGAAAACATTTCATGAATGAATAAGATGATAGTGAAAATAACTTACGGCCAACGAAAAGTGATAAATAACGTAAACAAATGTTAATCATTACTATTCAACTTAGAGATTGATATAAAACGAATTTAAAAAAACTAGTGTGATATTAGTCATAGTAAAGGAAAAAAGAAGAGTAGTTTAATTACTTTATAAAATTGTTTTACTAAGAAGAAATCTACTACTACTAAAATAAAATAGAGGTCTTCTTTTTTTAATAAAATTTAATTAATAATTTTAATACCTTTATCAATATTTAAATTCTTTGTTGTCTATTTTCTTTTCGACTAATTCTTCAAACTTCATAAACCGATGTATCAGATTCATTAGTTTACAATTTTTATCTCGTCTCGTTGGCCGTATTATATGATAAAACAATAAATCTCAAGTTAGTGTGGAACAATACACTCTTACCAAACCTCTCGCCGCCGCCTTTTAAAAGTTTTTAATATTATTATACATGCACAATGATCGTGATTATGATGTACTATTACAACGAATTCAACAAAAAAATTGACTAACATTTTTTAAGAAGGCACTTTAAACCAAAGATTTTAAGAAATATGAAATAGTATAGTTTGTCTGAAAAGCACCAAAAGGAGTAATAGTATAATTTATCATATTTACATATAACAAAAACATTTGAATTGATAGACATTCTATATAATGTCACATCAAAATATCGATGGGTCCTATGTATAAGACCAATGTAGCATTTTCATTTTTTACTTTAAACACGTCATAATACTGTATTATATTAAAAAAAATCTGTATTTGTTGGTGGAAAGACTTAGTTTGTATTGCAGCAAAAAAGCATAAGTAACACATTTTTTAATGTATAAAGGCTTATATAATATATATTATAAAAAATCTAAATATATTTAAAACACTAGTAGGTTTACAAAAGAGTTTATCATGTCATGTAATGTCACGAAAAATTTATATTTTGCACATTGGCCCTTATACATATTAGCCATAGATATTTAGCTTGGTGGGAGGGTAGAATAGAAAACCCACATCGACATACTAATGAACATGCCGTACGCGTATAATCGGCAGTAATTTGTTGGTTTGAAAAGAGTGAGAGAGATGGCCTATGCTTAGAAGAGATGATAGTATGGAGTGAGTGACGTCACAAGCGAGATTCAAGATGGCGGCGTATAACGAGAGGCGGTAACCGCACCTCCCCGGTAGCGCAGCTGTCGTGGTGACAGTCTACGCGAGAACGCAGCGCGGTACCTCGCTGCTGTAGGTGGGAGGCCGGGGCTCCGCGGGGACTTCACGCCGGCGAGCCTCGCGGGCCGCGCGCATACGGGAGCAGGACTCGTTGCCAGATGACACGGGGCCTGAGTAACACATACATACATACATATATACTTATATACATACAGACAATCGTAGCATTGATGTCTATGTTAAAACACCCTATATCTTTATATATATAATTCTTCTGTGAGTGTGTATATCACTGAACTTCTCTCAAACGACTGGACCGATTTTGATGACATATTTTGTGTGTGTTCAAGGGGATCTGGGAATTGTTTAGATTCACAATTTTGTCCGCTGGACAATGCTTTCTTAATTAATTTTTAATTTATTAGTAGTTGTTGATACAAACGTTTTTTTTTTTTGACCTTAGATTTGACAACTAACTAATATGTTAATCATTCTGTGGCAGTTCAAAACACAGAGATTTCTGGCTTTAATAGGTAAATTCAAAAATATAAATAAAAAAACGTAACAGATATTTCTTGATTATAGGGCGATATTAAGTTCGCCGGGTCTTCTAGTATAGTATATGAGCATTTAACACATACGCACACATATATACGATCACAGGAAAATATTAAAATTGATATCTTAATTTAAAACACCCTATATACATGTTACTATTGATAGCATAAAAAACATCTTGTATAAACTATATGAGAATTTCTTTCTAAGCTCGCATACTTCTATTGGATTTTTAATTTAGTGGATTTTTGGGTTGTAACGTATTTTTATATAACAATAATTACTTTTTGTAAAATCAATCGGAATAGTCGTTAAGTGGATTTAACAGACAATTCGCCAAAGGACATATACAGGTTGTTTTAGAGGTATCGACTGTGAACTAAAAAAGGTTATTTCTTCTATAATCTATATAAGATTATAGTAGAAATCCCCTTTATTAATTGTCATAGAGATAAATAATTTAAAATACCCTCTTCGGAATAGTCATCATAGCCGAACGAATCATCGGAGAAGTATAGATGTGTTTGAGCCGGGCGTGTGTTCTGTAGTTCAGGTTCTGGTGAATCATCAGCCTCTTCGGAACACATTGCGTCAGTGAACTCCTCAGAACTCGAATCCTCTTCATCACTATAATATATATATAACATTGAAGCTTATATTTAATTTCATATGAGAATATTCCAGCAAATATGATATATATTACACAAAAATAGGAGATACATATGTAGGTATATAATGAATATTCGAAATTCAATTATTTTTAAGGTAGCTGTGGTTAAGTTATTACAGCTCGAACATGGGCTTCGATTTAGGAAGTATCGGCCTTTCACAGAAGTTTGACGTAAAGTAGCCTTTAATGGCTGCGTTTCGTACGATGAGTGAGACAGACAGTTGCGCCCCTTTTCCCATCTTTTCCCAATCAAGGAAGCAATACATCCTTAAAACATTGCGGATGTCCATGAGACGGTATTATCTCCATCAGGTAGGTCCCTATACCAAAAAAAAAATTATTCCTATCGAAAACTGGGTTTTAAAAATCAATTATAACTACCTCAATCCCCCGGCACCGGATGTCTCTGAAGCCAGGAAGTTCCTGTCTGTCCATTCGTCCTCATCTATCTCCCTCGCTCCTCCATCAGACATTTCGAGGCTGATCCTCTCAGGAGTAGCGAGTGTATCGAGACGTGTGACCTTCGTAGATAATGAATCGGGAACACTGACGCCTGAATGTCTTAGACATACCAGCCTACTGCCGTAACGCTCCATTGTGTAGTTCCTATCGAACAAAATAATATAAATTGATACAGCAAACGTTGTTTTGCCGTATAAAAAATAGAGGTAAAATTTATGGTTGTATGTTTTTTTAATAAAAAAATAAAATTTAAAAACTGTCTAAAAAGTAACGAAAAATATTAAAAGTGTATGAAAAATAGATGTTGGCCGATTCTTCCTACTTAATATGTTTACAAAATTTAATGAAAATCGGTCAAACCTTTTCGGATGAGTACGGATACGAATATTTTGACACGAAAATCTTATACATAAGATTATAAAACTGATTCACTCATTATAATATGTATAATATATAATCTTTGAAATGTGTGTAACATCTATGTATAATGAAGACAGCATTTTGATTTTATGATTACATTTTCAATAATGTATTTTTCGCTTTTATCAATGTCTGTCTTGTTGGTGTTAATAAATAAGTAAATAACATACCCTGGTCGTAGTACGGCTTTGCAGACGGCACAACGGAAGCAGGATCTGTGTAGATGTAGCCCATCAGCCGTGACCGCCTCGGCAGCGAACACGCGAGTCCCACACGACGCGCACTGCATACCGGCGCTAGACGGACCGCGCCACGTGCGCTTCAACTACATACAAACAATATTTAAACAATACGGCTATTATATATATATATATATATATATATATATATATATATATATATATATATATATATATATATATATATAATAGCCCTAATTGCTATTCCTTCCTTGTAATAATTGATCAATAATACCTACTTGCTAACTGAAAATAATTGGTTTAATTAAATCTAACTTGTTTAAAATGATCTGCAAGTGGCTGTTTATGCAAAACAGTTTCTTATAAAAAGAAGGTTAATATTTTGGGTATGAGAACATTTAATATCTGCAAAGCTTAAACTTTTAAGAACATAATTTTAATGGATTTTTTTTACAGAATGTATGGAATTAGAATCATTATTACTCACCTCTTCCTTAGACGAAGTCTTTGAAGTTTCAGGTTCATCCTTTTTAATGAATTTCGTCGCTAAATTCGCCACCTGTTTTACAATATACACGTTATTTAGCATATTTCACAGACATGTAACCTCTAATATATCTTCACCTTTTTCGTTCCATGATCAGGTCGTCCAGAGTCACGTAGTTTCTGATCAAGTTTGTGAAGCGTCTCATCTATTTCGCCCCACTTTTCTTCGTTATCACCTTCTTTTAAACGACGTTGTCGCCCAAGAAACTGCAATAAATATAAATATATAATCAATAGATTTTTATCTTAGTATGTATTTACGATTATCAAAATATACAATTAATCACCTGTTCTCTGTCCCATTTAGGTACTTTCTCTGCAGTTTTTGGTTCAGGTCGCCCTAGTCTATTTTCCATGATTTTTCGTTCTATTTCCTTTACATTCCAATCGTCTCGTTCTATTTTTCCAACTGATCTCATTAAATCCTTTGGTTTAGATGCTTTAGGTACAGCGCCACCTGACGAAGTATTTGACAACTCAGCTGCCAGTCTAGCAACACGCGCCCCGCCTCCCATTGCCCTAGCCCCGCCCCCAACGACACGCCCCTCCTCCTGTAAACATTAAATATACTATAAATAATTATATAAAAACGCTATGGAGCTTTTTCATAAGAAAAGCACCAATAGACAAGTTCATTGGGTATTTTTAACGTAATTAGGAAGAAACTTTCAATTCAATTTATTTACAACAACAAGTGCACATTGTTACGTGATATCAAGCCGGGTTAGTTTCAAATAACGTGATAAAATCCACGCGAAATTCTCTACTTTCAATAATTCCAATATCCGAGTAAATGAATATCGGAACAATGTAAAGTGAAGGGAGAGTACAAGCGTGAACATTATTCAAAATCATGCACACCATCATCTGTTATTACGACAGTAATCATTTAATTCCTTTGTCAATTTGTTTCAAATGCTTTTCTGTTTTTGTTTTATATTGAACGTGATGCACCTCCATATTGTATTGTTAGTGTTACCATGCAGCACACGACACACATATCTCACATAGTGTTGCAATTTCTTTTCCAATTTCTTGACGCGTTCGTCAAACTGTGGGGCGCTTGCCCTGTATTGCTGCAAGCCGTAGTCGTTCTCCAAATCCGCTGAAGATGCAAAATCCATCCTCGGTTCCGCTGCTAGCATTTGTAAGCTTTTTTCGAAACGCTGTTTCATAATCTCGCGGGCGGCTTTTCTTTTGCCCCCGCTTTTCGGGCGTTTTGAATCAGCAGTTCTTTTATCCATCATATCGGACACTCTTTGCAGCCTGAATGGTAGTTCGCCTGAATTTCTTCTCTGAAAACTACGTTCGGGGCTTTGATGAGGTTTATTGGCGCCTTCTATCAGATCTACCACACGCTGCCTTCGTAACGCCATTTCCGGATTACCAATGGATTGCGATCGCTTGCTTCTGTCAGGGCTGGGTGTATAGCAGCGTTTTCCTTCTATTATATCAGTCATTCTTTGCAAACGGAGCACCATGTCAGGGTTGTCGACTAGTTTAGATCGGACTACACTACTCTCTGGACTTGGAGTATCTCTCTTTTTATCCTCAAATAACTTTGCCATCCGTTTAGCACTTAACGCCATTTCCGGTGACCCCAACGAGTTCGATCGTCCATAACGCGCTGCGACTTCCGGGCTCTGTGAAAATCTCCTTCTCTGCATTTCCGCCACTTCGGACATTCTTCTTGTTTGTGGTAAGCCTTCTGTGGAAGAAGCGCGAACCATCTTCTTATTAGAAGCTGTTCCAGACGAATCTTTCTTCTCACGTTTCGTTGATTCAACGATAGTCGCATCTGTATTAGTGGAATCGTCGTCGAAAATATTTGAGAAATCTGTATACTTTATAGTACTTTCATCTAATCCTTTCAGTTTGCGGGGAGGTTTTACTTTGATTTTATCAGTTGGTTTACCTTTGAAGTAGGAGTTCAAAGGTTGATTGGCTCCTTTGGACTTGACTTTAGTCTTAGTTGTACCTGCTAATAGCTGTGCTAAAGAATCTCTTAACATTTTAGGATCTGGTGAATCTTCTGGGTCTAATAACGATATAATTTGTTCCTGAATTTCTCTCTGCTTGGCCGAGTGTTTTTCACTATCTATCGTCGAATCATGACCTTCTATCAGCCGCGCCAGTTGTGTTATATTATTAAGATCTAACTTTTCAATTTTTTTCCTTATATATTCAGCCGGATCGTTACTTACTTGTGATCGGAGTGAGCGTCGTTTCTTTCTGTGACTGGAGTGTGATTTTTCCGCCTCTGCTGTGTCTGTTGAAACATTTAATATTTAATATAAGAAAAATTATATTAACACTTTACTAATACAATCAGCTTACTTGTATACGCAGATACCGCATGATCGACTGTGTTGAGGATATTTTCTTTTTGTTGGCTTTGTTTTATCTGTGAAACATTAAAACATATTAATTATGATGACAAATATAGGTATCAAACTTATTCTAGTATATATTAACCTGTTTGAACATGTCAGTCTTGTGATATATATGCGGTACTTCTCCTTTGAACGCGTGATACACTCGCAGTAGATAGCTTCTTAGTTTAGCGTCGGGTGTGTCTCTTGTGGGACCATTTGCTGAGAGTGGCGGGATACCTGTTAACAAAAGATAATATACACATACAAAAATATCTTAGATAGTCTATTTCTTTCTTTCTATCTAAGGATTTTCGATAATCATAAAAAAAATTACACAACGAACTTCTTTGGTTATAACTAACGATTTATTTGTTGGTAGGTAGTGACCTTTAGAGACAAAACCTCTCATCATTCAATGTATTAACGGTGCGTGTGTGGGGTCCATCGTTGTAGTGAGAGGAGCTTCAACAGTGCCTGGGACTTGTGACCCAGGTGTATATTTAAGGGTCCCTTTCTAACGCGCGTTAAATGCTCTCCTCCACCGTCCAAGCTCCTCTACCTAACCAAATTTGAAACGAACCTACTAGGTCTGTGTTGAATCACGTTTCAAGAACGTATTGATATTAGTTCTAGACAGGCCCAAGTCTATTAGTAGGTTCTTCTTCTACCTAGCAATTTCCCAGCTCTAGCCAGGGTCTGCCTTACATGTTGTGAAAAGTTTTGGCTTATTGTTTTTACGAACAGCCGCTTGCCTGACATCAACCCTCTTTTGGGAATCAAGACTATTATACCTGTAATACTTCTCGTACAAATTCATTTATCGGTATAAGTATTGAATCCTTACCAAATTCTTGTTGGAGTATTTGATACACCAATCTCGGTGGTGTATCTCGAGGCATTAAGTCGGGTCTATAACGTCTTAAAAGATTGCTCAGCGAGACTGGACCTACAGCAGCTCTTATGCCAGGTTCAAAATGCTTCACCCACGACAATAATGCATCTTCGGATATTTCTGGCTCTGCGAAAAGAGTTCATGATGAGAAATTCACTTATATTTAAATATAAAAACTATGCTAAGCTTATCCAAAAAACTTGCAAAAAAAACTAACGGCACTAATATATATAAAGAATTGAACAGCTGTAATTTATTGTATTGAAATCTTAAATATTAGACTCGAAATTAAATCTTTTTCCTCGTAGATATTAGAATATGAAGGCAAATGATTAGAAAAATAATACACTACTAGCTGACCCGGCAGACTTCGTACTACCTCAATCGATAAATAAATAATTTCTAAGTGTTCTGAAGTGCGACAGAATGATTGACATATTACTTAGTTGTCAAATCTAATGTCAAAAAAACGTTTGTATTGAAAATAGAAAAGGGGTGTTTTTAGGGTGTTCCCGGAAATGAATAATTTTTTTCAACTTTTAAACCTTCCCTGAACCTCCACGAACATTTCAGGACTAAGATAAGATAAATCCGTTCAGCCGTTCTCGAGTTTTAGTGAGACTAACGAACAGCAATTCATTTATATATACAGGGTGACTGGTGAGTTACTATCAATATTTAAGGAGCATACTCGGTACATGATTCTCATTCGAATTATGTAAAAAAAATAGGTACTTAATTTTTGACCAAATTTCCGTATAAATAAATAAAGTTTGGATACGTACTCATCCTTGCCGGCGCCAGTGTGTCGCTACTCCCCAACCCCCGCCCCGTGGCTAGCGGGCCATTAGTCGGCTATTAGTCGCGCGAGCGCCGCCGTAAGGTCCGTACGTTCGTCTTCCCGCGCGCGCGCGCCTAGCGATCGATCTTACGCGTATACCTAATAATAATCTGTCGTGTGTGCGTGTGACCCGTTATTACTTATTAGTAATTAAATATGGCTTTTCAATACACAAATGCAGAATACTTGGACATGGTTTATGCGTATGCGCGTGCAAATGAAAGCTTGCGGGGCGCAATCAATTTGTACCGGGAGATGTTCCCCAATCGTCGAGTACCTACGGCCAGCGTCATCTTAAACGCTAATCAAAGATTACGAGACTTCGGACAGTTCCGTGTTCCAACACATGCCCAAGGAAACGTCTTGTGTATGCTACAATGTATGTCAACAGAGAGGAGTTGAAATTAAAAATCAATAGTGCTTTCGAAACTATTAAAAGTGACCCATTCGTATTAAATCGTGTGAAAGACAATATGTGTAAACGTGCCGAACTGTGTATCACACGAGAAGGAGCTCGCTTTGAACATTTGTTAAGGTTAGTGTAGTTATGTAGGTAAATAGGTAGTTTAATGATTGACAATTGTTGTAAATAAGAATGATTCCATTTTTAAATACGCCGGAAATACCAAGATAGGTAAACAGTTCATATTATTTTTCGTGTCAAGGTCACACCATTTACCTAGTCAATAAATTGGTTGCTTAAACGAAAGAAATATCTTGGTATTTTTGCCTGTCCTAAGCCAGGATTAAAGTATGAAGGGAATTGGATCATTTTTGTTTATCTAAGGTCTAACACGCGGCGGCGCGCGGCGTTTGGATGTAGGTAAACTACCGCGCGATAACTACATATACCTACGTACATAACTGTTTTGTGTCGATAACGCAGCTAGGGTATCCACGCGATCCGTAATTAATTACATAACTTTTGGTTAACTTTACTTAGAAGTTTATTAATATTTATGTTATATTAATTTTTATTTTGTCATATATGATCGTCAACTACCACGTCCTTAAATATTGATAGTAACTCACCAGTCACCCTGTATAGATAGATGTATGTCATTACCTCTACGCCGTTTCCTCGCACTATTAGATGCGTCCAATGGTAGGGGATCATCGGAATCGTAGAACGAAGTGACTCTATGAGGCGTGACGGCCGTGCGGTTCAAATTAGGATATCTGGTACCCGGGTCTAGTGTGTAACCGCCGAAATCACGATGTAAATTCTCTGGCGTCGTTTGAGCTGAAAAAAGACTCAATTAATTATATGTATTATCAATTTTACTTCTAATTACTATATTGATGTGAGTTTAAGCATGGCTTTTGTTTCTATGGGTTTTATTCATTTAAATGAAACTTATATTTCTCGAATATACTACACGACTTTATTTTCGTAAAAAATACATATTTTACATATAAATACATACCGAGCAACCTGTATATAGATTCCCTTTCAGCAATAACTTCAAGTGGGTGTGGCTGTGGCGTGTGGCCCCACGATCTTACGGCCCACGCGGCGTCAAGGGCTGATAAAAAGCCACGAGCACATCCGGAACCCGTCGGCCAGAACGGCTCCAGAAGACTGTCTCCAACCAACTGGCAGAGCAGCCGCCTACCGTGCCGTTCGTACACCTGCAAAATTATTACCCAAGATTACCATATGGTAATATTTACCTTCTATGTTGATGGGAACAGCTGCAAATAAAATCTATGCAGCTGTATACACCTGCAAAATGATACGTTTTGTATACCCAAAAAGGATTTGTAGAACTACCTTCTATATGAAAGTAATATTATTCGTATTATACTGCACGTTTTTTATTATTTTATACTACATTCTCTTGAAGTTTTGGTTACTTTTCGGCAACCTTTAGTACCTTCTATATGTTAGTGTGAAAATGCTAAATTGAAGGTTTATATATTATAAGCAATAATTTCTTTTAATACACTCCCTAGATATTAAAATAGGTATCAAAGTCACTATCAGTTGGTGAAAAGAGTATTTTATAGTTCAAAGACAGTGTTCATAATCATCATCACCATCATCATCCTATCAGAGCCCACTTCTGAGCAAGGGCGTCTTCTCACATGGAGAAGGTTTGAGCATTAATTACCACGCTTGCTCAAGACGGGCTGGTGTTTTCAAACTTATAATTGTGAAAATATAAGTCCAGGTTTCCTCAAGATGTTTCCCTTCATCTGTCAGTGGTGTCTTACTCTTAGAAAGTACATATGACTCGGTACATCACATTGGTACTTGCAAGTTTCGAACCCGCGCATTTGCAGGAGAGGCGGAACTTTAACCACTAGGCCATCTTGTTTACCAATACCAGATAATAATTATAACTTACAATGCTAGCGTTCTCAGCGGCGTACATGGAAGTGAAGTCAAACAGAGCTACATCCGGTTCCCCGTAATGATTGAGAGCAAAGTCTTTAAGAGGAAGTCTACCATTGGTTGAGAAGCGAGCAGCCTCTTGAGCATACTTCATCAGGGACGAACGATCCACGTTCTCAACTGATAAAAGGCGAGTCACGTCGGCGTAATCCTGGTACAAAAATACATTTAAAATCAATCTGATTTGTATATAGATAAGAATTAAATTTATGTGAATAATATTAGGACATAATAATAAATGTCTCTTTTATAAGACGTTGTGGGGTTTAGAACAAATGAAAAGCCTTACTATGTGTTTTTATGGTACAATCTATAACACAGAGACTGTAGGTAAAGCGTAATAGTATTACAAAAATACAAGTATGTCTATTTATTGTTTTATTTTAATATATAATTGTTTTGATAAATATTAAATAATTATATATAGTGTACAGTAATATATTCGATTATTTAATGTATAGGTATATTATAATATGGACTATAGTTTTTATCTTACAATTTTTTACTATAAACATATATTTTGTTTAATCACCATCATTACTTCAGCCAAGTGAGGTCCACTTCTGGACATAGGCCTACTCCATCGACTTCCAATATTATACAGGGTGATTGGTGAATTACTATCGATATTTGAGGACGTGATATTTGACGATCATATATGACAAAATAAAAATTAATATAACATAAATATTAATAAACTTCTGAGTAAAGTTAACCAAAAGTTATGTCATTAATTACGCATCGTATGAGCACCCTACAGATTAGATATACACACACACACACACACACTCGCGCGCGGCGGCGTGTTGTTGTATCAGCACGCGGCCGCACGCGTCCACACTTGGAACACTTGGAACGTGTACACACTTTATTTATTTATACGGAAATTTGGTCAAAAATTAAGTACCTATTTTTTTACATAATTCGAATGAGAATCATGTACCGAGTATGCTCCTTAAATATCGATAGTAATTCACCAGTCACCCTGTATAAAGCAAGTATATATAGAAGTGTGATACATAGTACCGACGAGGTGTGTATTCATTTAAGTCAACTGACTCACTTCCCTCATTACGTCCGACAGATCTGAGTAAGACGAATTAGATAATTGACGCGACGGCGTCGTTTATACCCTGTTATACACACCAATAAATTTCACTCTGACGCTAGCGTAAATATGGTAATCTTTAAACCAATCAAGTAATAAAATTCAAAGAAAATTCCAATATTGACGTAAGACTAGACATGACTTATTGAAGGTTTATTGTATTTATATGAATATATATTATTACGCGCCGTTTAAAACTACATATATAGTACATACACCATTAGAACGTTTTTGCATCACACTATATACGTAGCGTAATCAGTTTTCCATTCGTAAATCTTCGCACATTATCGATGTAGTTTCATGCAGGAAAAACTGTTAAAACTGCGTATTTTTAGGCAAACTTATAATAGGCATACAGAAAAAAAATCATTTTAAACTTTTAGTATTTATAAAGGCAATTTAGTGTTGTTTTGGTGCCCACAAAATCTACTCACCTAATTTTTTTTTTAAGAAACTTTTTCAATCAACCATTGCTATAGAAAAGTTCAGGAAATATCTCCTGTACATATATGTATATACAAGAACAAATAATTCAATATATTCTCATAAAAATACCAATACCTAAGAACTTGTACATTCAATAAACAACTTTAATAGAATTTTTATATTGATAATCGATATCAATACTACAGAATCGATTTAAATCAATCATTGTATTATTACGCGGCATATTTCTTTGATTGTATTCATTGTAGGAAGACATTCTTATATGTATCGCGGAAATGCATAACCCTTTCAAATTACGTCTCATACCATAACAAGTATAAAGAATGCCATCATTGTGTTCAATTCACTTGTGACGTAAGGTTACACACACATACATTTATCCTTGTGTGTGTATACAGATGTAATGATTATAGCACACATGCTTACATGTGTCCTTGTGTGTATATGTACGCGTTTGTACGTGTGTGTGTGTGTGTTTTTACTCACATTAACCAACACACCCTTCTCTAAGAGGCTGTGTTTCTTAGCTGTCATGACGAAGTAATGCGTGTCGTCTTTGTAGTACACAATGTTCTCGAGATCTATTCTGGTCACTTCGTTCAACTCTTTAAAGAACTTCTGATTGAATATGAATGCTACTCCGCTTATTTCCGGGACCTGGGGAATATAATTCTTTAGTATGATATATTATGTAAATATATACATATATATGTATAATATGTATAATATATACTAACAGAAGCCTCCTGTTCCGTGTGTCTGTTAATGAAGTTGGCTGTGATGGCCATAGCCAGTTTTCCGCGGAACTCCTTCCGTTTGAAACCTTGAAGGGTGTTCCGTTTTCCATCAGCTCCTATGAGAGCGTCAAATTCGTACTGTGATACAGGGTGCTCTGCCGGATCTACACGCGCTCGCCAACCCAATGCTGTATAAAGAAGAAACATCTTTAGAATTTCCTTTAAAGATATTTTATCTTTTCCTTTAAAGATAAATCTTTTATACTCACTCGCTGACGACTCCGTTCCAGTCGGCTCCAAGAGCTCCTCAAAACCGACGCCTTCGTGAATTTCAACACCAAGCAAAAGACACACCTGTAAACCGATAAAAACATAACATAACGTGCTCATAAATATTATAGAGGCGTCGTTTTCCAATTATAAGGTCATCACCTTCATGAGTATGCACTGTAACTGTCTAATGCTTATATGGTCTATGGCACCAGCGCAGAACTTGCCGAAGAACTTCTTAGCACCCAAAGCTCGTAGGTCGTGTATAACAAACGGCCACAGATGTAACACGTTGTTACGTGAAAAGCGATCACGTTTCTCTACAACCACCTACAAAAAATTCACGAATACAGTTTGAAATTCTTCATTCCTAAATATTAAATCCTAGGTATGAATATAATCCTAGGTATGAAAACGCTAACGAAACAAACAAATGAACATCGTAAAGATCTTCTTTCTTTTATCATTGAAATCAACATTTTTATTTTAATATAACGGAGTTTTTTTTAATAAAAAATAGAAGTATAACTTGAAAAAAAAAAAAGTATGTATTTTTATTTATATCGGACATGAATTTCAGTATAAATCCCAAGTTACTAGCAAAAAATTGCTATGACGTTGAAAAAAATATATACATATGTTTATCAATCCTAATTGCATAAACAATTATTATATACAACCTATTTGTGTATATAAAACAAATTTTAATCCAAGGAGGTCGGGATTAAGAGCACAAAAAAATATATATAATAATTATAATTTGAGCAACTTTCATTAATTATACAACACAAGTGGCATGTTATAAAATATGTATTTCAATTTCACCATAACTAGACCGTGACGTAACGAGTTTAGAAAATAATTTTTAATTATATTTGAAAGGGTTCTTGAATGTATGTCAGTTGGTAAATGTGTACAAATATTACTATAAATATATTATATATAAAATATATATATTTGGTTGTATACTTACGACTTTGGCGCCAAGCAATTGGCATTCTATCGCTGCCCTGAGGCCACATGGTCCCGCGCCAATCAAAAGCACCTTATTCTGATTACAGGCTCTACCCTTGGCGTAAACCTTGTGATTGGCTCGAGCGTCAAACTTCTTGAAAAGCGCCTGCGCCTTCCACGAACTAGCTAGCTTCGCCTAAATTAAAAGAGTTAATTACAATAATTGTTTATAAGTGGCAAATTATGTTTTTTATTGCCGCGTTCAATGTTCAGTTAATTAAATTAAAAAATTGTTTTTAATTAAGCTTCAATGAATTACATTAATTATTGTCTACGAGCTTCATTCTTAAATTATTCCTTTCCTTTTGTTAGGCATAAAAATTTTACGACAAGTAAATCCGTATGACATAGCTATATTTATATGTACCCGCCAGAGTTTTACACTTCATTTATACTAATTCATAAATAAACTAGTTTTTGCCCGCGACTTCGTCTGCATTAGTTTCCGAATTAGAAATGTATAGCTGTAGCCTTATACTCTATTCCTCCTTAAAAATAATAGATAAGATTTTGGAAATCATTAATTTATTTATTTTTATTTTTCAATCGTATAAAAAGTATCCCATGTCCTTTCTATGTTCTAAGCTATCTCTCCGCCAATTTTCATCCAAATCCGTACAGCAGTTCTTGAGTTATAAATAGTGTAACTAACACGACTTTCTTTTATATAAATAATTTTGAAGTGCCTATTTTAAATTTCAAATTAAATAGCCTTTTACTAAACTCGTATGAGAGTTTAAACGACTCTTACATCATTACTGCAAATTTTAAGTATTTTTATGTCTATCTTACTGTTTGTACTGTTTGTTCTGACTAATCTCTAAAACGGCTAGACCGATATTGAGTGCGATTTCACTCACAGATAGGTATCGTCATAAGAAGTTAACTGGGATACTTTTTAAGGGACTTCAAAAAGGAAGTGGTTTTTCATTCAATTAAAACTTTGTTACTAACACGCCTTCAATTGAAGACCGATTTTCAGAATTATATTTTTAAGCGAAACGGTATTATTTTGATAATTCTATCGCCTCTAAGCTAATAACTTATTACGAAGTTGTATTTAAGAGAGAAATTGAATCTTTATAAGAATGACAATCTCAGTCCTAAAAGAGGTTTAATATGCAGAGCAGAACCATAGGCAAGAATTAGTTAAGAGCTAAAACATAACTTCGCTTTACTATCATATTAAAAGTACAAATAAATTTTAACCATCCCAGTTACATAAAGATATTGTACATAATAAACAAAAGAAATTGCGTTAAAAAAAACTAATTTAAGAGATTATCATTTAATACTGTGACACATATTGTTGTAGAGTATCAGTAAAATGATTTTTTAAATAATCTTATCGCCTTGGATAACACGTCATTTAGCTAATATTTATATCATGTTATCAAATACAAACAAACAAACAATTATCAATGTATTATATATGTATTTAAAAATATATCAAACTAAATTTAAAACAATAGATGGTAAAATAAAATGAGCACATAAATTTTGTTACTCGTAAACAAAGTTACAATGGCAGTACTGAATAATACTTAAATTTAATAAATATAAAAAAAATGTACAGAAAATCTTATCTTCATTGTCTATAAGCAAGACAAAACAATTAAAATTTATGCTTTTAATCTAAGTTTTATTTAAGAGGCTAAATAAAAATTTCAATCTTAATAGCGGTACTTAATTGAAAAAGTGACTGTCACTTACTGTTAAAATGGTAGAGAATAATATAAATCTATATATATATTTTATTATAAATTATAATATGATATAAAATTAATTAAGTATAATTGTAGTGGACTAACAATTATTCATCATTATAAATTGCAATATTAAAACATAATTATATATTTATAAGAATTATTCAAATATGAACATATATACACAGCTTAAATGTTTTTAAAATAACATTAAGCAAATCTACTTTATATATAATAATTAAAACATGCTCTCATTACTCAACCTACTTCATAAAAGAAATGAAAAATTAGGTCCAAAATAGTTTAAAATTGCATGTATTATATATAGTATATTACAAATCTAGTTATTGGTAATGCTATGGAATTTATGAATCAATTCGCATTCGCTTAGAACATCTTGCTTTAAAATACATTCGGATATTTTTATTGGCCATACGCCAACCAGAAACCAAGTGTAGAGAATTTTGATCCATTCACATGTTTACGCTATATATTATAAAAAACTAAATATTTTCCCACCTTTAGTTGAACATAGAATTGCTTATACATATTCTATTCTATATTAAACCAATCGAAAACAGTAAAACATAATCATTATAAAAGTAACTACTAGTAATATTAAATGATTATTTTACCACTTACCTTCAATTTAGGATAAAAATCGGGCAATCTGTTTGGCTTCAAATTGAGGGTATCACAAATTTCTCTGTGTAATGTTAAAATCTGTTTCATGGTGCCCGCTGAGCAGAAATGATCAAACATTTCCGCTGCCAGCGCGCACTCCGGAGGAGTAGGGACCTTCTGCCCTCCGCTATTCATGTTTGAGCCTAAACATACAATTAAATATGTTAATTAATATTAAATCTTCTAATTTAAAACTAATATATTAAACAAAAAAAAAATTGTGATGCAGAATTATTATGGATAATATTTATGAATTGAGATGAAAAACATATTTTTCAACTTACTTTCTTTAATTAAAGTAATGATCAAATGGTACATTCATTTCAATAAAGTCTTTGTACTTTCAACCCACTCACCTGTCGTAAATAGATATATGTAAATGCAGCTATTTATATAAATATGATACAATTAAAGGACGATATACCTGCTCTCATTTATAAAGTTAATTTTGTAGTCAGGTAGGTAGGTCAAAACTATTACACATTAGTAGGTGAATGGACCGCGGTATATATTTAGAATAATAAAACATAGTCGCTCAAAACGAGAGATAAAAAGAAACTCACCTCACCGCGTCCTTCATAAAAGAGAAACTTAAAACTAAAGACGACTAAGCTATCGGTTACATCAAATGTTTTACTTTATAACAAGACAACTAAACTAAAAGATTAGAAATTTTAAGACAATTGAATTGAAATTGCTCGTTATCAAGTTGCATTCACTATTGTGGATCTATATTCACCAGAGAGTATTTTGAATGAAAAATATTTTTTAATCTGTATTCACTGAAGTTTATCTCGGATATTGTATCTATGGGATATAAAGGTAAATTATTTATAAAATGTTACACACGAAAGGATCTTGGTTAAAAATATCTAATTTATAAATAATATTATATTTATAAAATTATTGGCATTTCATGCACCATTTAGAAAAGCCAATATTTCTATAATATCTTTCGAAGCCAAGGCCAAAATGAGATAAATAAAGTTATTAAAATTGCTAATTCATTGTAATATTTATTATAACAAGTCAATAATGGTCTTATATGATTTGATAAATTAATGGATTTCATCTGAAGCACAATAAAATCCAAGTATTATTAAATCAATCATAACAAAAGGTAAATAATATATATTTTTTCACAAAGTTTTTAAAATTATGTGCATTTTAAACATATTTCCTCATCTCAAAATTTTATTTATATTTTAACTAACATTTTCCGTGATAATTTACAGGCAAATATACTTAATTACGGCTGGTCGCCGTGTTTGTATCGTCTGTCGGCAAACTGCCGAGTGCCGTCTGCCATATTGATGTTTGTTCTTGCTCAAAGATGTAATAAAATTGTGTTGCGTCGTTGGGGTTCCAGTTCACAATGAAAAATCTTTAAAACACTAATCATGAAGACGTAAGTGACTAAAACCATTCAATAAATAACCTCTTAAGTTATTTATTAAGTTATAATATAGTATGTTATTTTACGGTAGAAACAAAATATGTGCGTGGTTAGACGCATTGGATTTGTTATTATTTAGGGATATGTTAAATTATCAATTAAACCTTCACAAAAAGATCATTTCTAAAAGAAAATAATACTGAACAACATATCCTGAGAGAGATGCATCGTGTTTTTTTTCAGATTTTATACATTAATGCGTATTTGTTATGGTCCGAACTAAGCGAATATTTTGCATGGCAAAATGGCGGGTGGTATAGAGGCATGAATCCTAATATTTGAAATCTGTGTTGTCACCAGTAAGAATTGTTTTGAAAACAATCTTATCATATTATGTAGTATCTTCATATATATATTTAAACTTTTCTAAACATTGAATAGGTTAAATCTCACGTGTGATAACGCGCAGCTGAAATATTTACTCATAAATCTTAAATTAATTGTATTTTTAATATATAAAAGCCAAAGCGACTTTAATGAACAGTAAGAAAATGAATATAAATATTTTTAATCATACTCTAATTCTCTTGCATATGGATACTTGTAGATATATGTATAAATCTACTTGGAAAAATAAAGAAAGTTTTTTTTATGTTGAATGATGAATAGATTCAGCAAAAAATTTTAACAATCATTGCTAATTGGTATTAACCAAGCTTACTTGAGTTTTTTCTTTACCTATTTTAATTAAACTTAAAACTTTGGGTTAAAAGTACATATATTGTTTTTGTATGGATCTATGTGATTATCAGAAGTTGTAGATGATATTTCATATTATAGAAATTGCTCAGCAATAATAATATATTAATAATTAACATGATAATAAGGATAATTTAATAAGAATTATTTCTTGCTTGCGAATTGGTCACTGATATATTAGTAATTATAAATTAAGTGAAACATATTATTTAATATATACATCAATATCTCCCACATAAGTTGTTGTATGCCACAAAAATGCTATTTTGCTTTTGTTCTGAAAAATATCCTATAATGGATTGGACAAAACACTATTTTTAAAGGATTTGTCAGATGCATATGTAATGTTGTAATTTTCAAAATTTTGCATAAATTGGATTAATTTGAATCTTTGAGACTCTTTACTGTAAATTTACAGTTTTGGAGATACAACAATTTACGTGGTAAGTATCGATATTTAAATCCATTATTTTTGTTATTCACAATATTATGCTATTAATGTTCTAACATGTATGTAATGTCTAAAACATGTATTTGTCAAAGCGAAATTGAATATTTTTTTAAAATAACAAGTCACAAATAAACTGCTCATTGCGAAGCTTTGGAACTGATTGTTTTAATAACATTTAGTAATAACAGACTGGCATTTTGTTAAGATTTAAATGGCAAAATAAATAGTTTTTTTTTTAACTATGTAACTTATTAGTAATGTTTGATATTTGATAAATAAGTATAAAGAGAAATTCTTTGAATACAAACAAATTTGATCCATCTATCTCACGTTGCATTACAGACTGTAGCAGGGTGGGGATTGATTGGGAATTTATCAATGTTTCAAATTAGTATTATGTTGCATGCACAGTTTTTCACTTTTATAATTGTTACGTATAGTATATTGTAAAATTAGGTATGAAAAGAAATGCCTTTAAATAGCTTGTCCGCAAGTATTTAATATATTAAACTACTTATGCAGCGAATTCAATAATTTTCAAATATTTTCAGCTTAAATCCTAACATCAGTAATAATAGTAGTTTAATATGCAAAGTATACATTAATCCTTTGGTATAATTGTTTAATTATTACGTATTATTATCTCGTGAGTGTCACAAATGTAAATGAATCCTGTTATAATAAAATATTATGTTTTGTTATAGAAAAGTCCAAGCTCAGCGTAAGTTCGCTCAAGGTGCCTATGTGCCGCCCACACTGAACGTCTCTGGCGGAGGAATAGATAGAAGAACTGAGATATCACCTATCAAGGAAAAATCTGTTTTCCATAATAAAACGTCAGCAAGATCACTGTTGGATATTGTCGCATTTAAAAGTAAATTAAAATATTTAATAAGTTTTCTTAACTAACTGGTTAATTTTCAATGCTTTTAATATGTATTTTAACTTTCAGATCTACACAAACATGCACAACCTATAGTGTTGTTGGAACGGCTAGAAAACAGTCATCCGTTGTGTTCAAAGGATCGACCGAATCCAATAGCAATTTCCAAGCCGACAAGCGTCGCGGTAAACAAAAATCATGAAACTATCTCACCGATATCAAATGGAACACACAGTTCTTCTATATCACGAGATAGAACTAGGAATGCTAGGATCATTACACCAAGACTACCCATGCATTTAAGATCGAGGGTAGTAACATATGGTGAAAGAAAGAAAGTATTAGTCACCAAGAAAAAAAACTTTGAAAATCGTGAGAAGAATATCGTTAAAATAAGAAATTCACGTGAACTAAGGAAGAAAAAACGACCAGATAATTATTCTGATGATTTCTCCATTGATGATGATAAGCCTTTAATGTTCTTCAGACAGAAGTCATTGAGCTTAAAGAAAGATGCATCTATGAAGCAGAGGAAGATCAATAATAAACGCCCAAAGTCAGGTGAATACTTTGTCTCATATATATGTATGTGAATTTGTTATTTTTTTGTTATGAAATCTGTATGTTATTATATGTTTTCAGTTAAAAACTCCGAGCCAAAACCTAGAAATAAGACTAAAATAGTACGACCTGGCCTAAATCTGCAAGGTACGAAAGTTAATATTAGTGAAAAATATATATTTTACATATAATTTATAATATTTTGTTTGGTACTTTGTTATGACAACGAAATTGTACACTAAATGATTTGTTCTGAAAGATTATTAAACAAAACCAGCCTTCAAGCCAGAAGCTGTGTTCAAATAGTGTTGCTTAATAATTACAAAATATTGAAAATAAAATGTTAATTGTAGTTTATAAATTTAATAGAGGCATATATTTTTATAAATTTCATAATGAAACGTTAATAAAAACATAAAAAAATACATTAAATGTTTTTTGTTTAACATATATTTAACAATACACGAATCTAAACAAGCTAACAAAAGTTTCTTTAACTGATGTCTTTGATAGAACTTCAATCCTAAAAAAACTATTACTATCTGCATATGTAATTAAAGAAAATGTACTATAAGTTTAGAGTGGCATTTAACTGAAAGTATTTTTTAAGAAATACAGTCATTGTGCTTGTATATGGGACCTAGTTATTGGGAACAATTTTCAAATTAATGTTTAAAGCTCTATGTATCGAAAGAAAAAGATATTAAGTACCAAAGAGGTGATTGCGTCAATAATTTTCCTGTAATCTTTAGGTAAAGATGCAGTGAAACGTAGATCGTCGTGTTTAGATCAAAGTGCAGTGCAAGGACCAGCGTCGTGCAGTACGAAAATAAAGCCAATACCAGCCAATAAAAATGTTAGCCCTACCCTGGAAGCAGCGCCTTCCAAAGATGTTATCCCTATCCCAAAATCTTCACCGACTAGCACAAAAACTAACCTCGTTTCCGGTCTATCGTGCAATACGAATACAAATCCTACATCACAAATAAAAGAGGAGGAACAAAATCTTGGATCATCGAATAAAAACGTGGACTTCATTCCCGGAACGCCAACCCCGAATGTAAATGCGAATCTCATTAAAGTACTCTCGACGTCAAATTTGATTGTGGATGCGAATGGCAGACCAACCTTCGCTGGTATTAACATGGAGGCCAATACTGGTCAAGTACCAGATAAAATAAACGTGAACCATTACTCCTGGCCTGCGTCTCATATTAATATGGATACTATTCCCGTACAATCATTCCCTAATGGAAATATTGGTTCCATCCCGGTAACATCACCCGGTATGAATGTGAATCCCATTGCTGGACCACAGTCACAGATATACGTGGTGAATGTACCGGGTTCATCATCGAATATATACGTGGTTCCCGTCCCGGGTGCATCGACCTTTGCATATGCGACGCCCGTCCCAGCGCCGACATCTACAAATTTATACGTAGACAGCATCCCAGGGCCATCTTCTCTGAATATATACAAAGATCCCATACCAGGAACGTCGTGTAATGGCGTGTTTGGTGTGGCTAGTTCAACTCCATCAGCAAATATTTGTTCAGATAGTGATAAAGTCCTTTCACCCTCGAATTATAATGGCAATGTCACTGAGCCGTCATCTTCATTGCTATGCGCAACACCTGGTTCATTGCCATGCCAAAATACTCTGCAAGCATCAGAGTGTTCATCTCCGGACGCGTCATTAGCTTCTATTACCAGTTCCCCATCCTCAAATCAAGTACCAACAGCTTCTTCATCAGACATTTATTCGAATCCCGTCCCAGGAACTTCAGGTTCCAGTATATCTTCAGATCCTACCACGAATACATCCTCAAACGGACGTAACAGACGAAGCATAGGCAAACAGAGGCGGAAGTCATCTATAAAATCCGCTTCATCATCAACAAAGAGTAAGTATCTAGACTGCGAATTGATTTTTGTTCATTACTATAGAATTGAATGGTTCTTGGAATATAATAGACTAATAGAATCACTAAACTATAACTATTCTCTAATGGATTAAAATATAAAATTTGGAAATACATAAGTTCTTTTTGGTGAGAAATAAGGTTTTGTGATAAATATTATATTATATTACTTGTAACATTTAAAGTAATCGGTTTTACATTATAATATTGATGCAGTCTTAGATGACGGTATTCGGTGAACTTGCTACCCTGTCTAATATTTCATCATTTAGTCAAATACCTTATGTTAAATACCTTATGAAATTTTAACATTGAATCCATACAAAAATTAATGCTCATTTTTTTACCCTTCTATGCCGTGGCTTAGCTTTTATAATGGAAGGTCATTATAATAATAATTCATACCGTTTGAAAATCTCACCATGTATTTAATATACTTATATACAGCTAACAAAGTATATAATTAGTTTCAGAACCACCAATGGCGTTGAAGGCACCGTTTTATGGAATAAAAAGGATCGAGAGCTGGTTGTCATCAGATTTTAGGGTGGTTACAGCGCCACCACCGCCGAAACCACCTAGGAAGAACCCATCAGAAACCAGAGAGGAAACGATGTCCCCAGAACCTGAAATTGACGAAACCGAACAATGTATTGGAGCAAAATTCACAACTGTTAAAGACATCATAAACTACGGCCCGAGCTATTTCGACTGCCTGTGTTTGCAATGCGACCATTGCAATTATATTCATAAAATGTTGAACAAGTACAAACAAGAGTCCACCACAAATAGAAGTGACGTCAGAATGAGGAAACGGAAACACGAGGAATCGTTGACAGTGGAACTTCAGGACGCGTCAGATTCTATGGTAATCGAAGTTTCAGACAGCGAGGATATAAAAACGATTGATTTAACCGGTGACACTGACGATCTCATGCAAGATAATGAAGTATCGAACTCGAACACTGGCGACAGTAACACACAGCCAGAGAATGTTAAACAACAGAATGAAACACAACGAGATACACAAGAAAGATCGCAGAATCAATTAGCAAGGAATCTGGCGCAGCGGATACAAACACAGAACCAAAGACGGATGCAACAGAGGCAGAGGCAGCGTGTTAGCAGACAAGGGTCAGCATTACGTGGTCGACAGAGAATTGTACCGAGAACACCTCAAAGACCATTGAGGAGGGTAGTTGTTAATAAAGCAGTTAACAGAAGATCATTAACAAGATACTCATACCAAACAAGCAAACGCTCTGAGAACGTATCGAAAATACTTAGAGACAAGATCATCACAGCTCCCGTGTTTTATCCCACTTTGGAAGAATTTAGGGTAATATTTTTATCAAAATCAATTTCATACATTCGTAAACTATAGTTACACAATATTTTTTTTTTTTTGTTTAAGGATCCCATGGCGTATTTAGAGAAGATAATGAAATTCACAAAGAAGTACGGCATCTTCAAACTAGTGGCGCCAGACGAATATGAACCTACATGTACTATATCCGAGAACTTTAAATTCAGTACATCCCATCAATACATAGCTAGGTTCTTCAATAGATGGGGTCCAGCCGCTAGGGAACTATGTACTATGAGAGCTTATTTGGCTACACAGAATGTACATTTTAAACGTGGGCCTTTGGTAATTATATAACTCAAACTAAAATGAAATATCCTAATATTATCAATAATTAATCTATTTATATCTTAGCTAGGAGGTCTAGAAGTTGATTTGCCCAAAGTGTTCCACATCGTACAAAGACTTGGAGGTTTAAAGACTGTGATGGATAAAAAGAAATGGCATCGCATAGCCGAGGAATTGAATCTTAGAAATCTACGTAATCCGGAGAAGAAATTTGATAATCTATTCCTAAAGTACTTGTTGCCATATAACAGTCTTACTAAACGTGAGTTCATATTAATTTAATTTAATCTCTATATATGTATATTCAATATTGTGTTAATGGAGAATATCAATAAGTAATTCTAATTACTATTTATTTATTTATATACCAAAAGTAGTACATAGTTACATTATTATAAAAGAAGTGTGTTGCACAAAGTATAACTTATATCTTAAAAGATATCTGCCGGAAATTCTTTTGATTGAGGTAATGAGAAAAAATACAGTAAAAAAAGAGACGGAAAAACTACAAACTAAATTATAATAACAGCAAAATTTTAATATTATACATACATAAATGAAATATATACGTAAATATATATAAACTAGCTTTCCGCCCGCAGCTTCGCCCGCGTAGAGTTCGGTTATATCACGTTTCCAAGAGAACCATTCAAAAGTCTGGGATAAAAACTATCCTATGTTCTTTCTCTAGGTCAACTCTGTCTATACCAATTTCATTAAAATTAGTTAGGTTTAGGCGTGAAAGCGTAACAGACAGACACAGTTACTTTCGCATTTATAATATTAGTAAGGATTAATCAATTGATCGCTAAAATATGATCTACTTCCAGGAGAACGTCAAGATATGATGATGAAAGTCGAACAGAGGTGGATTAAGAAGAACAATAGATTGATGAAGCGCGTCGTGAATCCTCTTTATAGACAGAAACGGATGCTGGGAGAGATTGAATCATCAGATGAAGAACCGGAAGATGAGGATTATCTGACAGAGGCGTTAAACTTGGCTGAAGATTGCAGCCAGCTCGGACGAAAAATGGGTCTAGAAGCATTCAAGAAGGTAGAATAAGATGAATAATACATATATACATGCACTTAAATGTATTCCCAGTTCATTTAACTATATTACATTTGATACCCGTTCACCTATATTATATTACACTAGTTTTTGCCGCGGCTTCGTCCGCGTGGAATAGTTACTTCCGACAGATTTTTGGTTCTTCGAACATAGTTCCCGTTCTTGCGGGGTTTTCGGAATGGTCGAGTTCCCGTAGAATTTTCTGGATGAAACCTATGTTTTTTTTTTTATTAATAATGAAGTACTCTTAATCAACAACATATTTATTTGTTTATATAAATAAAGATTAATATTATTATTTTGATACAACTTAAACAAATTATTTCGACAAAATTAGGTACCATAAAAACGGTTTTTGTGAGTTAGTCTTAAAAGAGAAAGAAGAAAAGAAAGACATATACTGTCGCGGACTGTTTTTTAGATCATTAAAAGAGCTATTATTCTTTAATACATATTTTTTGTGTATCTTGAACCGTTTTCACGGCGCACGCAACGGAAGGCTTCAAAGATGAAATAATTTCTCCCGTTTTTTACACATTTACATCTACAGGGTGACTGGTGAATTACTATCGATACTTGAGGACGTGATATTTGACGATCATATATGACAAAATAAAAATTAATATAACATAAATATTAATAAACTTCTAAGTAAAGTTAACCAAAAGTTGTGTAATTAATTACGCATCGTGTGAACACCCTACGGATTAGGTATACACACACACACACACGCGTTTGGCGGCGCGGTGTTGTATCAGCACGCCGCCGTACGCGTCCACACTTGGAACACTTGGAACGTGTCCGCACTTTATTTATTTATACGGAAATTTGGTCAAAAATTAAATACCTATTTTTTTACATAATTCGAATGAGAATCATGTACCGAGTATTCACCTTAAATATTGATAGTAATTCACCAGTCACCCTGTATATCTTTGCTCCTATTGGTCGTAGCGTGATGTTATATAGCTCACAGCCTTCCTGGATAACTGGACTATCCAACACAAAAAGAATTATTCAATTCGAACCAGTAGTTTCGGAGATTAGCGCTTTCAAACAAACAAACAAACTCTTCAGCTTTATAATATTAGTATAGATTTTATTTATTGCATACATTTAATTCATCTAACATTAAGTGTAAAATAATTTTGTTATCGACCATTCTAGTAAAAACAGAATAAAATTTTTACGTACTGACAAAAAATTATTCAGCGTAATACTTTATAGAACATAATACATTCAAGAACCTATATAGGTTCTAGTAGTATATACTAGTATATAAATGATAGTTTTTGCCCGCGACTTTATCCGCGTTAGTTTCTTATTTAGTGATATATGTATAACTGAATTGGTGAACTCTGCTAGATATTAATTAATTAAGATTTTTTCTTTCTCTTTTGGGTCGAATGGAATTAAATATCCTATGTCCATCTCTAATTTTCAACCATATTACTATGTTCTTGAGTTATAAATAGTGTAATTAACACAATTTTCTTTTATATATATGTTATTTATATGTAACAGATTGCCGGAACAGCATTCACAATGTACTTTCCCGACGAGAAGACTCAGCCTACAGTCGCCGAAATAGAGGAGAAATATTGGAACATAGTACTACTTGGAACACAACACGTGTCAGTGAACACTGCGTTCATAGAAAGCGGCGTAGAAGGACACGTACCTCCTAAGAGTAAAACAAATGATTCTATCAATACGAATCCATGGTATTTGAAGGTAAGGAAAAAACTATTCACGTATAGCGTCAGGGATAGTGCAAATCCGTGTAACTACCATTGTATGTCTAATTCCGCGTATCTATATTGGAAGCAGATTATCAGAAGAAAGTTTAAGCTGAAATATTTTCTGTATTTACACAATTAGTAATAAATTAAACTCTAAATTGTGAAAAAATTACTTTAAAATTCGTTAATATAGAAAATATTTCAGCTCAAATTTTCTTCTGATAGTCTGCTTCCAATGTAGATTATCCAATTACCAAATGGTAGTTATGCTGTTTTGCATTATCCCCGACGATATTATAGAATTTCACCCAAAAACACAATAAAATTTTAATATGTATATATCTTAGAATTTAAGCACCGATAAGAGTAACGTTCTACGTTTGCTCGGTTCATTGGCTGGTATGACAGTACCGTCGCTTCACGTGGGAATGGTGTTTTCAACTAGTTGTTGGCATCGAGACCCGCATGGGTTACCATGGATGGATTACTTGCACCAGGGAACAGAGAAAATATGGTAATTAGAATAATCTATATATATAAAAATGAATTGCTGTTCGTTAGTCTTACTAAAACTCGAGAACGGCTGACCGGAGTTATCTTATCTTAGGCTTGAAATGTTCGTGTAGGTTCAGGGAAGGATTAAAAGCTGAAAAGTTGATTAATTTTCGGGAAAACCCTAAAACAGCGCTTTTCTATTTCCCATACAAACGTTTTTTTGACATTAGATTTGACAACTAACTAATATGTCAATCATTCTGTCGCACTTCAAAACACGGAGATTTATCGCTTAAAGATAATTTATGGCTTAAACTCCAAAAAAATAAATAAGAAATTATTTATTTATTGATTGAGGCAGTACAAAGTCTGCCGGGTCAGCTAGTATATTATATACTAGCTTTTGCCGCGACTCCGTCCGCGTGGAATAGTGACTTCCGGCAGATTTTTGGTTCTTCCCACATAGTTCCCGTTCTTGCGGGGTTTTCGGAATGGTCGAGTTCCCGTAGAATTTTCAGGATAAAACCTATGTTTTTTTATTCATAATGAAGTTCTCTTAACCAACAACATATTTATTTGTTTATTTGAATAAAGATTAATATTATTATGTTGATACAACTCAAACAAATTATTTCGACCAAATTAGGTACCATAAAAACGGTTTTTGTGAGTTAATCTTAAAAGATAGACATATACTGTCGCGGACTGTTTTATAGATCATTAAAAGAGCTATTATTCTTTACTACAAATTTTTTGTGTATCTTGAACCGTTTTCACGGCGCACGCAACGGAAGGCTTCAAGGCTTCAAAGACGAAATAATTTCTCCCGTTTTTTACACATGTACCACTATATCTTTGCTCCTATTGGTCGTAGCGTGATGTTATATAGCCTACAGCCTTCCTCGATAACTGGACTATCCAACACAAAAAGAATTATTCAATTCGAACCAGTAGTTTCGGAGATTAGCGCTTTCAAACAAACAAACAAACTCTTCAGCTTTATAATATTAGTATAGATGTATTTCTTTGGTTACCATTATCTAATAAAATATATTTTTTTAGGTATGGAGTACCTAGTCACGAAGGTCAAAACTTCCGCTGTGCTCTAGAAACTCTCTGCCCTACTCTATGCCAGAACAAAACTTTATGGCTACCATCTGAGATCGCAATGACACCGCTCAACCTCCTATTAGACCGTAACATTAAATTAACACGTTGCGTACAGCGGCCGGGCGAATTCGTGTTCGTGAACCCCCAGGCGTATTCTAGTTCGGTGTCAACAGATTTCACTGTATCGGAGAGCGTTTACTTCGCTACTGAATCCTACTTCGAAAACGTCAATCAGGCCTTTCAAGTTAGTACTGCTTTTCAAACTTTATCATAGTATAAATAAGGAATATTATAGCAAATTTGTGCGAAAACTCATATATTATGAATTAATTTTGTGATTTTTCTTCTAGGAGTTGAAGGAAAGCTGCGAGCCGTCTTCGTTTTCGTTGGAGCAGCTTTTGATATCAGCTGCCAAGGACCCACATCTGCCGCTAAACGTTCTAGAACACGTCCACAAACATCTCAATGATATAGTATCTGAAGAACTGTCCTTCAGAAGGGCACTCACCGATCTCAAAGTACCGGTGAGATGAAGTATTGAAATTATACATACATACATATACACATACGTACATACACACACATAGAAAGATACATACATACATGCATTCATACATACATACATATAATTACACACTGTATGGGTTTGGTACCACACACCATTTAGATTTGATAGTTTTATGAAGACCAGCTAGTTTGTGAGTATCGCGTTTAGGTAATGAGAACGACCCGTTTATTTGAACGCTTTATTGATACTGACTAAATTATGACGATGCTTAGATTTATATTTGCTTATGAACGTGTACGTACAATGAAATTATGTTAATGGATGGGTGAACCCATACACACACACACTACACACATCAATGGATACGTACACACATGCATGCATATACATATATACACATACACACATACAAAGATTAAATCTAAATGAATATTCCATATGTCTATAATGATATATGTTTATTATTACAGTTGCTGCTCAATAAAAACCGTCCAACAATCTGGAGTGCTCGCGATGATGATGAGTGTCAAGTATGCAGGACGGCGTTGTATTTGTCACGTGTAAGTTAATTTACTACATCCCTACTAATATTATAAATGCGAAAGTAACTCTGTCTGTCTGTCTGTTACGCTTTCAAGCCTAAACCACTGAACTGATTTTAACGAAATTTGGTACAGACATAGAGCTGACTTTTGAAAGGTTCTCTTGGAAACGCGATATAACCGAACTCCATATAGATAGAGACGAAACCTTTCATCATTCAATGCATTCATCGTGCGTGTGTCGTGTCCATCGTTGTAGTGAGAGGAGCTTCAACAGTGACTGGGACTTGTGACCCAGGTGTAGGTTTAAGGGACCCTATCTAACGCGTTAAACGCTCACCTCCACCGTCCAAACTCCTCTCTCTACCTAACATATGTAATTAATAATATATATATGTAAAATCTGTTCAATAGGTAACGGGACTTTTCAAGAATGCCTCCGTATGTCTGCAACACGCTCTCAGACTGATCAATTTGAAAAAAGGAGCCGAATTGAAGACTTTGATATCAACACTGGAAATGGAAGTATCTATAAGTAATACTGAACTACACGATATAGTTATTAAACTACAGAGAAGACTTTCACATAGAGGGAAATGAAAGATAGGTATTCATTAGGAACATAATACTTGCTATTTGGCGAACTATCAAAGACATTTGTATATAAAATAGGTAATTAATGCAGTATGTATTACAAAACATTTTAATTTTAATATCTCAACATACCCTAAGTTTTCATGAATATTCCTATTGTTTTAAAGTATCCAAAAAACGATTAACTCGCCATCTGTAGTATCTACTATAATTAAATAAGTATTCCTTCTCAGTAACTTTAAAATGATTTAATGTATTATAATATGTATTACCATTTCATAGTTTCATACTACTATATGTATAATAATATATAAGATTTGACCGTATGTAACTATTTACTTTATTATATACTAGAAGACCTGGCGAACTTCGTATCGCCCTATAATCAAGAAATATCTATGTATTACGTTTTTTTATTTATATTTTTGGAGTTTACCTGTAAAACATAAATCTCCGTGTTTTGAAGTGCGACAGAATGATTGACATATTAGTTAGTTGTCAAATCTAATGTCAAAAAAAACGTATGTATGGGAAATAGAAACGGGCTGTTTTTATGGTTTTCCCAGTAATGAATCAATTTTTTTCAGCTTTTATACCTTCCCTGAACCTCCACAAACATTTCAAGACTAAGATAAGATAAATCCGTTCAGCTGTTCTCGAGTTTTAGCGAGACTAAGGAACAGCAATCCATTTTTATATATATAGAAGATAATTAATTTTATTATACATGGGGAATAAGTCTCAATTTGCAGTTAAGACAAACGATATTTAGTGCCATCAAATTGTGAACTAAATTTACATAATAAGACTTTTGTTACTATGTAGTATAGTTAATTTTCTTTATGACGTACAATTATTTTGCTTTAATTATTAATTAGGTATAATTGTATAATTAAATTAATTTCCTGATATTTTCAATATAATTTTGAAATAATTTTAACTGTAAAAACTATACAGTAAGTTTTTTCGGTATTTAGGTAAATAAAAATCGGTCAAACTTACTTTGTTTAATCCTAATCTTTAAATACTTGATGTCAAACATCTTTACCTAAAAACTACATACATATAACGACATCAGGTTTTATTATATATTGCAAATAAACGAATTAATTGTATATCTCAGCTAAGAAATAGTTTAAGAAAAAAACTAGGATATAAGAATAACAAGTGTGTTACTAAGACATTACTGAGAATTCATTAATTATGAGTAAGTGAAAACCACAATATAATATGTGTGAAATATTTCCAATTTTGTATAATAATAATTATTAATTGTAATGTTTATTAAGGAAATGATCAAAAGAAACCCACCGGAAAAATTTGTGGGGTAGTGTTTAAAGATTTCTTGAGTGCATATACATAGTTTGTGAGTTTGGAATCGTTTAAATTATTATTTGATATTGAGAAGCTTTGTACTGATTTTTTTTTATAATAATTAAGTAAAAACCTTATATGATCTCTTGGATAATTTTAAAATTGTATTTGATATTTTAAGAAAAGGCTGAAAATCGTATTTTAGAGGATTTCATAGTTGTAATGATTTAGTTTCTTTTAGTGGTAACTGTAGTGTAAATATTTGTTCTGACCAAAGTAATTATAATATTATTTGACATCGCCATAAACAATAGATGAACTGCGTTATAAATGTAAGTTAAAATAATGTTTTTTCCTTACAAATGTATAAAAAATGAAAAAAATACTACTAAAGTTTGTATCCTACAGGGTAAACTCAAAACTTAAGATACAAAGGTGTGACCTTTGTAGTTCTGTGTAACAGTCGTTAAAGTGGTGTCTACGATTAATTATTTATAACAATAATCACTAAGTTAATATTAAGAATGATTATTGATTGTATTTTTTTTATAATTTGTATTACAATTTTTACAACATTGCAGATTAATGTTGTAGATAGCAGGACAGATTGAGAGTTTTTTTTTTTCTTTTGATACATTTGTATAAATCAATAAAATGAGTATATTTTATCCTTGTTATTTTATTTATATTATCTTTTTATTGAAGATGGCCGTCACAATAATTAAATAATAAGAGATTTTCTCAAAAAATATATATACTCTGTAATGCTGATCTATGCGCTAAAAATATACGGTCGTATTAAAATCATGTACCCTAGCAACCATTTCTGTCTATATTTTTTAAAGAATTTTATTACTGATAAAAAAAAATACTTCTATTCATATTTACATTAAAATAACTATTCAACAATTCTTGAAATAGTACCTAAATGTTGCAATTACTTATCCTAATGGAATTTTACATGCAGTTGCATCGCATTGATAATGTGTCCAAATTGAATATCACACGAAACATTGATACTGGGGTCATCAAAAAAATTACTTTCATTATAATATAACGTCGTAACGTACAATGTTTCACAAAAAATTCAATACAAAACGCCATATTTATGAAACTGCCTCGTCAATTTATTTAATTAATAACGCTTCAATACGCCTCCAAAATCAAATCCCCTGGGTCACCTGCTGTCTAGACGAGGTCGGCCGATCAATAATTTAAACCATGCGCAAAATAAACTGTAGGGCGTGGGTTCAAATTAAATAAGCCATTTTTAATGTGTACCAGATTTTATTTATATATGACGTACCTAACCAATAATATGGGAGATAATTTTACATGATCTGACTGTTTGAAAGTATTGTACATCGATTTAAAAAATGATATATTTGCATTTTGTTTAAAAAAATACAAAAAATTTAAACATTTACCCTTTTACGATTTATTATTGGATCAATAGTAGCAATAATAAAAATTAAAATGAGTTGAAGAAGGAACAGATAATATTTTTTCTTAAATTACAATTTAAAATTGTTACATAGTTGTAGAATGGCTCGACTCTTGAGATTTTCAAAATGGTTAAAAGTATATTTAATTTATTCTATTCTTGTATTTTTTTTAAAGTCCTATCACTCCAAGTCTTTATCTTTCTGATGACGCAGGGAAACTCTTTTTACGAGCCGTCCAACCGGCATTGGTGGGGCCGGAAGGGATGTGTGAGGCTCGGCCTGGGCAGGCCCCTACTCACTAAAACCACTGCGAAAGCCATCGGCCGCTATGTCGGTGTACCCCGGATCTGTCAGCGACAGGGTACACCAGCGACTGGCCGGTCCTGGCAAAGACCGGACTTACTCCCTCGGAGAATGGGGGCGATCCCGGCAATTAGGGCCACCCCGACAACCCCAGCCTATCACTCCAAGTCTTAATTATTCAGCCACCTTGTCTTAGGCAATTAGACTATGAATAAGTCTACAATATTTGACTCAATATATTCTTTAAAATTTTCTATAATGAGGTTTTAGAAGTTTAAGAACATAGGACGTTCTGTATAACGCAAGACCATTCTAGAGATGTGCAAGATTCGGTTCATTTTATTATCAATAGTTTTATTACATTCATTTTAAGAGACCTCACCAACCCTTTTATAAATGCTCCAATGACTAATGATAGTATAACTACATTAGTTTATCAGAAAATCCATCTGAACTAGGCTAGCACACTATTATTTCAAAAGTGTAATGACTAAAACAGCAAGTCCTAAGAACACAACTAATTAATAACACGCGGTATACATTAAAACAATCTGAAAATGAAATATGTAAGATTTAAAGATGAGCAAGGAAGGTTAATTGCAAGGAATATCTTTACCAAATTGTTTATGATACAAAAAATACTATGCATAGCTTGTGATGATAACTATTCTAAAAAATATACCGAAATATGTTTAAAATTCCAATTAAACGTACACAATATTCAATAGGATGAAATAAAAGCATCACGACATACTAAAAACTTATTTAATCCAAATATCGTTGGCAAGGATGGTACAAAAAAATCAGTTTACCCGTTATTTTTAAGTTACATTAAAAATATTCAAATTATCGTAAGTAATGAAATAAAAGAGCTCCGATAGTTACATCGAAACTTTAAAAAAAATAAAATGAATTAATCATTTAAAACTATTTAAGGACGACAAAAGTACACAAGTTTCGTTCACAATAATTCTTTAGTATGAGTTAATATTATTTTATATCGACTTTATACTAAGTACATTCAATACACATCAGAAGTTGAAGTACATACGTCACGTGGTAATAGTTAAAGTGATTGGAATGTTCACTGACGTACAGTTGATAATACAATGTTAGACATTTAATTACAATATAACATTTAGCCTATAAGTAAATTGAAGAGACCCTTAAACCGTAGACATGAGAAACCTCATAATAAACTCGTAGAAAATGTTTACATTACAGCTACAAGAACATGTTTCATACACACCCACATATTATAATAAAATATCGTATACTAACATTTTAATACGGTGGACGAAGCTGGATAGTTAACAAAAAAAGATTCAAAACGAATACAAAAATTAAAAATAGAAAATATAATTCTATTACAGCATGAAAACGATCTGTAGATAATAAAACTAGCCTTGATTTTAAACATAATAATAAGGCAGTGTTAACCGAGCTTTGAGGTATGCGGGTTGAAATCAGTGGCCCGCTTATAATGAGGTAACAGAAATATAGTACATAATTAACATACAATTATGCTTGAATTGCTTACATTATCAATTAATGAGATTGTACACAAACATACACATATTAGTACACACTAAACTTATATATATATTTTATTTAAGCGACTACTTAATGGAATGAAATGTATATTTTTCTAAGTTAATCGGCCGTTAATGAATAGTTATATGTAATTTGAATTCGAAATTTATTAAGTACTAAAAATATTCAATCATAGTTGTGTTAAAACTTAAAATCAAAAGAATGGCCGATTTCTTTAAAACAGATGAGAAATAAAAATATTTTATTTTATTTTAAGTGACCTTATTTTTGGAATACATGCACAACAATGAAGTGATGTCGAATGTATAGTGATAGAAAATTGAGAGACATTTATAAAACATGACCCGCTTTCCGTGAAGTCGGTCATTCGGTTGTATTATATAATATCAGGTGCGTTAGTAAATCGCAACATTAGTGATTATTAATTAATTATTAAACAACCACCACAGTTATTAAAACTTATTATAACTATATGAGTTTGAGCAACCGAGAGAAACCTAATATCAGATGTCGTACTAAATTATAAAACAGATTAACTATCAATGGTATGCTTACCACTAGTTTGATGTCACACTATCATACTTAAAGTTTGCCGTTTCTCTTTCAACAGGCTACTTTAATAGTATAAATTGAAAATTTATGAGTAACCGTTCAATTAAAAAGTTATGTGAACACAATGTATAAATGTAAAATAGTTTCCCAGTAATTATTTTCACGCACGGACCAAAGATAAAATAATTCAGTCTTTATAATTAGCAAGTTAAAATAATTGTATAGAAATTGATAATCTAAGAAGACGACATTGTCATATAGATTTAATAATGGTTTTGTGACGGTTTAGGGGTTGAAGGTTGGCATTGAAGCGAGTTTCTGCTTCACTTCATCAGATGTATCATCGCTTAGGAGCAGAGTATGGGAGTAACCCATAGCGACTTGAGTTATATTGAGACCCTCCATACGAGTCACCTCTTTAGGCCGAGCTGTAGATTTGTTTATATCACCGGTACCCTGAAAAAAGCAATATAATCCATTAATTTGTATGTAAAATCTGATTAAATCTGTATGAATGAAGATTTTATTACGTCATGAGTATATATTACATGATCTACTAGACGTAATTGCTACTTTTTCTTAGAACAAAAATTGAATTCTTATTGAACTTGAATTATAAAGAAGTTTGATACTTTACTTCAAGAAAATTAAAGTATTTGGAACAAATATATACTGAATAACTTATATAATATATAATTATTTTGATTTCATTTACCAGTTCGCCATAAGTAGGTGACACTCCCCAAGCGATGAGTGAATCGTCTGCTGCTATAACAATAGATGTATTGCTTGTACCCACGCTACGAATATTCCAGCCTGAAATTGATATTAATTAATATAAAAATTATCTTATATATTAATATATATATTATTGTTATTATGTATATTACTCACCAGTCAAATCTTGCACTGGTTTCGGATACATATTAGCTTCACCCGTACGTTTCGTTTGACCGAACATGAACAGAGCCCCTGTAAATATAAACATAAAATAAAATAATTTAAATAACTTAATGTTTTCATACAAGAAACACGACAAAATGACTCATATACAGACTATAATAATTATTGATACAACGATTGAAATATTTAACAAAAATATGGATATTGTATCAAGATTATCATGAATCATGATTGTGATACAGAAACCTTTTAAAGTTAATAATATTTAATTCAATCGCTATGATCCCGGCAACCGCACGGAGAATCCATTGAAAGCTAAGCAGTTTTTTCTATGTGAAAGGTGGCAAATGAGCAGATGGCATACTTAATGGACAGTAGTGATCGTCGCCCATGAATATTCGCAACAAAGATGTTACGGATGCATTGCCAACCTTGATGGTTGAGGAAAAGTTAGGGGCTGGAATAGGGAAATAGCAGGAAAAGGAGGGAATAGGGAAAAGGCAACCGGCTTCTTAAAGATTACTTCATGGCGGTCTTCTGTGAGAGGGTGGTACTTCGGCCAAGCCAGCACATGTTCGAGCTGTAGTAACTTGACTACAGTTACGCTCTACTACCTTAAAAGCAGTTTAGTATCTAGTAATAATCCTACTAATATTATAATTGCGAATGTTTGTCAGTGTGAGTGTTCGTTACTTCTTCACGCTCAAACGGCTGGAGCGATTTTGATAAAATTTTGTATAGAGGAAGCTGACGTCCAGGAATAATACATAGGCTACTTTACATCCGCGAGTAACACCGCGGGGCGCAGCTAGTATTATATATACCGTGTTCGTTGACAGCCAGACTGTAAGTAGCCCCGCAGTGTACGGACCGCACGCCCCGCGCCTGCGAGTCGAAGTATTTAATCAGTCGAGGTACACTTTCATCACGTTGTTCAGCGTGACCCAGACGACCGAAGCCCCCGAAGCCCCAGCTGTAGGCGCGCTTCTTAGAATCTATGGCCACCTGCATACGTATATAATAATTAAAACAGAAATCTATATATTTATAAGAGATTTCTACCTATATATTGTGTTATGTGAATTATATTCATTTTCTTTATTTTTGTAATATTGTTTTTTATATCCTTTTTTGTATAATTTTTTTTTCTTTGTGTGTATGTCAATAAATGTCTTCTCTATATTGACTCATCACTATATCTCTGGAACCATAAGGCGTAGCGACTTGAAATTTGGTAGGATTATTCCTTTCGCCGAGTAGAGGTCAGCTAAGAACGGATTTTACGAAATTCCACCCACAAGGGGGGTTGCGGGGGCGTTAACAATGGAAAATACGCTTTCACGCCTAAACCACTGAACTGATTTTGATGAAATTTGGTGCAGAGATAGAGTTGACCTTGAGAAAGAACATAGGATAGTTTTTATCCCAGACTTTTGTAAGGTTCTCTTGGAAACGCGATACAACCGAACTCCACCCCGGCGAAGCGGCGGGCGGAAAGCTAGTAGAATTATAATTGTTTATCGTCGGGAATAGCGCAAATCCGCGTATCTACATTGGAAGCAGATTATCAGAAGAAAGTTTGATCTGAAATATTTTCTATATTAACTACTTTTAAGGTTTTATCAGAATTAATAATTATTTAGTGTTTAATTTATTACTAATTGTGAAAATAGTGTGTGTGTGTGTGTGTATTTACCGTATGGTTATTTCCACAGGAGAAATCAACTATATCCACATCCTTGACTGGGCTCACGTGGCCGTCCTTAGATTTCTCAAAGAAGAAAGCGATATGCTTCGGCACCATCTCGAAATGATACGACAGCTTCGTTGATGTTACGAAGTATTTGCCATCGGTGTTGTGACCTGAGTTCATATATTAATAAGTTATTAAAAAATCATTAAAATATTAAAGAAAGTCGTGTTAATTACACTATTTATAACTCAATAACTGTATGGGTTTGGATGAAAATTGGTGAAAAGATAGATTAGTACATATAAAGAATATAGGATACTTTTAAAAATAAATAATAAGTTGATCAAATCAAAAATCTTCTTATCTACTGTATTTAAAGAGGAATAGAGTTCTCCTGGTCAGCTATATATTTCTAATTCTGAAACACAGACGAAGTCGCGTGTAAAAACTAGTATATACATATTATATGTTATAATTACCTAACTGGCCATATTCAGGTAGACCAAACGAGTGTAGCGCTCCATTGCAGTCCAATATCATAGAGAATTCAGCACCGCAGCCAACCTTCACTATTGGAGCTCCGCTTTAACAAAAGAAATCTATTAAGTACTAGCTGACCCGGCGAACTTCATACCGCCCTATAATCAAGAAATATCTGTTAAACATACTACAAATTATCCTGTAGAAACCAATGTGAAAAGTACACTAAGAAATTGTTAATGAATTATAATCTAAGACCGATATATTTGCAAAGAGCATGTAAATTTATTTAAATTTTTCTTTGTTTTAATGGTAATTACGTGAATATTACTGTAACTGACACATTATTTTACTAAAAAAGTTTTTTTTTTCTTACATAACAAATACAACAAAAAAAGAATTTGATGAAATCGGTCCAGCAATTCACGCGTGATGACGTGACCAAGGGAAAAAGTGTATAACTCACGTGTATCGCACACGAGTCGGTACTAATATCTGGGGCGTAGTGTGTCCTAGACCACATTGAGCACTTTTGTTATCACCACAAGCATACACGGTACCCGTATCTAGAAATAAATGAAAATATAAATTCCTTTGCTTTTAATTATTAATACTGATCTTTATTAAACATGTTTGAGAGTTCTCAATATATTTTATGATATTCGTGTGCTTAAATAAAACATAGTAACTTTGTTTGTTGCTTATCACACGCATTGCTTTTATTTTACCACAGCAACTCTGAATATGTATAATTTAAAACCTATATTTCTCTGAATTCTAAGCTAGACAATAGAAGGTTTATCAAAATCTATCAAGTAGTTTTTGCATTAATAATTAACAAAAAGTAATACATGTTTGAAGTACAGTTTCAATCTTGATTTTTAAACATTACTGTTACAAAATTACATTGGTTATTAATTAATTATCAGTCATAAAAATTACTGTATATTATAATTAGTAAGGCGCAGATGGCGCTGCTTGTAACATATATTAGCAAATTACTTTAGTATTATCTTACATTTTAATATCAATGATTCATACCAGTAACAAATAAGCTGTGATTCCTTCCAACAGCTGCATGAATGATGTTGAACCCTTTGAGAGTTGGAATGGGCTCGGGAATGTTCCTTGTTGTGGTATCACCAAAGCCGAGTTGACCGCATGTGTTACGACCTGGTACATAAAAAATCACATTAAAAATCACTCAGAATAAAGTCATTATGAAACGAAACCTCTCATCATTCAATGTTTTCACAGTGCGTGTGTCGGGTCCATCGTTGTAGTGAGAGGAGCTTCAACAGTGACTGTGACTTGCGACCCAGGTGTAGGTTTAAGGGACCCTATCTAACGCGTTAAACGCTCACCTCCACCTTACAAGCTCCTCTCTCTATCTAACACTTATATATTTTCTTTGTGTATGTTATAACATAAAGATATAATTGAACCTACCAAATGAATACGCTTCTCCCTCCGCGGAAATCAGAATGGAATGACCAGCACTGCATCCACTCACTATTAGCCTGTACTGTTGACAAAAAAATATAATTAACATACAGTCAGCAAGAAAATAAAAAATCAAATATTTCCTCTTACCTTTTGATCAGTGAACTTGTGAAAAGTGTACAGATTCGGATGAGTTTTCTTTGAAGGATTATTATCTCTTTTGGCAACAAGATCCCAGGATACAAGACCACTAATCAAAAGTACTCCCGGTGTTTTGTAGAAAGATTTAAGCAATTCCTGAAAATAAACATATCTCAGTTATTAAGTTAACAATGTGTTTTTGTAGTATTCAATAAAACTATATTAAATTTGTCATACATGTATTATAAGTTGCAAAACTGAATAACATCAAGTAACATCAAGTAATATAAAGTAATCTACATTAAACTTGACATTATATTATTTTAACATTTTCGAGCAAGTATAATTAAAACATAACAGTTTTATTATATATCTGTTAACATACCTCAGGTAACTTGATAGTTGGTTCATCGGGTAGCGGAGATGGTTCCCGTTGGGGCTCCAAAGGCTGGTCGGAGAGCACTGAGTCATTGCTGTCTTCATCCGAGGCTGGCTTGCGGGGCTTCCGAGCCTTAGAAGCCCGACCCGAGGCTGGGGCGGAGCGCTTACGACTGCCGTTGTTTGACATACTCTGAAATATTACACATAATTCTCACAATCAAGCTATCGCAGACTGTGTATAGCATATAAAGTATATAAGACGCATCTTACTGATGCGACCACGCCATATAGAAATTCGCCTCATTTCAATATAATTTATAAACACAAGCAGTATCTATAAGCCTAGCGAGTTCCTCACGACAATATTTAGCTCATGAACATAAACTAATGAATTTCAATTCAAAAGTCTGTTGTAATATGGCGAGAATGTCTCATACCTGATCATATTTAAGGATTTCCCGTTGGCTCCTAAGGAATTAATAGACAAATACGCTGCATTTGTCCTTGTTCGTAGGATGATATGTTAAGCTCACTTTTATTATGTGATCTTTCTTACACATCAGCCTTACATTATATTAAAGATCAGAACTAACAAATTACTTTACAGGCTTATTTCAAAATTTTTTTTGTTATTTATATGTGTTTTTAAGTGTTTTCAACCAGTATTATGTCTAAATCCTAATATCTATCTCGATTAATTTTAATACATCAATTAAATATATAATAAATTTAATATATAACAATACATATATTATACAAAATATTAATGAAGAACAAAAATGGTCAAAAACTAATAATTAAATGAAATTTATTCTTAGATAGTGTGAGTATTGTGGTCATGTATCCTTGTACATTATGTTTATAATAATTATAACTAATATAACAGAAATTAAAACAAAAACTATTGAAAAAGACAAATGAATACTGGCAGTTATTATCTACTACATAACATAATATTTATTCCCAATACTTGTGTATGATTTACCATTCAATAAAAATGGATTCCAACACTGTATGTATGTTTTATGTCATATTTAATATATTTATATTGTTATAAAAAGATTGTTTTTGATAAGGATTTTTTCACAAAATGACTGAGTAACAAATTGTTTAATAATTATGATTACACAAAAGTATATTGAATGCCATATAACATTTATGTGAATCAAAAACAAGCAATTGTTATATGAATATTTTTTTCGTATTTTATGTGAATTTATAAACAGTTACTAAAAAGAACATATTATAGTAATATATTCAATTATTTTTCATTGAAACACATGAAGAAAATTTTAGCATTGTATTCAACAATCTATAAAATATACATTCGAAAACATGTTTTCAAACAACTTTGGATTGTAATTTACTATTGCATGTCATAGAATTCGTTTTTTCAACTCTCCATAGCATCAAAGTATCACAAAACGAGACAACGCTTAGTACCAAATGTACAGTTATTTCATCTCATTAACACATTTATTTGATAAACGATTTAAATATCATGTTAACACGTTTTATTTATATCAGAAATAAAACAAAGAATCAAATACGTAAACAGCTAACAGAAGAGACGCCAAATATTTTAGTTTGGGCACGTGCCATGTTACGACTCCTATTAAGTGAAATATTTACTTAATTATCAAATTTAACATAAATCATTTAAATTTAACACTCAAAACATACATACCGCTGTTTTTAAACAAGAGATAAACAATATAAAATAATATTTAAGATTTAACAGTTAAACTAGACAAGCCAGCCTAATTGTATAGTATGACAATGAAAGGGATACCGCGAAAAAATTATTATTATCCCATATCATCCGTGTTTTCTTTCATAAAATAAGTTTAGATATATTGCAAACATTGCCAGTATAAGATAAAAATGTGGACCGTTTATACGATCAGACTTTTTTGTGGTTCATTTCAAAATAATATGCCAAACATAAATACGGAAACAATTTAAATGGAAAAAATATTATCTTAAGCTATTTATTATTTCAATCATAATTTTAATAACAACAGAGAAAAAAGAAATGAAAAAATATGCTAAATCCAAATTTACGATCTGACATTTAAACCAAAAATAGTATATGTCGTCACCTATAAATGCACGTTAAATGTATCGAACCCTTCAGACAAGGCGACCCGAAAATATTGTTTCAGTAATAAGAATTTAAATATATATATTTATCATATTTTAAATAAGTATATTTTTTACAATAAATTTTATGTTATATAAGTTGATAAAGATAATATTTGGTGTTGACATAGGCTGTATGAATTTGTGCCTTGGCCTATGACAGAAGATTTAAAAACATAGGATGTATCAAAACAAACAATAAAATTCAAAATAATCAATAATACCTGTGACCTGCGTCTAGAAGCCTAGCGGCTAGCTCAATCGACCATCCGGGTGAGCTACTTAGCGCTCCCGGTTCTGACACAGGTCACATTCAGTCTAGAATACAGCTTCCTGTAGGATGGACGTATTTTAAATTGATAGCGAACTTGTTAATTTAGTTGACGAAGATGAATATTCCGTTCCCGATTATTTATCCTCGCATGATTGCGCCGGATTTCTTCAATTCGGATAAACCATGCGACGAGGATGCTGAATTAACAAGCTTGGAGCAAGCTAACCATCGATGGGTATGTACCAAAAATTTTTTTTGATATAAGATCATTTGCTACGTTCTAACGTAAGGACATGGCCTATCATATAACAAAACTAAATTATTTTTTTAATTAAAATAAACTAGATTTTAAGAGTACAAGATGGTGCATTCAATGCATCTGAGGGGGGGAGGGGTCACTAATCAATATTGGGTTTGGTCTATGCATTGATTTGTCTCTCATTGAAGATAATAAATTCATTTGACTTTCATATGTTTGCTTCTGTAATGATTATGATGTCAAAATATTTACAAATAAGTGACAAACAAAATATTTTCTTTGATCAGAATATCTTTAATAGGTTTCATTCTTAAATTTTATTCAAGGCTTTTTATTATATAATTTTTTTTAGCTGAATAGCATTGGTAAAAAATACATGAAACATACTCCGGTAGAAAAGCCACAGCCGGAGCCTATGGAGGAAGCGGAGACGGATGATGATGGTAGTTTATCATTCATAGACATTTTCATATAGAAATATTATATATAAAATGGTTAATTGAATATATGTTTGTTCAGTCTTCATCGTGACTGGCAATGAAGAGGGCGAGGAATCGGAGGAGTCTCATGATGTTGATGAAGAGGAGGAGATGCCGACCACCGAGTCTCCACCGAGGAACACTGAAGCTGAGTCCGAGAGCCCCGAGGACATCACGGACACCGCTGAGCTCGAAGTAGAGGCCTCTCTATGGCCCTACACCCCTCAAGATGAATGAATCTTGAACTGTGGATACTATAAATGCTTATAAGCTCATCCACATTTTATTCCACTTTTCTATTACTCTAGTCCCTAGCTTATGTTAAATGTAGACTCCTTTATAATTGCCTCAACTATTGTTGTGGTAAATTGAATAAATAAATTCAGTATTAGAAGATTGTGGGAAATGGATTATAACATTGGCTAGATATTTGGTACATTTTAATATGAATTTCAACAATAGTTAAGACATTTATATTCTTAGCAATGTGTAATCCAGGAGATGTATGTTAATTTGCAATGTATGGTTTCTATGAAATGCTTGTTTAAAGAATAAAATGTATCTGAATAATAAATGACTTTTATTATTACCTACTATTTTTTTTGTTTTAAATAAAATGATTATTTTAATGAGTATGCTGATACTGTTAGTTGTGTAGAAAAATCTGCTACTGCGATTTCTTTACGGTAGACGCGAAAGTGTTATTTCTATTGCGATTTAAAAGTTATTCTTATAGGGTTTTTGGTGTTGATAATTTAATATTAATTTTTTTTCTTCATTTATATATCAAATAATTTCATCATGGATTGAGTTGTATGTAGTGGGCAGGTTGTTAAAGCATTTTATCAATTAATTGTATCTTTTATGAATAAAATTGGTAATAGCATGTGCTTTTTGCTATAAAAAATAGATCTGTTCAAATAAATTATACGAATGATAGACCTAGCTTCTGTAGTGTCTGTTAGTAGGGTCTGTAGCCAGATATAGTTTTCTAATGTCTATCACCACAACAGGGAGTTTGAGAAAAGAGAGAAAATTGTGGTCTTGCTTACTATGGACTATGAGGGCGTTACCCAAAGGGGGTAACGGGACCGATTTTAAAGAGATCTTGACGGAATTTTCTAACAGTTTTGAAATACGAAGTGTTAAATTTGGCAGCCCAGCTTTCTTGTTGCCCAAGCGGCTAAGACTCGGAGTATTATGGATTCTAGTTCGCAAACACGGTTATTTAATTTTATAAAACGCATTATGTATTGATCCTTTTTAAAATTCCTTTAACGAAGTAAAATCTTTTTGCTCAGTACAAATGCGAAAAAAAGCAATAAAATTATTCAAATTTAGATTGCAATTAATTTCGTCAGTCATATTTTTATTCAGTTAGAAAAATCAGGTTGCTACGAAAGCAAAACATTATTTGCTGGCAAACTTTTCTCTTTTAAGTTCTAGTACAAAAAACCGAAATGCGTGAATGCATATCTATTCACGGTGGACAAGCCGGAGTTCAGATTGGTAACGCTTGCTGGGAGTTATACTGCTTAGAACATGGAATCCAACCGGATGGACAGATGCCCTCAGACAAAACCGTCGGTGGCGGCGATGATTCCTTCAATACATTTTTCAGTGAAACCGGTGCTGGAAAACACGTCCCGAGAGCAGTTTTTATAGATTTAGAGCCTACTGTGGTTGACGAAGTCCGCACCGGCACCTATCGGCAACTATTTCACCCAGAGCAGTTAATAACTGGTAAGGAAGATGCCGCTAATAACTACGCCAGAGGACATTACACCATCGGTAAAGAGATAGTAGACCTTGTTCTAGACAGGGTCCGTAAGTTGGCCGATCAATGCACTGGACTCCAAGGATTTTTGATTTTCCATTCGTTTGGGGGTGGAACCGGTTCTGGTTTTGCCTCTTTACTCATGGAGCGCTTGTCAGTAGACTACGGCAAAAAATCTAAGCTCGAATTTGCAATATATCCAGCTCCGCAAATATCAACAGCTGTCGTTGAACCATATAATTCTATATTAACTACACACACTACCTTAGAACACTCCGATGCTGCCTTCATGGTGGATAATGAAGCTATATACGATATCTGCAGGAGAAATTTAGATATAGAGCGTCCTACATACACTAATTTGAATCGGTTAATTGGACAGATCGTATCTTCAATCACAGCGTCTCTGAGGTTTGATGGTGCATTAAATGTGGACCTTACCGAATTCCAAACAAACTTGGTCCCCTATCCACGCATTCATTTTCCCTTGGTGACATACGCTCCTGTAATATCTGCAGAGAAGGCTTACCATGAACAACTTTCCGTGGCTGAAATCACGAATGCATGCTTCGAACCGGCAAACCAAATGGTAAAATGCGATCCCAGGCACGGTAAATACATGGCCTGCTGTATGTTGTACCGCGGTGATGTTGTGCCCAAAGACGTCAACGCTGCTATAGGCACTATTAAAACTAAGCGCACTATACAATTTGTCGACTGGTGTCCTACAGGTTTTAAAGTTGGTATCAATTACCAACCACCTACTGTCGTGCCTGGTGGGGACTTGGCGAAGGTGCAAAGAGCTGTCTGCATGCTCTCCAATACCACTGCTATTGCAGAAGCTTGGTCTCGTCTAAACCATAAGTTTGATTTAATGTATGCCAAGCGTGCCTTTGTTCACTGGTATGTCGGCGAGGGTATGGAAGAGGGAGAGTTTTCGGAGGCTCGCGAGGATTTGGCTGCTCTGGAGAAGGATTACGAAGAAGTTGGCATGGACTCCGGAGAAGGGGAGGGCGAAGGTGGCGAAGAATATTAAACAAGTTTTTTTTATGTCTACTCTATATATCTATTTCATAATTTTTAGCTATTTTCATAATTAGGTCTAAAATGTATTATTAGTTTTTTATTTATTGAAACGATAATTATTTGTAACGTTTTTAATTTTTCTCTTCATAATAAATTTACAAGTGTAAATGAGGTGTTTTAATGAATTTTTAGAATGCAGCAGTGGATCCACCTACACCATATTTAATAACTTAATATCGTGTCGTTTGAATGACACCGAAAGTTTCGTTTACTATTAATAACTCGTACCACTATATGCATTAGTACTGTTTCGACAAATTCTTTTGATGTTTAAATAAGCCTTGAAACATCCTTATAAATTGTTAGGCACATGCATAAATCCTAAAAAAATACATTTTGCGTTAGAAGCTAAACGAACAAGGCAATAAGAAACGCTTTTTCACACTAGAATTCGGTATAAAAAATATTTAAATATGAATATTTTGTCTCTATACCATAGTCATTATGACAAAATCTAATATTCAGATTTTTGGCTATGTAGTGATCTTCCAATAATTTAACACTTAAATCTTATGGTACCTAAATATGTCATACGACATACGATAAAAATGTATTCCACAGAGTACCTATAAACATTGGTGTAAAGCTGTCACTTTTATAATAATTAAAAAAAAATACTTTGGACTATGAACAAAAACACAGATTTCGTGTGCTTAAATTTTAATACTCGTAAACATGAAGTTATTAAGTTTTTGTGCATGTCATTTCAAAACTATAGCTGTCAAAATTTAAATTTGTTTTTTAATATTTAAACATGTAAAAACAGTAATATTTTTAAATCTTATAATAAACAAATAATATTATATGTGAAATTCTATTAAAAATTATAATTTTTAATGAGTTAAATTAAAATTTAAATTATTAATGTAATAGTTGCTTTATTTGAATAATGAACTTTCGGAAAAATGCGCGGGTGTCAAACATTTAAACATTTGACGCATGCGCTGCGCCTTATTAACGAAGTTTTTAAGTTTTTCATTCATAAGTATTTTAACATTTCATAGTTTATAAAATTAAAGTAGATTATTGAATGAGAAACGTGAAACACTTCGTATGTAGTGTGAGGATTTAAACTTGTGCTAAGGATACAGGACACTAGTTCCTGCACATTTTGTATATGCAACTTACACGTTTATTTTAAACTAATTTACATTGAGAGGTTAGTTAATAATATTGTTAATTGATACATATTACGTATGTTTTATTTTTGTATTTTCGTTTGTTACGTTACAGCAGCGGGCATATTATCAAAGAATAGTTTTGTATGCTGTGCAAAGCATCATGTTTTTGCGCTCCGCAAATAAATCTAAAAGTGCCAGCTACAATAACTATAAAAGTTTTAGAATCTACAAAAATAGTAATTACAATAAGTGGCGACAAATATAATATACAAGTTACACTCTGTAGGTAAATTTAAAGTATTCGGGCAAAAAGACCGCCGTTATTATTATTTTCTATAATTCCTGGAAAATAAAACATTTTAATTAATATTTGTATAGCAGTCATTGAATCATATTATAGGTATATTTTAAAACATGAACTGACTTTTGTAACCAAAAAAATGGCATAAACATAACCAGTCCTAAATTGAAGGCAATTCTCATTAGTATTGTTGTCATAATAATAAAGTTTGCTATAAAAAAGCAAACTAACACGATCAACAGTTTAACAGTTTTCGTTGTGTTACCACCATGACTAATTGGTCCATAAAAAGAGCAGTATCTGAAAAGAAAAATCGATATATAATAAAACAGAAGTATTTACGAATGTATATCGTTCATTACGACAAGACAAATACGCGTAAATGTTATAGTTATAATAAAATATATATATAAAATAGTTTTTGCCCGCGACTTCATCCGCGTTAAGTCCGGAATTAGTAATATGTGTATAGCTAAACGGGCGAATTCTATTCCGCTTTGAGACCAATAAATAACCAGATATTGGAGTTTATTAAGCTTTTTTTTTCTTTTTTAATCTAACAGAATTAAATCCTATGTCCGTCTCCTGGTCCTAAGCTATCTCCCCGCCAATTTTCAACCATATCCCTACACCCCTTCTTGAGTCATAATTAGTGTAACTAACACGACTTTCTTATATGTATAAATATATACCTTATATTGAACGCTGCGCATGTTTCAAAGAATTTTTCCAATGTTTTTATAAGCACCGCTCTTGTCGCTAATGTAGTTTTGGTTACTTTAGTCGAATCAGGTTTGTGTATTACAGGTATTGAAGCAATTACGTTGCACTGACAACTTTTCATTTTATGCAAATAATAATGAACTCTAGAAATTATATGGACATGTTTAAAAAAATTAACGTAGATTTGTTACGGTTACATTGAGATGTGTGAAGAGTTGACATAATTCTTTTTGTAGTTATATTTCTAGACAGGAATTAGTTGACAGTATTGCTATCAAAAAGTTTTGAAATGCTCCAAATAATTAGTTTATTATAACGAATGAAAAACTCTATAAGACTTTATGAATACTACTGTTGAATATTGTTATAACTCATAATATTAATTACAATTTTAATTTTAGCAACCGTGATCACGGGCAGACGAGATCTCGGTTGCTTTAAAGTAACCGGAACGTCGGGAGTAGGTAGTTTTTTTTAAATCGCGAAGTACATCCGAAATATATTAGTTTCATATCATTTAAGTAGGCTCCAGTACTTTAATTTAATTTAATTAATGAGACATCGCCAAAAAAATCCTTAGACAGTGTTTTCTTCTTGTGTATTTATGTGCATTTCAAAATTGCTTCAAAATTGCTCCCTTTGTAATCTCACAATTATTATTATTATTATTAATGGTTTTAAATGGTTTAAAAAACAAAATGGGATTAGCGTTTTTGGATACGTAAAACTATTAGAGCAGATTGAGAGTTAGCAGCATTGCCAATAAATTTTTCATCAAGTCTTTTGAATAGTTTTTCAGTGGTATCTTCTGTGAAAGTTTTCATCTATATTTCTTAACAACATTTTGCCCGGCACTTAGCCTGCGTTAGATTCAGAAATAGAAATGTATAGCTGACCGGGCGAAAACTATTCCGCCTTAAAGACAGTAGATAAGGAGATTTTGTATTTGACCAACTTATTATTTTTCTTTTTCAATCGAATGAAAAGTATCCCTATGAACTTTCCTTTGTTCTAAGCTATCTCTCCACCAATTTTCATCCAAAGCCGTACAGCTGTTCTTGAGTTGTAAATAGTGTGACTAACACGAATTTCTTTCATATATAAAAAAGACGAGGGGACTGCATAATGTTCTGTCATCATTACATAACCATACTTCTTGGTTAATTGTTAATATAAGACATTAAAATAAATAAACAATTATCATGTCAGTTAAATTCTAAATTATTTCATAATGTTAAGATGAAATTTAAATAAAATATTCCCATTAATAAATTTCTGTGAGAAATTTCGATATATTATATTTGTCAAAAGAGTAAGGTATGATTTGTTTGTTTAATTAAAATTAATACATACGTTGTTTTTTTTAATTATTATAACATCATATTTTAGAGAATTTTTATGGAAATAAAATATTATACGATAAGGAGAATCATAAACGCAACAAAATGAAGGATTTAAATAATAGTACGGAACCAAGTGTAACATTATTATATAGTTCAGATAAGAAAAACATGGAATATAGTCTTAACAGACCACAAGCGAGAAGAGAAAGGTTGCCTCAAAATAAATATGTGTACGTCACCACTAACGATTTAAATGTAGTAGCCCAAAAAGTACTAAGAAACAAATACAAAGTTGTAAGATTGTCGAAACAATCAAAAAAGCAAAGGAAATCATTTATCCCTAGGGATAGCAATAAAGAAAATAAAGATTTTTTTCAAATTGAAAGGGTATACAGTATGCCTTCTTTGGATACAAATAAACAAAAATTAAGAAACAATTCTCTAAATATCAGTCAACGTAAATTAATATCAAATAATTATATCTCGTATTGTAAAAACTATGTTGTTAATAACTTAGAAGTGTTACATACTCCAGAAACAAATTGTATAAACCACTTTTTACAAACACGTTTAAAACTGTATCGCTGTCAACTTAATGTGAAAGAGGAAACATGTTGCTGTTCTTGCAATTCTGACGCTATGTTCGAAGTTATGAAAGGTTTGTATGATTGTTATAAGAAAAAAAATTGTGATCACTGTAATTGTATATTATGTGGTCATTTGCCAAGAGAGGAACGAAGATTAGGAGAAATGCGGAAGTCTGCAGCTAGTATGGTTAAGGCAGAAACAGTGACGGAAATAAAAAAAGATAAATTAAAAACGATAAAAGCTGGCCTTCCCACCCCTCTGGAAGGTAAAAGTAGAGCTGAGAAAGAAAAAATATTGAAAGACTTTGCAAAGACCGGTGGGCCATTACCTGAAGGAAAAACCGCATCGGAAAAGGAGATGATTAAAAAAATTAAGACGGAACTAGGTCTACCACGGGAACCTAAAACAGACGAAGAAAAAGAAAAACTTCGAAAGGCGCAGCTGGCTGGTTTAATAACTCCTTTAGAAGGCAAAACTGCTTCCCAAAAAGCAAAAATTTTAAAAAAACAAATGGAAATGGGTGTTCCTTTACCTGAAGGAAGAACACCTTCTGAAAAAGTCTTAATACACAAAATAAAAACTGGTGCCATTGCCCCATCAGAACATAAAATCCCTTCCGAAAAATTGGAAAAAGCTGTAGCCGAAGGATTATTTACGCCATTGGAAGGAAAATCTCCGGAACAAAAAGAAAAAATTATAAGAGGTCTGGCAATAAATGGAATCCCGCTTCCTGAAGGTAAAACTGCATCAGAAAAAAAACTCATCAATAAAGTTCGAGCTGAAATGGGATTGCCACCTTCACCGGAAACCGCTTCGCAAAAAAAGAAGTACCAAAAAGCAATGGCAAAAGGACTTATAACGCCATTAGAAGGTAAAACTGCAGCACAAAAAGAAAAGATTTTAAAAGGTCAAGCAGATTTAGGTTTGAAATTACCCGAGGGGCGTACTGCGTCGGAAAGATCAATCATAGCAAAAGTAAAGGGGGCCGCGCCACCTCCTTCAGAGTATAGGGTGCCATCTGCGAAATTACGGAAGGCTAAAGCTGAAGGATTATTAACACCTTTGGAAGGAAAACCACCCGACCAGAAAGAAAAAATACTAAGAGGTCTAGCAATGAATGGGATTCCGCTTCCCGAAGGTAAAACTGAATCGGTAAAAAAAGTTGTCAATAAAGTTCGAGCTGAATTAGGATTACCACCTTCACCGGAAACTGCTTCGGATAAAAAGAAATATGAAAAAGCAATGGCAGCTGGGCTGATTACGCCACTCGAGGGAAAAACTGCAGCACAGAAAGAAAAAATTTTAAAAGGCCAAGCAGATTTGGGTTTGCCCTTACCAGAGGGACGTACAGATTCAGAAAAGGCAATCATAGCAAAAGTAAAAGCAACCGCTGCACCACCTCCTAAGTACAAAGTGCCATCTACAAAATTACGTAAAGCTAAAGCGGCGGGGTTAATAACGCCGTTAGAAGGAAAACCACCAGACCAAAAAGAAAAAATATTAAAAGGTTTAGCAATGCATGGAATTCCTCTACCTGAGGCTAAAACTGCATCAGAAAAAAAACTTATCGACAAAGTCCGAGCTGAGGTAGGGTTACCGCCTTCACCGGAAACTGCATCTGATAAAAAGAAATATGAAAAAGCAATGGCAGCTGGACTGATTACGCCACTGGAAGGTAAAACTGCAGCACAAAAAGAAAAAATTCTAAGGGGCCAAGCAGATTTAGGTTTGCCTCTACCTGAAGGACGCACGGCGTCAGAAAAAGCTATCATAGCTAAAGTGAAAGCAGCTGCCCCACCTCCTTCCGAATACAAAGTGCCTTCGGTAAAATTACGTAAAGCTAAAGAAGCGGGAATTTTGACACCGTTGGAGGGAAAGACACCAGAACAAAAAGAAAAAATTCTGAAAGGTTTAGCTATGCATGGAATCCCTCTCCCTGAAGGCAAAACTGCTTCAGAAAAAAAACTTGTCGACAAAGTCAGAGCTGAAGTAGGACTACCACCTCCACCAGAAACTGCTTCGCAAAAAAAGAAGTACAATAAAGCATTGGCAGCTGGGCTTATTACGCCACTAGAAGGAAAAACTACAGCTCAGAAAGAAAAGATTTTACAGGGTCAAGCAGATTTAGGTTTGCCTCTACCCGAAGGGCGTACGGCATCAGAAAAAGCTATCATAGCTAAAGTAAAAGCAGCTGCCCCGCCTCCTTCCGAATACAAAGTGCCTTCAGTAAAATTACGTAAAGCTAAAGCGGCGGGATTTTTGACACCGCTAGAAGGAAAAACACCCGCACAAAAAGAAAAAATTTTGAAAGGTTTAGCTATGCATGGAATCCCACTTCCCGAAGGTAAAACGGCGTCGGAGAAAAAACTTGTTAATAAAGTTCGAGCTGACGTAGGATTGCCACCTTCACCGGAAACTTCTTCGCAAAAAAAGAAGTATGAAAAGGCAATGGCAGCTGGGCTGATTACGCCACTAGAAGGAAAAACTACAGCACAAAAAGAAAAGATTTTACAGGGTCAAGCAGATTTAGGTTTGCCTCTACCCGAAGGGCGTACGGCATCAGAAAAAGCTATCATAGCTAAAGTAAAAGCAGCTGCCCCGCCTCCTTCCGAATACAAAGTGCCTTCAGTAAAATTACGTAAAGCTAAAGCGGCGGGATTTTTGACACCGCTAGAAGGAAAAACACCCGCACAAAAAGAAAAAATTTTGAAAGGTTTAGCTATGCATGGAATCCCACTTCCCGAAGGTAAAACGGCGTCGGAAAAAAAACTTGTTAATAAAGTTCGAGCCGAAGTAGGATTGCCACCTTCGCCGGAAACTTCTTCGCAAAAAAAGAAGTATGAAAAGGCAATGGCAGCTGGGCTGATTACGCCACTAGAAGGAAAAACTACAGCACAAAAAGAAAAGATTTTACAGGGTCAAGCAGATTTAGGTTTGCCTCTACCCGAAGGGCGTACGGCATCAGAAAAAGCTATCATAGCTAAAGTAAAAGCAGCTGCCCCGCCTCCTTCCGAATACAAAGTGCCGTCAGTAAAATTACGTAAAGCTAAAGCGGCGGGATTTTTGACACCGCTAGAAGGAAAAACACCCGCACAAAAAGAAAAAATTTTGAAAGGTTTAGCTATGCATGGAATCCCACTCCCCGAAGGTAAAACTGCGTCGGAAAAAAAACTTGTTAATAAAGTTCGAGCTGAAGTGGGACTACCCCCTTCACCGGAAACTTCTTCGCAAAAAAAGAAGTATGAAAAGGCAATGGCAGCTGGGCTGATTACGCCACTAGAAGGAAAAACTACAGCACAGAAAGAAAAGATTTTACAGGGTCAAGCAGATTTAGGTTTGCCTCTACCCGAAGGGCGTACGGCATCAGAAAAAGCTATCATAGCTAAAGTAAAAGCAGCTGCCCCGCCTCCTTCCGAATACAAAGTGCCGTCAGTAAAATTACGTAAAGCTAAAGCGGCGGGAGTTTTGACACCGTTGGAGGGAAAGACACCAGAACAAAAAGAAAAAATTCTGAAAGGTTTAGCTATGCATGGAATCCCACTCCCCGAAGGTAAAACTGCGTCGGAAAAAAAACTTGTTAATAAAGTTCGAGCTGAAGTGGGACTACCCCCTTCACCGGAAACTTCTTCGCAAAAAAAGAAGTATGAAAAGGCAATGGCAGCTGGGCTGATTACGCCACTAGAAGGAAAAACTACAGCACAGAAAGAAAAGATTTTAAAGGGACAAGCAGATTTAGGTTTGCCTCTACCCGAAGGGCGTACGGCATCAGAAAAAGCTATCATAGCTAAAGTAAAAGCAGCTGCCCCGCCTCCTTCCGAATACAAAGTGCCTTCAGCAAAATTACGTAAAGCTAAAGCAGCGGGATTTTTGACACCGCTAGAAGGAAAAACACCCGCACAAAAAGAAAAAATATTGAAAGGTTTAGCTATGCATGGAATCCCACTCCCCGAAGGTAAAACGGCGTCGGAAAAGAAACTTGTTAATAAAGTTCGAGCTGAAGTAGGATTGCCACCTTCACCGGAAACTTCTTCGCAAAAAAAGAAGTATGAAAAGGCAATGGCAGCTGGGCTGATTACGCCACTAGAAGGAAAAACTACAGCACAGAAGGAAAAGATTTTACAGGGTCAAGCAGATTTAGGTTTGCCTCTACCCGAAGGGCGTACGGCATCAGAAAAAGCTATCATAGCTAAAGTAAAAGCAGCTGCCCCGCCTCCTTCCGAATACAAAGTGCCTTCAGTAAAATTACGTAAAGCTAAAGCGGCGGGATTTTTAACACCGCTAGAAGGAAAAACACCCGCACAAAAAGAAAAAATTTTGAAAGGTTTAGCTATGCATGGAATCCCACTTCCCGAAGGTAAAACGGCGTCGGAAAAAAAACTTGTTAATAAAGTTCGAGCCGAAGTAGGATTGCCACCTTCGCCGGAAACTTCTTCGCAAAAAAAGAAGTATGAAAAGGCAATGGCAGCTGGGCTGATTACGCCACTAGAAGGAAAAACTACAGCACAGAAAGAAAAGATTTTACAGGGTCAAGCAGATTTAGGTTTGCCTCTACCCGAAGGGCGTACGGCATCAGAAAAAGCTATCATAGCTAAAGTAAAAGCAGCTGCCCCGCCTCCTTCCGAATACAAAGTGCCGTCAGTAAAATTACGTAAAGCTAAAGCGGCGGGATTTTTGACACCGCTAGAAGGAAAAACACCCGCACAAAAAGAAAAAATTTTGAAAGGTTTAGCTATGCATGGAATCCCACTCCCCGAAGGTAAAACTGCGTCGGAAAAAAAACTTGTTAATAAAGTTCGAGCTGAAGTAGGATTGCCACCTTCACCGGAAACTGCTTCGCAAAAAAAGAAGTATGAAAAAGCAATGGCAGCTGGGCTGATTACGCCATTAGAAGGTAAAACTGCAGCACAAAAAGAAAAGATTCTAAGGGGTCAGGCAAATTTAGGTATGCCACTACCCGAAGGTCGCACTGCATCAGAAAAAGCTATCATAGCAAAAGTAAAAGCAGCCGCACCACCTGTTTCTGAATATAGAGTACCATCGGCAAAATTACGTAAAGCTAAAGCTGCTGGTCTGATGACACCTTTAGAGGGAAAATCGCCGGAACAAAAAGAAAAAATACTTAAAGGTCTAGCAATGCATGGAATCCCTCTTCCCGAAGGTAAAACTGCATCGGAAAAAAAACTTGTTAATAAAGTTCGAGCTGAAGTGGGACTACCACCTTCACCGGAAACTGCTTCCCAAAAAAAGAAGTATGAAAAGGCAATGGCAGCTGGGCTAATTACGCCACTTGAAGGTAAAACTTCAGCACAAAAAGAAAAAATTTTAAAAGGTCAAGCAGATTTAGGTTTGCCTCTACCCGAAGGGCGTACGGCATCGGTAAAAGCTATTATAGCAAAAGTAAAAGCAGCTGCACCACCTCCTTCAGAATATAAGGTGCCATCGGCGAAGTTGCGAAAAGCGAAAGCTGAAGGGCTACTGACTCCTTTAGAAGGCAAAACTCCAGAGCAGAAAGAAAAGATAATAAGAGGATTGGCAATGGTTGGTATCCCGTTACCTGAAGGAAAAACAGCTTCAGAAAAAAAAATTATAAAGAAAGTTAGAGAAGAAGTCGGATTACCACCAGAGCCTAAAACAGAGGCTGAGAAAAAGAAATATAGAGAAGCAGCAGCTGCTGGCCTTATAACACCTTTAGAGGGCAAAACTTTATCTCAAAAGAAAGCTATTCTTCAAGGGCAAGCTGATATGGGAATTGAATTACCGGAAGGTAGAAGTGCTTCCGAGAAAGAAATTATAAACGAAATAAAAAGGGGCCCAAAAAAAGTAAAATTAAAATCAATAGCTATTGAAGCAGGTAAGCCAGCCCTACCCCTAGAAAAAAGACTAAAACTTGATAAAAAAACTGCTAAGGTCATGAAGGAAGGGAAAGGGCCCAGTGATGAATGCATTTGTGGCTTGTTAACTCCAGAATCAGAAAGAGTTCCGAGAGAAAGTAGAATTATACCCCCAGGTAAAATAACTTCCGAAAAGCTAAGATTAGCAAAAGCTGAAGGTTTTCTTACTCCTCTTGAAGGTAAAACTAATGCTCAAAAAGAAAAAATTTTAAGGGGTCTTGCAAAGAAGGGACTACCATTACCAGAAGCCAAAACAGCTTCTGAAAGAAAAATAATTGATAAAGTACGTCATGAAATGGGTTTGCCACCAGAACCTAAAACACGTTCTTTAAAAGAAAAATATGCACAGGCTCAAGCTGCTGGCATTATAACACCTTTGGAGGGTAAAACAGCCTCAGAAAAAGAAAAGATTTTGACTAAGCAAGCTAAGATGGGCGTGCCCCTTCCGGAAGGACGAACGGCATCTGAGAAAGCTCTCATTAACAAAATTAAAGCAACTATGATTCCACCAGAAACAACATCAGAAAAATTAAGAAAAGCCAAAGCAGCTGGTCTGTTGACCCCGCTTGAAGGAAAAACACCCGAAGAAAAGGAAAAGATAATAAAAAATTTAGCGAAAGCAGGACTTCCATTACCAGAAGGCAAAACATCTTCAGAGAGGCAACTCATTAAAAAAGTTAGAGATGATATGGGCTTACCAACAGCAGGACTTCCATCAGAAAAGTTTCGTAAGGCCCAAGCAGCCGGTCTTATAACCCCTTTAGCCGGGAAAACACCTGCACAAAAAGAGAAGATATTAAAGGGAAGGCTAGCAGCTGGCTTACCACTACCAGAAGGTGTTACTACATCGGACAAAGAATTGATTAAAAAAGTCAAAGCTGCAACTGGCTATATTTCTCCTCCCCCGAAAACTGCTTCAGAAAAGTTACGAAGAGCTAAAATGGCTGGTTTATTGACTCCTTTGGAAGGTAAAACGGCAGAGCAGAAAAAAAATATTTTAAAAGGATTAGTTAAAGAAGGTATTCCCTTACCTGAAGGAAAAACTGCCTCTGAAAAAAAACTTATTAATCAAGTTCGAAAAGAAGTTGGACTACCCCCTGAACCTACAACATCTTCAATGAAAGAAAGAATGAAAATTGCACAAGATGCCGGTATCATAACACCACTAGAAGGAAAATCTGCTGCTCAAAAGGAAAAAATATTAAAAAAGTTGCATGAAGCTGGAGTCCAACTACCAGAAGGAAGAACTAAATCAGAAAAGTCATTAATACGAAAAGTTAAAGCCGAGCCTCTTTATAAAATACCATCTAAAAAGTTGAAAGCAGCTAAAGCTGCGGGCCTCATTACGCCACTTGAAGGAAAATCTACAGCTCAAAAAGAGAAAATATTAAAAGGATTAGCTATGCATGGAATTCCATTGCCTGAAGCAAAGACAGCATCCGAAAAGAAAATAATAGATAAGGTTAGAGCTGAAGTTGGTTTACCACCGGAACCAACGACATTATCTGCGAAGGAAAAATACAAGGCTGCTGTCGCTGCAGGTATAATCACACCATTAGAAGGGAAATCAAATGATCAGAAGGAACAAGTCCTTCAAAAATTAGCTAAAATGGGAATCCCTTTACCCGAGGGTAGAACACCTTCAGAAAAAGCTCTCATTGCACAAATTAAGGCAACTGCACCGCCTCCATCAGAAATACGAATTCCACCCGAAAAATTAGCTCAAGCTAAGGCTGCAGGATTATTGACACCCCTAGAAGGAAAAACTCCAGAACAAAAGAAAAAAATTTTAAAGGGCTTAGCTATGCAAGGTATCCCCTTACCTGAAGCAAAAACATTATCCGAAAAGAAATTGATAGATAAAGTAAGAGCGGAAGTTGGCTTACCACCGGAACCAAAAACACCTTCCAGTAAAGAAAAGTATAAAAAAGCTTTAGCTGCAGGTTTTATTACACCTTTGGAAGGAAAATCGAAGGAACAAAAAGAAAAAATACTCAAAGAACAAGCAAAGTTAGGTCTTGCTTTACCTGAAGGAAGAACTCCATCTGAAAAGTCCTTGATTAAAAAAATAAGAGCTGCTGCACCTCCTCCATCTGAAATGCGGATCCCTTCTGAAAAACTAGCGAAAGCTAAAGCGGCAGGATTATTAACACCCTTAGAAGGAAAAACCCCAGAACAAAAGAAAAAAATTTTAAAGGGCTTAGCTATGCAAGGTATCCCCTTACCTGAAGCAAAGACATTATCCGAAAAGAAATTAATAGACAAAGTAAGAGCGGAAGTTGGCTTACCACCGGAACCAAAAACACCTTCCACTAAAGAAAAATATAAAAAAGCGTTAGCTGCAGGAATCATTACACCTTTGGAAGGAAAATCGAAGGAACAAAAAGAAAAAATACTCAAAGAACAAGCAAAATTAGGGCTTGCTTTACCTGAAGGAAGAACTGCATCGGAAAAGTCCTTGATTAAAAAAATAAGAGCTGCTGCACCTCCTCCATCTGAAATACGGATTCCTTCTGAAAAATTAGCGAAAGCTAAAGCGGCAGGACTATTAACACCCTTAGAAGGAAAAACCCCAGAACAAAAGAAAAAAATCTTAAAGGGCTTAGCTATGCAAGGTATCCCCTTACCTGAAGCAAAAACAGCATCAGAAAAGAAATTAATAGACAAAGTAAGAGCGGAAGTTGGCTTACCACCGGAACCAAAAACACCTTCAACTAAAGAAAAATATAAAAAAGCGTTAGCTGCAGGCCTCATTACACCTTTGGAAGGAAAATCTAAGGAACAAAAAGAAAAAATACTCAAAGAACAAGCAAAATTAGGGCTTGCTTTACCTGAAGGGAGAACTGCATCGGAGAAGTCCTTGATAAAAAAAATAAGAGCTGCTGCACCTCCTCCATCTGAAATAAGGATTCCTTCTGAAAAACTAGCGAAAGCTAAAGCGGCAGGATTATTAACACCCTTAGAAGGAAAAACCCCAGAACAAAAGAAAAAAATTTTAAAAGGCTTAGCTATGCAAGGTATCCCCTTACCTGAAGCAAAAACATTATCCGAAAAGAAATTGATAGATAAAGTAAGAGAGGAAGTTGGCTTACCACCGGAACCAAAAACACCTTCCACTAAAGAAAAATATAAAAAAGCTTTAGCTGCAGGCCTCATTACACCTTTGGAAGGAAAATCGAAGGAACAAAAGGAAAAAATACTCAAAGAACAAGCAAAATTAGGGCTTGCTTTACCTGAAGGGAGAACTCCATCGGAAAAGTCCTTGATTAAAAAAATAAGAGCTGCTGCACCTCCTCCATCTGAAATACGGATTCCTTCTGAAAAATTAGCGAAAGCTAAAGCGGCAGGACTATTAACACCCTTAGAAGGAAAAACCCCAGAACAAAAGAAAAAAATCTTAAAGGGCTTAGCTATGCAAGGTATCCCCTTACCTGAAGCAAAAACAGCATCAGAAAAGAAATTAATAGACAAAGTAAGAGCGGAAGTTGGCTTACCACCGGAACCAAAAACACCTTCAACTAAAGAAAAATATAAAAAAGCGTTAGCTGCAGGCCTCATTACACCTTTGGAAGGAAAATCTAAGGAACAAAAAGAAAAAATACTCAAAGAACAAGCAAAATTAGGGCTTGCTTTACCTGAAGGGAGAACTGCATCGGAGAAGTCCTTGATAAAAAAAATAAGAGCTGCTGCACCTCCTCCATCTGAAATAAGGATTCCTTCTGAAAAACTAGCGAAAGCTAAAGCGGCAGGATTATTAACACCCTTAGAAGGAAAAACCCCAGAACAAAAGAAAAAAATTTTAAAGGGCTTAGCTATGCAAGGTATCCCTTTACCTGAAGCAAAAACATTATCCGAAAAGAAATTGATAGATAAAGTAAGAGAGGAAGTTGGCTTACCACCGGAACCAAAAACACCTTCCACTAAAGAAAAATATAAAAAAGCTTTAGCTGCAGGCCTCATTACACCTTTGGAAGGAAAATCGAAGGAACAAAAGGAAAAAATACTCAAAGAACAAGCAAAATTAGGGCTTGCTTTACCTGAAGGGAGAACTCCATCGGAAAAGTCCTTGATTAAAAAAATAAGAGCTGCTGCACCTCCTCCATCTGAAATACGGATTCCTTCTGAAAAATTAGCGAAAGCTAAAGCGGCAGGACTATTAACACCCTTAGAAGGAAAAACCCCAGAACAAAAGAAAAAAATCTTAAAGGGCTTAGCTATGCAAGGTATCCCCTTACCTGAAGCAAAAACAGCATCAGAAAAGAAATTAATAGACAAAGTAAGAGCGGAAGTTGGCTTACCACCGGAACCAAAAACACCTTCAACTAAAGAAAAATATAAAAAAGCGTTAGCTGCAGGCCTCATTACACCTTTGGAAGGAAAATCTAAGGAACAAAAAGAAAAAATACTCAAAGAACAAGCAAAATTAGGGCTTGCTTTACCTGAAGGAAGAACTGCATCGGAAAAGTCCTTGATTAAAAAAATAAGAGCTGCTGCACCTCCTCCATCTGAAATACGGATTCCTTCTGAAAAATTAGCGAAAGCTAAAGCGGCAGGACTATTAACACCCTTAGAAGGAAAAACGCCAGAACAAAAGAAAAAAATTTTAAAGGGCTTAGCTATGCAAGGCATCCCCTTACCTGAAGCAAAAACAGCATCAGAAAAGAAATTAATAGATAAAGTAAGAGCTGAAGTTGGTTTGCCACCAGAACCAGAAACGTCGTCAGCAAAAGCGAAATATAAAAAAGCTCTCGCCGCAGGTCTTATTACGCCATTAGAAGGTAAAACGAAGGAACAGAAAGAAAAAATACTTAAGGGCCAAGCAAAGTTAGGTCTTCCTTTACCTGAAGGTAGAACTGCATCTGAAAAGTCCTTGATTGAAAAAGTTAAGGCTGCTGGACCTCCTCCATCGGAAATGCGGGTTCCATCTGCAAAATTGGCCAAAGCGAAAGCTGCAGGATTATTAACACCATTAGAAGGAAAAACCCCAGAGCAAAAGAAGAACATTTTGAAAGGTTTAGCAATGCACGGAATCCCTTTACCCGAAGCAAAAACAGCTTCAGAAAAGAAATTAATAGATACCGTAAGAGCTGAAGTTGGTTTGCCACCAGAACCAGAAACGTCGTCAGCAAAAGCGAAATATAAAAAAGCACTCGCCGCAGGTCTTATTACGCCATTAGAAGGTAAAACAAAGGAACAGAAAGAAAAAATACTTAAGGGCCAAGCAAAATTAGGAGTTCCTTTACCAGAAGGTAGAACTGCATCTGAAAAGTCCTTAATTGAAAAAGTTAAGGCTGCTGGACCTCCTCCATCGGAAATGCGGGTTCCATCTGCAAAATTGGCCAAAGCGAAAGCTGCAGGATTATTAACACCATTAGAAGGAAAAACCCCAGAGCAAAAGAAGAACATTTTGAAAGGTTTAGCAATGCACGGAATCCCTTTACCCGAAGCAAAAACAGCTTCAGAAAAGAAATTAATAGATACCGTAAGAGCTGAAGTTGGTTTGCCACCAGAACCAGAAACGTCGTCAGCAAAAGCGAAATATAAAAAAGCTCTTGCTGCAGGTCTTATCACACCATTAGAAGGTAAAACGAAGGAACAGAAAGAAAAAATACTTAAGGGCCAAGCAAAATTAGGTCTTCCTTTACCTGAAGGAAGGACTGCATCTGAAAAGTCTTTGATAGAAAAAGTGATAGCTGCTGGACCTCCTCCATCTGAAATACGGATTCCTCCTGAAAAACTAGCGAAAGCTAAAGCGGCAGGACTATTAACACCTTTAGAAGGAAAAACCCCAGAACAAAAGAAAAAAATCTTAAAGGGCTTAGCTATGCAAGGTATCCCCTTACCTGAAGCGAAAACAGCGTCGGAAAAGAAATTAATAGATAAAGTAAGAGCTGAAGTTGGATTGCCACCAGAACCAGAAACGTCGTCAGCAAAAGCGAAATATAAAAAAGCTCTCGCTGCAGGTCTTATTACACCATTAGAAGGTAAAACGAAGGAACAGAAAGAAAAAATACTTAAGGGCCAAGCAAAATTAGGTCTTCCTTTACCTGAAGGAAGAACTGCATCTGAAAAGTCTTTGATTGAAAAAGTGATAGCTGCTGGACCTCCTCCATCTGAAATACGGATTCCTCCTGAAAAACTAGCGAAAGCTAAAGCGGCAGGACTATTAACACCTTTAGAAGGAAAAAGCCCAGAACAAAAGAAAAAAATCTTAAAGGGCTTAGCTATGCAAGGCATCCCCTTACCTGAAGCGAAAACAGCGTCGGAAAAGAAATTAATAGATAAAGTAAGAGCTGAAGTTGGATTGCCACCAGAACCAGAAACGTCGTCAGCAAAAGCGAAATATAAAAAAGCCCTCGCTGCAGGTCTTATTACACCATTAGAAGGTAAAACGAAGGAACAGAAAGAAAAAATACTTAAGGGCCAAGCAAAATTAGGTCTTCCTTTACCTGAAGGAAGAACTGCATCTGAAAAGTCTTTGATAGAGAAAGTGAAAGCTGCTGGACCTCCTCCATCTGAAATACGGATTCCTCCTGAAAAACTAGCGAAAGCTAAAGCGGCAGGACTATTAACACCCTTAGAAGGAAAAACCCCAGAACAAAAGAAAAAAATCTTAAAGGGCTTAGCTATGCAAGGTATCCCCTTACCTGAAGCGAAAACAGCATCAGAAAAGAAATTAATAGATAAAGTAAGAGCTGAAGTTGGATTGCCACCAGAACCAGAGACATCGTCAGCAAAAGCTAAATATAAAAAAGCTCTTGCTGCAGGAATTATTACGCCATTGGAAGGTAAAACGAAAGAACAGAAAGAAAAAATACTTAAAGGGCAAGCAAAATTAGGCCTTCCTTTACCTGAGGGTCGCACATCTTCAGAGAAATCACTAATTGCAAAAATTAAGGCTACTGCAACTGTACCTTCAGAAATTCATGTACCTTCTGAGAAATTACGCAAAGCAAAAGCTGCGGGCCTTTTGACACCACTAGAAGGCAAGACACCAGAACAAAAGGAACAAATACTAAGAGGATTAGCATTACAAGGAATTCCATTGCCAGAAGCTAAAACTGCGTCAGAAAGGAAATTAGCAGACAAAGTAAGAGCTGAAGTTGGTTTACCACCGGAACCAAAAACACCCTCCGAAAAAGCAAGGTATAAAAAAGCTTTAGCTGCAGGCTTTATTACGCCTTTGGAAGGAAAATCAAAGGAACAAAAAGAAAAAATACTCCAAGAACAAGCAAAATTGGGACTTGCTTTACCTGAAGGGAGAACTGCATCGGAGAAGTCCTTGATAAAAAAAATAAGAGCTGCTGCACCTCCTCCATCTGAAATACGGATTCCTTCTGAAAAACTAGCGAAAGCTAAAGCGGCAGGATTATTAACACCCTTAGAAGGAAAAACCCCAGAACAAAAGAAAAAAATTTTAAAGGGCTTAGCAATGCAAGGAATCCCCTTACCTGAAGCAAAAACAGAATCAGAAAAGAAATTAATAGATAAAGTAAGAGCGGAAGTTGGTTTGCCACCAGAACCAGAGACGTCGTCAGCAAAAGCGAAATATAAAAAAGCACTCGCCGCAGGTTTTATTACGCCATTAGAAGGTAAAACGAAGGAACAGAAGGAAAAAATACTTAAGGGCCAAGCAAAATTAGGAGTTCCTTTACCAGAAGGTAGAACTGCATCCGAAAAGTCCTTGATTGAAAAAGTTAAAGCGGCCGGACCTCCTCCGTCCGAAATACGGGTTCCGTCTGCGAAATTGGCGAAGGCGAAAGCTGCAGGATTATTAACGCCTTTAGAAGGTAAAACTCCTGAACAGAAGAAAAAAATTTTAAAGGGCTTGGCTATGCAAGGAATACCATTGCCCGAAGCCAAAACAGAATCTGAAAAGCAATTAATAGATAAAGTAAAAGCTGAAGTTGGTTTGCCACCGGAACCGGAAACAAAATCTGCAAAAGTGAAATATAAAAAGGCTCTCGCCGCTGGGCTTATTACACCATTAGAAGGAAAAACAAAGGAACAAAAGGAAAAAATTCTGAAGGGTCAAGCTAAATTGGGACTACCAATGCCCGAAGGGCGCACTTCTTCAGAGAAATCACTTATAGCAAAAGTACGACTTACTGCCAATTTACCATCAGAAATCCATGTTCCTTCAGAGAAGTTACGAAAAGCAAAAGCTGCAGGCCTTTTGACACCTTTAGAAGGAAAATCTCCTGAGGAAAAGGAACAAATACTCAGGGGATTGGCAATGCAAGGAATTCCATTACCGGTGTCAAAAACAGCATCGGAGAAAAAAATTACAGATAAAATACGGGCTGAAATCGGCCTTCCCCCAGAACCTAAATCAGCGAAAGAAAAACAAAAATATGTAGATGCTATTGCTGCTGGATTAATAACTCCTTTAGAAGGAAAAACTACCGACCAAAAAGAGAAGATACTTAAAGCCCAAGCAAAAATGGGTTTATCTTTACCTCAGGGCAGAACACCTTCAGAAAAATCTCTTATAGCTAGAATAAAAACAGCTGCACCTTCAGAAAAATATCCGCCATCACACGTGTTACGCGAAGCTAAAGAGGCTGGACTCTTAACACCTTTGGAAGGTAAGTCTGAGAAGCAAAAAGAAAAAATTCTTAAAGGACTGGCTAAGCGTGGTTTACCTCTCCCCGAAGCAAAAACTGAGTCGGAGAGGAAACTAATTGAAAAAGTGCAAGAAGAAATAAAAGGACGACCAGCTTTGCCACCAGAAAAATTAAAAAAATTGGACAAAAAGACCGCCAAAAACATTAAAGAAGGAAAAGGTCCCAGTGACGAATGTATTTGTGATTTATTAACACCCGAATCGGAACGCCCTCCTATAGGTATAACTGCAATTAAAATGCCTTCTAAGAAAATTACAAAATCTATGAAACTATTATCTGAAAAAATAAGAAAAGCTAAAACTGCTGGTTTGATAACTCCTCTAGAGGGCAAAAGTGCGAAACAAAAAGAAGAAATTCTGAAAGGTTTAGCTGAAGCCGGGTTACCTTTACCGGAAGGAAAGACTCCGTCGGAAAAATTGTTAATACAAAAAGTTAAGACAGAATATGGAATACCTCCAAAAGCTAAAACTGTTTCTGAGAAACAGTTGATAGAAAAAGCAAAAGCTGAAGGGTTATTAACACCATTGAAGGGAAAAACTCCATCACAGAAAGAAAAAATTATAAAGGGTTTGGCTGAAGCGGGTTTGCCAATACCAGAAGGTTCAACGCCCTCTGAAAAATCTTTGATTCAAAGAATAAGAACAGTGGTTGGTCTTCCTCCTGAACCCACACCTTCGGAAAAATTAGGTAAAATAAGAACAAAATCCAAAAAAATTGGTGTAGGAGAAGTACGTAAAAGTGAAAGAAAAGTAGGAGTGTCAAAATCAAAAACAGGTATTGTTGAAGAATTTGAAGATATCATTAAAACTACCACTTGTGACAGGGGTTGTGGTTGTGATAAGAAGAAAATTCGATTTAAACATAGCTATGTAAAAATACGAGTCACATCGCCAGACATTTCGTCCTTATGTCCATGCCCAGAAGAGTGCCTTCCCGGAGTGAAAGGAGGAGTTTTTACGGATAATGAAGGAATAAAAGTAACAGTTGGTAGAGTTTCAGGCATTTCGCCCTTTCCTTCTAACGAGTTTTTTAAATTTAAACCTGTGTCAACTTTATCGTTGCCATCTTTCAATTTATCCAGAGTACATATTGAACCCCAACTATCAGAAAAAAGATCCTTAAAGAGTATTTACTCTAGTAAAAATTCAATACAATTTACCGACAGTTCACATATTTGTGGTGAATCAACTTACAATAAATATAAAAAAATTCGAAACAATAAAGGCTCAAGCACAATAAACACATATAGCTCAGACATTGAAATCGATGATGTATCTGAGTATATTTGTGAAGAAGAAACTACAAGACATTCTAGTTTAGAAAGTTTATACTTGTTAAAGACGGAATCATCAGTGAGTCTCTCAAGCTTTTCAGATATTATAAGCATAATATCTATTTCTACTTCTTCCTTAGACAACTCCTTGTATTCTGAATATTATGAAAGAGATAATGAATATAATTCCGAATTAGAAGAGGCTTTTGAAAATAAGAACTTTGACGTCAGGTTTGTATTTTGTTTAATAGAAATTAAAAATAGACTGTATTTTATCGGACAGAATTAACATTTATACATATCCGTAGCGTGACAAGTCTGGACGAATCGTTGTGGACAAACGATTATACATTGTCTCAGACGACAGGTTCAGAACCAAAAAACGATCTGAGTTTAACAACATTACAAATAACAAATTTAAAAACGAGGCTTTTCGATTTGCTTGAGAGTAATGAATTGGATCAAAAAGATTCTATGATGGATGAGCTAGATGAACGTGATATAAGATTTCTTTTGCGGAAGGTTATATCAAACAGGTCTTTACATGACTCCTCCTCACTAATTATTCTCATTCCGACTACATCTGATGAGTACTCTTCAGATGACTTATCAGAAAATTGTATAAATTCTGCAATATGCATTCCACTTAGTGACAAACCTTGTAACAAGAAGCCAAGCAACTACAAACCAAACAACTGTGAATGTAAGTATAAAGCAGTGTTTTTATAAAAGTCTAGTAAATACATGTATAAAAAGATTATAGTACTATTAAGTTTTGTACTAATTTGTAAGATTTATTGTGTTTAAGATAATACAAAACCCCGTCAAGGTCTAAAGATTGTTAAAAAAAATAAAGACGTCATTCAAAAGGATATTAAACTTACATTTAAAAAGCAGCAAAAATCTAAACAAATGCAAAATAGTAAAAGAAAAAATAGCGTTCCTAAAAAAACAACTCAAGACCAGCTATCTCAGTTTTCAAGTATTTCCATTAAGATTAAGAGTGACACTGGAAGAGTTTTTAGTGGTGACACAACGCAAGACAGGCCATGCTGTTGCCAACCACCAAAGGACCAGCATTCGAAGAATGCCACGGGACAAATAGATCACACTGTTGAAAATGTTGTATCAGAATTAGTAACACCTATGATGCGTAACGAAGCTGTTGCACAAGGTAAACCTCTATTGTCAATACTTAATCAGCCATTCAGCTGTTAATCTACATTAGGACCAAAATGAGTACCATATCTATTACGTATTAGCAGCTAAAATTTAGTTAAGTTATACATGATGGACATTATTTTTTTGTACAGGCATAAGCGATGATCACATTCCTGGGATCAAATGGCCAAAGAGAGTACTGCCACGCAAATCTTTTCCTCATGTATTGAACACCTCGTCCAACTTTTGTCAACAAACTTCAGTAAGCTTGTGTAAAATTCCCCCATGTAGAGGGCAAATTGGACCGTACCATCACTCGCCGCCGCGTTCCCCTCCTCGATCCCCTCCTCGTATAATGTGTCCCATACCAACAAATAAAGTAAACAAGTCGTGCGATTGTACTCCTGAGAAATTAGAAATGATTTTCAAAGAAGTTGCGAAACATATGATTTCAACTAGTTGTGGGAGCTCAGGAGAATTTAGCGGAAATATGAAATCCAATCTGAGTAAGTACTAATTATTAATTAGTAATAGTAATATCTTTATTATTTCCGTTTATTAACAACAGTTTCTCATGACCCTTCTCCATGTTTTTGTATGTAGTAATTATTGTATTTTTATATACATAAAAATGTAGGTAGATATACCATTTTGCAATTACTAAAACGTAACGATACTTTAGTGATGTTTTTCTTTATCTTATTTTCAATTGCAGTGATTGAAAAAATTTTGATTGTATTAAATTATTTTCACTTTATTAAAGTATTTAATGTAATAATTGGGACGTGCAGTGGGTATGTTCATAGAGTTATATGAAACATATTACAATTAGCATAAGCTATGTAAAAAAAGTTGTAAATATATCTTTTGTTCTTGTAATGTCACACACAATGTTGATTTTTCCTTCGGTCTCCGTAGTATTCTTAACTTTATATCCTATATCCATGGAAACTACTGTTTATAATATGCGAATATGCAATCTATATACGGCGTTTTCATATTTTTTACAAATTGTTATTATATAGTAATGCAAAAAAGTCAAAGTGGTAAAATATAGCGTTCCAAAAAAAGTGATTAAAGTTAAATTCTAAAGTGTACGTTAATGCAATAAACGTCTTGTTGAGACATCAGTATTTGTATTTTTATTATGGTTTTCAGAAAAAGTAACAACATCGATACCAAAAGCTTTAGATAAGTCGTGTAGCACTTGCGGACCAATGAAATATGAAGGAACCATCAACTGCCGTTGCAGCGGAAAGGAAAAGAAAATCAAACTTCCAGAGTTGTGTCCCTGCGAGAAATACCGACCAAGGGCTGACGAATTCGACGCATTCGACACCGACACAGCATTTCAAGAAAAGGACAGGAAGAAAAAGAAGAAATCTATGAAAGGCAAGAAAAATTTTATATGCGAATGTCCAGAGGAGCCAGAACCAGAACCAGAACCCATATTCGTTCCATACATCGATGAGAGGATACTAAAGAAAATGAAATCAGATTTAACGCAGTCCACATCTGGCTTCACATTCAACATAAATCGCAAGAACATGGAAACAGAGATGAGTTTCGAGGACGCTCTCAAATTCTTTGAGGATCATCCCGAGTTTAATCCACCGGAGAGATACAATGAAGAATTATGTGCATGCCGAAATAAATTATTAGGAATAAATAGACCTGGCTCCGCCCCGTGTATATGTCCGGAGGAGATTCCACCGTATGTTGAACCAGAAGAAGAGCCTTTCCAGGGATTCAAATTTCAGATAGGTGCCAAAGGATCAGGATCAAAAGGCCTCAGCGGCATTTTATGCTTTGACGTCGTCGAGAACTAAATTATTTTACATAATTAGTTCAGACATCTGTACTTTGTCCAAATATACGTGATATCATGGTAACTTTGTTTACGTAAATTATGTCGATTTTATATCTTTATTTGATGTTTTTGTATATAAAGGTATTTTGTTAAAAAGAACATTTATTTGTATTTTTGATAGTGTTTTTTAGAAAATAATCAATATATTTATTTTTTTTATCTATGGTTTTTATTTTATAAAAAATAGAGAAAGGAAACATAAATATATTAAAAAAGATATGTTTAAAAGAAGATATTTTTTTGGTCCTCAAGATCCTTGGATATATAAATACATAAAATAAGTTCTTTTATAATAAAAGTCCCTGCTTGCGAAAAAGCAATATCCGGCATGGGTATAGCTCACGATATAAATGACATTTGGTTTCAAGGAAGTACATACTCGCCATACCTAGAACTTAGTCTAAATTTTTGTCCTTCGAAAGAAACTGTAGAGATAGGGTAGAAGCTAAAGATCTATTTAATTTCCAAAGTACATATTAGATAAATTTAAAAAAAACAGTTGAAAGCTATGTAATGTGAGGCGATTATTTAAAAGGTCTTATAATTTTGACAGTAAATAAACACAAGTCACAAAGGCACAATCTTTACTGTATTATAAGAAAAGTAAAGAAATGTATTGAAATAGTTTGTGTCCTATGTTTCCTTCAGCATACGATTTGAATATTTCCAAGTCAAGAGTCAAAAAGGCTGTTACCGCGATTGTGCCTCTACCAACTTAAGCCTAGTTTTAATCCACCAATAGTCAAAATGGTAGTCAAGCATTTTCTAGATGCTATTAAACATATGTATCAAAAACAATCATATATATTCTAAAGGTTGATAATAAACTGACGTACTTTTTTTTTTGCTCTTCACAAAATATATTTTATTTTTGAAGAAAATATCTAATAATATATACCCTTTTTTAGAGACTTCCAATGAAACAAAAAATATGGCCTGATACTGTAAAAGCAAAGTGACGTAATAATCAGCTTAATTTAAATTAATTTTCTTAAACTTTACTGCAGGCCTTAGATATCGACTTAAAACTTTTAAACGAAATAAAAAACTGAAATTATACACTGAAGTTCCATTGAGTAAAAGTTTTCAAAGAACATTTGGAATTACACATGTTTCGTCCTAAAAAAAACAACAAAACAACAAACAAAGAAATATATCAATTTTTTTTATTATAATCGCAAATAAATCAAAAGTTATTTTGACTTTACTAAGTTCCTTCTATATCGACAAGTAGAGTTCATCTGACCAATTGCGTTGAGGGTCTTGCGACGTAATATGAGAAGATCGACTTTGCAAGTTACATCTGGGGTCATCTCAATCACTAAATTAAAGTTATCGCAGTCCCAGGCAACACACTTAGTGTGAAGGACATGATAATGATGAAGATGATGATGATTATTTTTCTTAATTTTTTTTCTAATATATATATATTTTTATTTCAATTATTCATTCGTAAACACAGTCTGTAACATTGACTACTTTTAAGTTTGTAAACATTTAATATACATAAAGTATCCTACTGTACCTGTTGCTCCAGTACCACAGCTAGATAAAGACCAATTCTATACACATAGTTTTTATAAATGCCAAACATTATTACGAAACTATATCTATAAGTCTCAACATAGTGTATTGAACTTAAAGACTCTTTCTTTTTATAATAACTAACCTAAAAGTAGTATTAAGTTAACGAAAACTCCAAAAGGTTCACAGTTTCAAAAAAATAAAAGAAATTAGGTATAAAAATTATGAGCTCCATTTTTTCAATACGAACATTATAAAGTTATTTTTGATTTTATTTATTTGTGTAATTTGATTTACAGTGCCATACATTTTCATTATTAACATAATATTACAATCTTAGAATGGCAAGAAAGAAACTTATATTGTATTTAGAAATTGCTGAAAACTAAGAAATACATTTTTAATATTCAATATAAGTACGATGTATCTCGCCAATTTTGGTACTGATGTATCGTTTGAGTTTTTAATATTTTATAATCTGTTGACATTAAAAAATTTGCTGTCTGTGCTATAGTTATATTTATAATTATGTATTTTTATTATTTTCAATTTTGTCAAGAGTAGCGGCAAAAAATTCATAATACATATTACCATGTGATGGAGTTGTAGGACTTTTACCTTGATCGATGTGTGGGGATTGATTCTCAAAGGCTATTCCGCAAATTTTATGAAGTCAATTAAGTCATGTAAAGATTCAATCGCTATTCGTTTTCCGACAGTAGGTTAAGCGCAGCTCTAGTCGGTGGTCAGAAAAGAGTGCGCCCTACTTCCATTTAGAAAGGCATAATAACTACGCATTTTTAGACAGAAGTTTGTGAGAATAGCACCAAAAATGAGTGAGGAACGGGTGAAAATGCGTAAACAGCTGGGGTTGTTGGAAGGGGTTGCAATTATACTTGGCATTATATTCGGAAGTGGTATTTTTATCTCCCCCAAAGAAGTTTTAGAAAAAACTGGGTCGGTTTGGGGAGCTCTATCAGTTTGGGCGGTCTGCGGAGTTTTGGCGACTCTTGGTGCCATGTCATATGCAGAATTAGGTAAATATATTTATTTCAATTAAATTTTTTTGTGTCTATTTTATATGTCATCAAAAGTCCTGAAACCTCAAACACATTAAAAATAATTTGCCCTTCATGATATAATTATTATAACTTGTCTTTTTTACCTTATTACTAATTAAAAGATAAGCATTATATTATTTTTTCATCATTCATTTTTAATCTTTTTTCATCATCAATGATTTTTATTCTTAATTTATTTCAGTATAGAAGCCAATATTAATTATGCCATTGTGCTTATATTTTTTAAAATTTTTATATATAAAAAAAAGTAGTTAATTTCTGAAAAAACTATCAATAATTACTCTAGTACAAGTAATAGCAGAAATACATACCACCACATACGTTTTGGTAGCATGATACGTAGTAACAAATTTACATATTGAAATAATCAGTAAATTTATTCAATTATTAAACACAAATTTTTGTTTCACGGCCCCATTGTAGTCTTTATAAGTCAATAAAATTAATTAGTAATTAGATTTTGATGTTTACTTCTTCTATATATGGTACAATACATATAATAGACATTGGTGTACAAGATATAATATATACAAATATTTAAAACCAGTTTTTGGACATATTTTCCTCCAAGCTTTTGGCCGTCTTTTCCTTTGTTCATCAGTGCCGATGTAATACTTGTATTTTATCTCCCATATAGAATAATATGACCAGTCCATTCCCAATTTGCTTTTTTTCCCTTTATGTGCCATATACTAACTTCATTCAATTTGGAAGTTAAACATAATAAGATCTTAAAAATACTTATAAATATATTGTACTTCAAATTATTTGTAATTTATAAGAAAATATTGAAATTATTTCATTGATTTTCAGTAACCAATGATTTAAGTTATCTATGGTGAATTTTCTGTTGATTAATAGTCACTTATTAACTTTTCATATATGTTTTGAATATAAACAAAAATATTTTGTTTCGAATACTATCTATATCAAATTGCAAAATTTATATTTAACAGTTATACATATGAAACAGAGACCAAAAGCTAAGCTTTAATTTGGGTCTCCATACATATATGTTGCAATACATATTAAAATGATTTGTCTAATTACTAACAAACACGAATTAAACATCTGTTCTCATATACTTGCTCAGAAGTAATTGATGCTAAATGGACTTGTGTTTTTAATTAATCTGTCATTTGTACATTAAAGTGGTTAATTTTCTTTAATAAACCATATAATTTAAGTTATTTAAAAGATATTTTAGGACTGTAGACTATTTGGGAGCAAATTTAGAGTAGATATGAATACTATACTATTAAAATGTGTACAAATGTTTTTAACAATGCCAATATATTGATTGATATGTCTTTACAATACAAATGGTTAACTAAAATATAATTATTTAACTCTATTAATAAAAATAATATTTAATATTTCAGGAACAGCATTAGCTAAAAGCGGTGGTGATTATCACTATATAAATGAGGCCTACGGTTCATTACCAGCTTTCCTATATCTGTGGGATGCTAATTTAGTTTTTGTGTGGGTATTAAGATTTTGACACAGTTCATTCAATATATATATGGTTTTAATGATAATGTATGAAAATGTTTGTTCTAGACCGAGTACAAATGCAATAATGGCGCTAACATTTGCTAATAATCTACTCGAACCTATATTTCCGAATTGTCCTATAGATCCTTTGAGCACAAAACTTATAGCTGCAGTCACTATATGTAAGTATAACAGACATAATTATAAATACATACAAATAACATGTTAAATATTTTTTTTCTGTCTGTCCGTTTGTTATGTTTAATGTATAAAACTTCTGATTTGTTTTTTAACAGTACTTTCTTTAGCTGTTAGCTGTTCTAAAGACTATATAACATTTGGGGTACTTTTTCAAAGCAATTTTATTTGTTAAACAAATAATACCATTCTAAATGCTTAAAAAGTTTGGTAGGAAGTGGCAAGCTAAAACTATTGAATATATATTATGTATATTTCAGGTTTCCTAACATTCATCAATGCATATGATGTAAGATTTACTACTAGAATACAAAATGTATTTATGTTCACAAAGATCTCGGCACTAGTTATCATTATTGTTGGAGGAATTGTGTGGATGGCAAGAGGTAAGTTAGTTTATGATTTCATCTCGAAATATATAGAAATCTATGACTATGAGAAATATATACAATATTGTTTGTAGGTGGTGTCGAAAACTTTGATGATGGTTGGGCTGGTACTAAGACATCCATAAGTGATTGGTCCGTAGCTTTCTACTCTGGAATCTTTTCATACTCCGGCTGGTAAGCTTAAATATTATTTATGCTTTATATATAACTAGAAGACCTGGCGAACTTCGTATCGCCCTATAATCAAGAAATTTCTATTACGTTTTTTTTATTTATATTTTTAGAGTTTACCTGTAAGCTATAAATCTCCGTGTTTTGAAGTGCGACAGAATTATTGACATATTAGTTAGTTGTCAAATCTAATGTCAAAAAAACGTTTGTATGGGAAATAGAAAAGCGCTGATTTTATGGTTTTCCCAGTAATGAATCAATTTTTTCAACTTTTATACCTTCCCTAAACCTTCACAAACATTTCAAGACTAAGATAAGATAAATCCGTTCAGCTGTTCTCGAGTTTAAGCGAGACTAAGGAACAGCAATCCATTTTTATATATATAGAAGATTATATCACATAAATACTATATAATATTCTCCAGGAATTACTTGAACTTCATGACAGAAGAACTCCGGGATCCCTATGTGAATCTTCCTCGTGCCATTTATTTGTCTCTGCCTTTAGTAACTGCTATATACATCCTAGCTAATGTATCATACATGGCTGTGCTTGGACCATCTGGTGTTAGAGCTACGAAAGCTATAGCAGTTGTGAGTATTTCATCACTTTGAATATTTAAAATATCAAATTCTAGCAGCGGCCAGCGGTGTTACCCGCGGATTTCCGGGATGTAAAGTAGCCTATGTGTTATTCCTGGACGTCAGCTCCTGTATACAAATTTTTATCAAAATCCGTTCAGCCGTTTGAGCGTGAAGAAGTAACAAACATACACACACAGACAAACTTTCGCAATTATAATATTAGTAGGATTGTATTGTTAAATTGTTCTTTAATGTTGCAGGACTTTGCAGGGTCAGCTCTTGGGTCTATGAAGTGGGCGATGCCTACATTAGTTGCTATTGCTATACTTGGAGGCCTATCAGTTCATATTATGACGTCATCAAGGATGTGTTTCGCCGGAGCCCGTAATGGTCACATGCCAGCCCTATTGGCTCATATTAATGTTAAATGTATGTCACCGATGCCATCACTTGTGTTCTTGGTATGATGTCTAATAAAGTACATATATTTACTGTATTATTGTTATATATGAATTATATAGGATATCAAACAGTTTTCAGGAAAACTACGAAACTTGCTTATATGTATTTTATGATAAGAATTACATATTAAAACTTATAAGTTATAACCTATGCCTAAGACTACATGATTGTCCTGATGTTATGATAGAAATTCCATTCCATTGTTAGTGTTGTATCAGGAATCTTCTGGTTCACATGGCTTGGTGTTAATAGAGTCAGCGGCATCACTCGTTATATGATATTTTATCTATACAATAATAATGCCCTGGAGATGTCGATTTATATTTTAATATGTTGTCCGTACATAACATATGTAATAATATTAAATAATTTGTATACAGATGCTGATTTCCCTGCTAATGTTGATCCCAAGCAATCTTACATCTCTAATAACATACTGCACAGTGGTTGAGTCATTCTTCACAACACTCAGTTGTAGCGCTGTACTGTGGCTGAGATATAAACAACCGGATATTGTAAGACCTATCAAGGTATTAAAACAATATTTATTATTTTATCCCTACTAATATTATAAATGCGAAAGTAACTCTGTCTGTCTGTCTGTCTGCTACGCTTTCACGCCTAAACCACTGAACTGATTTTAATGAAATTTGGTACAGAGATAGAGTTGACCTTGAGAAAGTACATAGGATAGTTTTTATCCCAGACTTTTGAAAGGTTCTATTGGAAACGCTATATAACCGAACACCACGCGGGCGAAGCTGCGGGCGGAAAGCTAGTATAATATAAAACATATTTGAAGAATTTCTTATAGTAGCTTTATATATTATATAGTCAATAATTCCATTCAGATTATGGTACTTATGTAAATCTTTAGAAGAAATTGATGATTATATACATGTATGTAGTATATAAAGTAATGAGTGATTTTGTAAGTAATTTCTATATAAATAACATTACTTGGCAGGTATCTCTGTGGATGCCGGTGGTGTTTGTAACAATATGCACAGTGTTACTCGTGGTGCCAATCGTTAGTGAGCCAGTAGCAGTGTTGGCTGGAGCATTTATAACTATAGCTGGCGTTCCGGTTTATTTATTACTGGTGCGAAGTAAACCTGAGCCTGTAGTTCAACTATCGAGTGAGTACATGACACTTTTATAATTGAATATATTACATAGAAAGTGATTTAAGGGGAAGTATAATTTATAAAGTATCATCCACTTAATAATTTAACTGGTAATGTTTTGTACTCCAAATTTTTATTATAGTCATATGTATCTTGTATGTATTTTATACAATTTTTATCTTAATATATAACATAATACATATGTTAATTTGTTTATATATATAAAACTCAGTTTTTCACACAATTTATTTTATTTGCAGACAAATTTACACTGCTGTGTCAGAAATTGTTTCTATCAAGTGTCGAAGATAAGGAAGATTAAAGGGACCAGTGACTTAACAATAATAATATTTAATGGATACACACACTTGCTAAGGTCAATAATGAGACATTAAAACTGCTTGAAATTCCTATGAATGTTTAAAATATCTTCAATTATTGTAAGACCATGATATTAATTGTAATACCATAATAATTTTGCTGATTTATGTGCTATGTGTCTTTTACAGAAAAATGCTTAATATTAGTAACTATAAGTTCTATAAACTGTTTATTTATTCAATAGTATAGAAATATCTGACAATTATTTCTTACAAATTTGTTTTCTTTGACAATTTATTTATTTTTCTCTCAATCAATATCGTTAATCCAAATTAATATTAATGTATTTATTGATAAAGGCTGAGTAGAGGAAATAAATTTATACATAAATGTACTGTTAGTTAACAATTATATTGTAAATTTTTCATATGTAACAAAGCACTTTGTCCATTTTCTTGATATGTCAATTCTTTTACAATAACTTTATTTTTTATAATATTTCTTTCTTAAATATTGTTTTAGTTATTTATTTAATTATCAATACGTATATATTTTGATCAACCTTGCACAATTAGTTTATACTGTAATAAGTTTAAATTTTTTTTTTTTAGTTATTATTGTAGAAATTGTAATATTAACAATATTTATTCTTCCTTAATCTCGGACATGCAATCTCTTATATTTAAAGCATAATATATAAGAACAATGGTCAGTTATAATTTTAGTTAGTATTTTTGATGTAGCATTTATTATGGATAGTTTTGTTTCCGATCACACTCGAAGCACAATTCCTTTGCTTAATAAATTTTATTGTACTTATGTTTGTGTGTATAGTTTTTTTGTGCCTTATTTTTGATTATATATAATATAGGTGATTGATTAGTTAATTTGAAATGATCTGTAGGAACTATTATACATGACTGGAAATATAAGATATCTCGAGATCAATTTTTGGATAGTTTTCTCTTTATAATTACTATCAATATATTTTGCATAGCTTTTGCATGTGTTACATTGTTATGTAAATGTTTATAAATCTATTCTGTGGTGTTTTTTTTTTACCCATGTTGAGTTTGTTGCTAATTTGATGTTTGAATTTTGTAGCTTTTTAATAAAAATTGAAAAGGAATTTATTTTTTTTATTTGATAGTCTATGATCCCTTTATATGTTTTAGGACTGTATTTTATTTATGTCCTAGCACTTAAAGCTAAGTATCTAGCTAGCAAGGACAGGGAGGTTTTTCATTACTGTATATTTAATTCTTTTATAGCTTTTAAGGAGTCTTGTAACATACATATATGTATATGTATTTAATGTTATCAACATTTATTCTCAACCACAGTTTATTAAAGTTTTCTTTTCATACTTACTAGCCACTACAGTTTAGTTAATTTACGGATGATTTGAAATGAAGAATCAAAATAATTACGGTCTTCATTCTATACCAAACTCATCTTAATAATTTTTGTTTTGAGACAATTTTTTTACATTTGCTCCACCAAACTCCAGTAACTATTTAATTGCTAAGGAATTTTCGAAACAAACGCGATACACTAATTGTATTTCGCATATTTTTATTTGGTCAATTAATTTTAACGAGTTGTTTGAACACTTGTCACCAATTAATTCGGGTTGCTTTGTAAAAACAATTTTAAATAAAGTCAAACGAGTGGCGCATAAAATGTGGCAGAATTCTTTTTTTATTGCAATATTTATTTTGAATGTAAGTATTATGTAGTAAATGTTCTATTGTATTGCCATGAATTTATGATTGATCTTGTAGGACAATATGGCAACACCTAATTTATAATAATATATTCATACTGCATATTACAAAATTCTCATATATAATTATGTTCTTTGGATATTCAAGACTTTTACACAGTATTCCTATGTTAAAACACCTATAACTTTGTGTTAATGCTATTACATATATTAAAATAATTTTTTTTAAGTTTCCCGAGAGCGATGGTTCCCGGGCCCATTTCAGTAATCTCTCTCACGAGTTCACAACTCCGTCTGATGAAATCGGACCCATGCTACCCGATGACGGGTTTCAAACCTCCACTGTGATAGCTGGCCTTATGCCCGATTCTTTCGGGGAGATGTTTAATTTCTTAGATGGTGACAGCTTTGGAATTGGTTGGTATTAGTTTTCATTTTAACAATACAATTACATTTACTTTAATTATTATTTCGATAGTTGTTCAAGTTTGGATGATTTTGTTTTGAAGTACCTAAATATACATCCTTATTAATAGTTTTTTTTTGAAGTAAAGATTTTTCATTGTTGGAATATTTTCGTTGGTTCAAATTCCTACCATTTAAGGTCCAATGCATGAATTCGTATACGGATGGCAAGCGATAGTGAACACTATGAGCATGAAGAACAATGTTGAGGTACGAAAACGAGCTGGTCTTCAGAGGTTTGCTCTCGCCGGTATCAACGGAATAACTCTCATATCACATATTGGAGTTACGGAAATTATGATTAATGGCACCAGAAGCTACTGTTTCGGTGGAGTTTCTAGACCTCCTGGCAGGAGGAGTGTTATTTGCAAAGTACATACTATTATTTTAATAACCACTCTACATATTATTTTCCTTTGTAACCATATATGCTCTCCAGGGTGCAATGTATCAAGAAGGAAGATTCTCGTGCAAGGTTCCTTACCTTCGCTATCCAACAGTACTAGGATATAGATACTGCATAGATAATTATGCTGCCGTTTCGTCTTTAGACGGCACATATAAAAGTGAGTGAAATAGGACACACCCATAAATTGATCTCTGGTATAGCGCCTATGATATGTCACTGAATCTTTTTTCAGCCACATACTGCGCTCGTGGTGAATCTATACCGAAATTTCATTACGATTACATCTGCGAACGTAGAGACGTTAAAATAAAACGTGTCAATCTAACGGATCCCAATGAGAGGTTTAATATACGTAATCCTGTTGTACGCAGAGCTGAATACTATCGGGCTCCCTATGATATATTGAAGGCTTGTCCGGATTGGTACGTTATTTAAATAAAAAAAATACACGTATATATAGATTTAAAAAAAATCGTTCAAAAAGCGTTTAAGTACGTTAATTTTCTTTCAACTTCATTTTTTATAATGCGATCTAAGTTTTTCGCGAGTTTTACTCGTTTAAATGAAACTAATATTTTTCGAATATACCACGCGAATTTATTTTCGTCTGCCCGTGATCACGGTTATTGAAAAGTAGGGGAAGCGTTGGGAGTAGGTAATTGTAGTTTTTTACAAATTTAAAGTCGCGTAGTATATTCGAAAAATATTAGTTTCTTTAAATTGATTTTTTATATCTATTACTTCATTTAGTATATAATTGAGGATATCTTCATATATTTATGGTCTACCGTGTTGAATTCAGGTACGGATGCAATTTACGTATATCGCCTGAATCTTTACATCAACAAATACCGACCGGCCTGTTAGACGCTAATGAGACGGCTTTCGTTGGACACGGCGGGAAATACTGGCTTGCTTTATATTATACACAGGTATAATAACATTATTTTCAATCTTCCATTTGAAATTATGAGAAAATGTATTAAAATAATACCATTTCAGCTCTCGACATACGCAATTTACTTCCAAGCTCATGGTGAATACCCGTGGCAATCAAGTCGACCTATAGTGTCTATAGACAAAGGTAGAATAAATAGTTTTTATATTGAAATCATGGCATTTTTTTGTTAAATTAGTTCCGTTCAAACAGGCAAAAAGAACAGAGCCCATACAGCCATGTTTTTTTGTTTTTTGGGGGTTTAATTACTTTTATATATATCTCCTTTTTCTTCTTGAATCATCAGGCCATTATCAAATTATCGATATTTAAATTTTTAGGTGGTATCTGGGAGCAGCTTTTGAAAGCAAATATAGGTCCAGACATGAATTTGCATTACAATTTGAATGGTATTTATAATAGATACCCTGGCGGTGTGGTTATGGCGGATTTAATGAGAAATGATGGACAGGTTCGTGATATTAAGAAATCATAGACGAATTTGCTCTTTTTTAAATTATAGACTAAAAAGGTTTTATTGTTATGCATCAAATAGGTCCAACCATCTAACTTTAGAACGGATAATAGAGACGGAGCTCCAGAGGATATTGTTATTGGTAACACTCATCTTTCTGCGGATGGAGGTAACTATTAGTTTTATCTTTACTTTAAAATATTCACCAGCACAGAAAGTTTATAATTTCACTATAAAGTATTATGAGTTTACTAATTGTTTTTTTTTCTAATAGCTGCTGATCCAAATGCCGGCAACTATAAGTTCATACACGACACACAAATTCAAGGAAACTTTGAACATGGGAAGAATTTATAAATATGTAATTTATAAAATAAAAGGCATCTGAGCATAAATATTTTTCTATGTTGTATTAATTATTGTTATCTCTCTGTACTACAATATTCTGTCCCTAAATTTTTGTTAAACTTATGAGGTAAGTTGATTGAAATGCCATATTCCTAAAGTCAACTAAAAAATCCTGATAAGGTTTTCGTCTGTAGTATATATTTGAACTACAATAATTAAGAATCCGTCAGAAATTCGATAGGTCATAAAACCCTACAAAATACGCACTTACTACTAAAAGTGTTTTGTTTTTTTTTTTTCAAAAAAAAATATGGCCTGGTCTAAAACTTACAGAATTTCCTTTCCTTTCCTTGGATTTTAATAAAAAGGATACTGGATTCCTTGGATTTTAACAAAAAGGATACTGAAACATCGTAAATTCAATACACAAGATTATCTCAAAATTTTACCTACTAAGATATAGAGTGACAATGTTTACTTTAGTTTTAAATAAAGTTTTTTAGCTAATAAAATAGAAATCAACAAAAATATAAAAAAAATGATCATACTGAGATAAAAACAAGTTTTCATTAGCCTATTGTACATCCAATAGCAAGAAATGGATATTAAACAGTAGAAAAATATCATTTATACAAAAAGATATGGTCTTAAAAAAATTATCATATTTATAATTTTTGCATACAAATTATTGTTCTATAAATATTTAATTTTGACACATTCATTCATAAGGGCTTAATATAATCTGTACTTCATGTTGTATCTGTGGCGGAGGTTTTAGTTCAGAAAACATCATCTGTAGCATTGCCTGACATTTTCTTTGTGCAATTTACTTTAGGTCGCTCAAGAAAATCCCGTTACTTCACTTTCGTAATTCGTTTAACAAAGGCATTAACTATTTGCGTCTGTTAACATCAGTTGGTGTTCGAGTCCGTGTCGGGAATCAGCAAGCATCGAGAAGTTCAGTGACACCGTTCTAGAATTAAATATTTGTGATTGTATTTTATCGATTTTAACCTTCTTGTGCAACACATTGTTTTTATGCTGTTTATTTATTAGTGTGATCGGGTGATTGGCTCGACAGACGGGGATTTTTGTCCACAAGGATCAAACAAGGTAGGTAATTGGCTTTACTAAGTTTATCAAGACTACGTCTTACGTGTCTAGAAATAAATGTTTTTATTCTGATAAGTGATGTAGTTATTCTATAAATATCCTGATGTATTATTCTCCATACGGGAACATAGAACGGAGTCCAGGCCATTATATTTGTTAAACGTGACACGATTATTTTTGGTAGTGATTCATCATTTTCACAGAACCTGTACTGTAATGTGGTGTATTCTCTTGCTAGTAATACCTCAACCGTGAAATTTGCGAGCACAGAGCAAGTTATTATTTCAACTCTGTTGTAACTGAATCACAGTCAATCTATTCCCAGAGGGCTTTGAATGGATCTATTACATAAAATTGTGTACAACTGTACATAGATAATACTAGTTGATAAATATAGTTACTTCCTGATCAATGATACTGGCTCTAGTCACCACTTGAAGCATTTTATCTACAAAATGAATAAGTACACTTAGCTGGTATTGTATTAAGTTAAAACTTTCATTGTAATATATCAATACGAATATTATATATCAAATTACATGCAGGTTACTCGCAGATAATAAAGCAATAGTTTTTAGAAGAATGTAAGATTTGATGCTTTTTGCTGAATTTTATAATAAAAGGTAATTCATGGAAATCATTAATAAGCAATATAAAGTATTTGAAATTACAATATTATATATAAATTACCAAAATAACACTCAAGGTAATGAAACAATTAGCTTCAACTCATTGTCTTGAATATTAAGCCTAAGAAATCAATATAAATAAGTGAAGATGACAAAAATTAAACAATTTTAAACATATTAATACTAAAAATATATGAAAATATACCATAAAACGTTGAAGGTATAAAAAAGATAAATAATATATACATACAATATATATTTATTGATAAATTGTATGAAGAATGATTAAAATTTTAATAAAAACAATTATAAATGCATCTAATTCGAAATGACAAATGTTGTCGTAATGATGGGAATGATTTCTTAATTGATTGAAACCATTTAATACACAATAAAATTCTTAGTTTTGTAATGTAAAATTATTTGAATCATCTTTAAGTGATACTTATGTTTTATAAGAACTATATATTATATAAAATATAAGTTGCTATTATATGTACATACAATTAATCTGTCCGTCTATCCAACAACATGTTTTCATATATAAGCCAATTTTATATACTATTCATTCATAGTCTGCTTTGATTGATATAATGATACATTTTACTATAAAGATTATGTATAAATGTGATCATAATAATTGAAAAACCCAAATAGATAAGTTTTTAACTTAATAAAACTAACATATATGTGGAATAATTGTCAAATTTAGCAGCTATTTATCAATTAATTATAGTTTTTGTATATAAAGTTGCTATTTTAATGAATGTATGTTTAATATTTTCAGAGCGAGCCGTGTCTTGGGGTAAAAGCAACACGGGCACTACGGTGGCCCCCGACATACCAGCTCCGGCGCCCCAACACACGGGTGAGTCTTAGAATATTGATCAATAACCAAATACTATATATACTTATATATATGTAATAATAATAATAAACTTTTATTGGTTAAAAGATTACAGCGCTACAAAACAAACAACAAAATAAAAATCAATAACAATAATGATAAGTGTGCAGCAGTGTAATCTAACCAAAAGGAGAACCACTCAGTAAAAAATAGAAGCAATGTTGCTTCTACACTGATTTTCAGTGATCTCCGAAGGTTGCGGCATAATTACATGAAACATAGTAATGCTACCGTTAATATCTTAATTTAAATATGTATATATATATAATATTTACAAATTAATTTACTATATAGATATAATGCCTTAATAATAGTAACATTTTTATTAATATCTATTTTTTTAGGTTTTGTCTTTTAATATCGTTGACAAAAATAAATGAATCCTTTGTTCATGTTTACATACGGAGTCGGCGTTGTTTGCTTAAATTTTGTCGTATTTAAATTTAAATTGTGTAAACATCTAAAAACATTAATGTGATTTCTGAACATATCTTTTTATCTGTACCTTGTCAGTCAGCATTAGCTAATTTAATATGAAATAAAACCTTTTTTTATATAAAACTACTTAAAGTTATGCTATTGATATTAATATTTCTAAGTTCCCAAGTATGTAATTTTTTTATGTATATAACTAATACTGTCGCCCGGCTTTGCCTGGATAATTTTGTCGATGTAATGTATATTTTAAAACAAACATCCATTCAGTTATGACTACCTATATATGTGGCATTGTTTATATATCATGTTTATTGTGTGGACAAACAAACAACCTTAACCCACAAGCCCATGATGTCATTGTTTTTAATAAATTCAAATCTCAGCGTTGTTAAACGATGACGTGGTAAAGATTGAAATGTACGTACGTTGATATCGTGAATGCGACATGTATGTATGTTTGTTACTCTTTAATACGAAAACTTTGTATGAGATCTTCATAAAACTTCTTAATGTAGCTTAGATACCGAAGTAAGGTATAAGCTGTAATTTATTTCGAAATTCGTTTAAGCCGAAGCATTAAAGCGTTATAATTGAATCGTGTGTGATGTCATGTGACGCGGATTGCTGGTGAACCTGAAAATTGGTTAAAATATCCATAATTTTAAACACCATATATTCCTCTGAGCGTAATTCAGACTCAGACGAAGACACGGTCAATAACAAGTGCTAAAAGCTTGTTTACCTCAGTAGTGATAATCGATAAATTGAATATTACTTAATTATAAGAACTCGCTTGTCTTATATATTAAATTTATTATTATATATGTATCATATATATACATAAAATAAAACTGTTGTTAACCAAGGGTTAGGCCTCCTTAACTGTGATTGATCACAACTCATTTAACTGAATTGGTTAACACTTAAATTACGCGTCAATGCTCAATATACCGGACCAAATAAAACGAACGGGATCTGAATTTAAAATATTTATTTTATTAGAAATAAATGTGTTGATGACGTCATCAGTTTTGTGACGTCATTAATACATTAAAAGTCTCTCCGTCTAGCAGAGAACCGAGATCTAATCTAATTGTGGTAATGAACAGCCCTGGATCCAATTTGTTTTTCGTGTCTAACGAATTATCAGCTACAGTTTCTTTTAAGTGATGTTTCGAAACTGAAATATTACGTGCGGAAAAACTGAAATGATTATATATTTGGGTTAAAAAATTGTTTGAACTAATATCTGATTGTAGATTTTAATAGATTTTTAATATTTTTGTTTTGTATCTCTATATTATTAGATAACTGTTAGAAATAATGCCGCTAACAAAGTGATTGAACCTCTTAGCGTTTTGGCATTGTTCAAATCATTCTTTGATAGATTTTACCGTAACTATTGTATACGTATTTACTAGAACATTCCTGAATTTTGAATTTATTAATATTTTATTATCAAATCCAAAATAATCTAAGCAAATTCTTTGTAAACATCATTTCGTTGTTTCGTCGTACAAAACAAAGAAAGTCTTTGTGAGCGACTGAATGCATGAATGTAACAATATTCTAATTCCGCCACAATCGGTATATGCTGCCACGTTTGGTAACAGTTTAAATCTTTGACCCAAATACTATATACGGATTTTTGATATTTTACCTCTAATATACCCTAACTTTACCTTATATACTCTATATACCTTTTGTCTTTGAAATCTTCAAGTAGAATACCTTTTTTTAATGAATAGAGTTATTTATTATTATTAATATATTTGTTTATATATTTTTTATAATATAAAACGTAATATTTTATAACCGTTCCATTAATATGAGCTCTACTCGCATCGATAAATGACTTATTATGTTGATGAATTTTAAATTGCATCGTTAAAATGACAGGCACACTGTAGTCGGTACTGACAAGTTCATTGTTCCTTATATATAAATCATATATGATATATATCATATAATATATTATATTTCGTAATATATAAGCTAAATGATAATAAATATGACGTCATTATTTTATGTATATCTTAAATCATAGATATTGAAATTGAATTATTTTAGTATATTCATTTAAATATATATATGTATATGAAATATTCTGTTTTATATATGTTGAATACTTTATATATAGTTAAATAATGTACCTTGAAATCAATCAACGCCGTCAATGGCTTTGATAAAGACATAGTTGATTCTTCTGACAAATAAGTTTCACCTTGAAACTTGTTACAGTGATGTCGCCTGCTAGGGCAATTTATATAACAAAATATTACATTTTATACTTCCTTAATAGGAATAGGAGTATTGTATATATATATAAACATATGAAATCCCTACTTCCCTACTTAATATTATAAATGCGAAAGTAACTCTGTCTGTCTGTTTCGTTTTCACGTCTAAACCACTGAACTTATTTTAATGAAATTTGGTACAGACATAGAGTTGACCTTGCGAAAGAACGTAGGATAGTTTTTATCCCAGACTTTCGGAAGGTTCTCTTGTAAACGCGATATAACCGAACTCAACTACAAATTATTCAATTACAAATGATATCATAATGACACCAATTAAAAAACTGGTTGATGTTATATGAACGCCGTTAAGAATTGATCGTGCGATTTGAAAGCGTTGGACATCACTACATTTCTATTTAACATCGTCCGTGGCTTGTAATTTTGTTGTTTTTAATGTGAAAATGGAAAGACATTCACACCTGTACACGAATGACCTTCAAATATATAACATTATGTAAATTTTCATAACCATCATATATATCCATTTCGCTGTGACCTACAACAACATCAGCATGTTGGGTTTATGCAATTTTCCTTGCTTTTTTCGGTCCAAAGAAATGGACGAGGCTCGGACGGAATGTTTGGACGGTATTCGATAATTGTTGATAGCATTTAAAATGATAATTGAGCTTGAACAGCTAGCTGGATCGAATAGCTTCAACAGCTACAAGCTAGTTAGCTATCCGTCCCGAATAGACGGAATCCGTCGTAATATTGCTAATGGATTTCGAATTATTCAACCGTACTGTGAAATTAAATTCCACATCGATGCACCAGCTCAAGTCTTGTGGATAATCTAACCAGGGGCGGAGAATTTTCAGCGTATTTCATCCGCATAGCTGACGAACTTTGATATTTTTAGCTACAACTAAAATTTTATAACGAATACTTTATTTTTATCAGTATAATGCGGGATAAACGAAATTTTACTAGTCGATTTTTTCTGCCTAATTTTTTTTGTTGTTTGTTATTTGTCGGTGTTTTCGTATTCTATATTTAGATATAGATGTTGTTGCAGGGGTACTGGAGATGACTGGAACAGATAACATCCGCTTCAGCGGTCACACCCTTGACAAGGCCACCAAGGCTAAGGTGACCTTGGAGAACTTTTACACGAATCTCATCACACAGCACTATGAGAGGAAGCAACGGTAGGTCTACGTATTCTGGTCATATAATAATATATCATCTATACATTAATTTTAGCGTTTAACTAAATATATAAAAGAAAGTCGTGTTAGTTACACTATATATAACTCAAAAACGGGTGTAGGGATATGGTTGAAAATTGGTTCAGAGATAGATTAGCACCAGGATTAATTCTGTTCGATCGAAAAAAAAACTTAATAAATTCTAATATCTGATTCTTTATTGCTCTCTAAAACGGAATAGAGTTCGCCCGATCAGCTATACATATATTACAAATTCCGAAATTAATCCCGACGAAGTCGCGGTTAAAAACTAGTATATTATATACATCTCTCATATGCAGTTGAAACCTTCACTTGACCTTTGTCTGATAATGTTTTGTTTATAAATAAAAGGGCTCATTAAAACACACAAGTCGTCAAGATGTCCATTGTTTTGAAAAAAACGCTAGTGATTAATTTATTTATGATTTGGCCGTCGTCCAAATTTTGAAGGTTTATGCAGACAACGATCGGATATATCCGGTGTTGGTGTATTTTAGAATACGCTATATACAATATCTTCCAATAGTAGAACGATTTTTTGTCGCAAATATGACGTTAGTCCTTTCAAGGAAACAGAAAATCAATATTTGCAAGGACATGAAAATTGTATTATTTACTTATATTTTCTGTTTCCTCATGAATTGAAATCTTTTCTATAGATTTCTATATAAATTTTTAGTTCTCCTTTTGCCTTTAACTTCTAACGTCTAGATTATTTCGTTTAATAGACTAGAAAAATTGGAAGAGTCGCTCAAAGATGAAAGTCTTTCGGAGACGCAGAAACAGGAGAAGAGACAGCAGCATGCTCAGAAAGAAACCGAGTTCCTAAGGCTTAAGAGATCTAGACTTGGCGTTGAGGATTTTGAGCCCTTAAAGGTAACACTTATCTTCTTCCTCCTGGCAATTTCCCAGCCCTAGTCAGGGTCTTAAAGGTGACACTAATATGCAAGTTAATTTCACAGAGCCCTCCATATATAAGATCTGAATAGCCCTGACCTTTGACACTTGAGTCTTGACCCACTAACATCGTTATGTAATGAAACGAAACCAGTGACCATAAAAAAATTGTCGTCAGTCTGAAAGTCGAGTAGAAATGTCATTGAAAATAACAGCAAGTGTTTGCAAACACTAATTATACTACTTTATTTACCTTGCATTATTTAGAACTTAATTGGCTTTATATATAGAAGTAACAAATTCGATATATTTGCAAAATAAGACGTGCTGGTGGTACCAAATAATTAACAAGTATTATTCTTATTTTCTGGTTATAAATGGTTTTGGTTCTGCAGGTGATAGGTAGAGGGGCGTTTGGTGAAGTAAGATTGGTGCAGAAAAAAGATACGGGACATGTTTACGCCATGAAGATATTGAGGAAAGCGGATATGTTGGAGAAGGAACAGGTACTGATGAAATTTGCTAACATAATAATTGTTATTCATTGAGCCAGAAATATTTTTTTTTATATATAAAAGGTATACCAACATCACACATATTCAGCACACATAAAGAACAAATAAAATAGAAAAAAATCTAGAACCTGATATGAGTGACAATTACAGATGTACACAACATTCACACAAAGAAAAAACTTATTGTCTACCTGTTGAACTTAAGTGATAATTAAATAACTATTAAAAAAAAAATCTTAAATGTTCTGATGAAGATTCTGAGTTCCATATTCTAAGTCCATTATCATTGGTAATTTTTCAGGTGGCCCATGTTCGTGCAGAAAGGGATATTCTAGTAGAAGCAGATCACCAATGGGTCGTCAAGATGTACTACAGCTTCCAAGATCCCATGAACCTTTACCTCATCATGGAGTTTCTCCCCGGCGGTGATATGATGACCCTGCTGATGAAGAAGGACACACTCAGCGAGGAATGTGCTCAGTTCTACGTAGCTGAGACAGCGCTAGCCATTGACAGTATACACAAACTTGGATTTATCCACAGGTAATATTGATAAAATATTTTGATTCAATTGTATGGATAATTTATTGAGGTGGTAGAGCCTTGCTCTGGTACCACAGCTAAAATATGTGCTGGCTCGACCGGGAAAGTACCTCCCTTTCACAGAAGAACGGCGTGAAGTAGTCTTTAATGGCTGCGTTTCGTCCAATGAGTGAGAGAGACGGTTGCCCTTTCTCTGTTCCCACCGTTTCTGATCTTTTCCTTATTCCCAGCCTTCCGTTTTCCTTAATAACCAAGGTTAGCAACGCATTTGTAACATAAGACATGTTGCAGATATCCATGTACGACGGTCACTACTGCTCATCATGTAGGCCGTTTGCTCTTTTGCCACCTTTCGCACAAAAAAATATGTCGAGAATTAAAATCATCAAGATATTGCTGATTATATTTTATTCTGATCTCTTTTCTGTGTACAGGGATATAAAACCTGACAACCTTCTACTCGACGCGCGCGGTCACATCAAGCTGAGCGATTTCGGTCTGTGTACGGGCCTCAAGAAGAGTCACCGCACGGATTTCTACCGGGACCTATCAAGGGCAACGCCATCAGATTTTAGTGAGTTGTAGTTTTTTCCTTACATTACCATAATTAACATCAGAACCCATTGCTAAGCAAAGGCTTCTCACATGGAGGAGTTTAGAGCATTAACCACGCTTGCTCAAGATAGTTTGGCATATCAAACTTATAATTGCATTATAAGTCCAGATTTCCTCACGATGTTTTCCTTCTACAATCTCAGTGGTGTCTAAATACTCTTAGAAAGTACATGACTGAAAAATCATGTATACTAGACATGTTTCTTTGCATCATACCATAATAATCATTGTCACTTAGAAATTTCTTCTATTAGTATATTATAATTTTTTTGTCCATTAAAATTTCTCATTTAATAGCTCATTAAAACTTTAATCAACACATACGTAATGGTACAAGACAGATTTCTTTTCAGTAACAACGTCGTCATCGGCTATGGATTCGAAGCGCAGGGCTGAATCTTGGAAGAGGAACCGGAGGGCGCTCGCGTATTCGACGGTTGGCACCCCTGACTACATAGCACCGGAAGTGTTCCTGCAGACCGGATATGGACCTCAGGCTGACTGGTGGAGCCTTGGTGTCATCATGTGAGTATTAAAAAAAAACAACAACCAAAGTCTAAATATACTAAATTGTTAATTAAGTTAAATTATGTAATACATCTCATTTAAGTGAACATTGTATGGTCTTTATGAGAAATAAAGTTCTTTAACCACTAAGTCTCCGGTTGATTATGCTATGTAATTTTTTATCTGTGCTCTGTATTTGCTATTTGTTTTTTTTATATAAATATTCGTATGGTTTAAATCATGTTTTCCTTTTGTTGTCGATTTAAAAGAATGGCTGTTAATTTTTTAGTATTGATAATTATAATTTGATGTGTTTTTTCTTTGGAATTGTTTTTAATTATTGTTAAGACTCTTGAGTTAGAAGTTGAAACGATAGATGTATTCTACCTTTGCGAATCTATATTATTGTAATATTTTGGCGCTTGCGATATTATAATTCAATGCCTCTGCTATTATTAAGTGTGTATGAAAAATAAAAATATTTTTATTCTAACTAGTAATAAAAAGAGTTTATGAACATGGGATACACCTATAAATTTTACTTTTCGGACATATGCTGCTTGAGATTAAATTAATAGGACTTTTAATAAATTTTCAACTCATCATATAATTTGAAAATGATTAAATATATTTACTACTGAACGGCGACGATACTACTAAAGTTGAACAAATACTATAATAGTTATCATATATTTAATATGTTTTTAAATTTCACATCTATAAAGTCTGTGCATGCAAATTCTTATGCTATACTATGAACTGCTATGCTTTGCTATGAAAAGCGAATTACAAGCCATACTATGGAATTTGAATGAGTACAGTAAAATCCGTATTTGCGACTGTTTATTTGTTGGGCTAATATTTTAAACAGCAAAACTATTTTATTTTTGTATGTATGTATGTTTGTTATGAATAAACTCAAAAACTTCTGAGCCGATTTCCAAAATTCTTTCGTCATTGTAAAGCTACATTCACCACAAGTAACACAAACTATATACATATGTTGCTGAAAAGATAGTGTGGTACTGCGTTTAAGAAAATATAAAAATAAAACAGCAAAAATAATATAATAAGTAAAAATATAAGAAAAATCTTTTGTACACCCGGGCAAAGCCAGTGTGGGAAGTTATTATTAAATAAACTAAAAGCTTGTGAATATAAGCAAAGCAGTGCTAATACATATATACAAATAATTATAAGCTGAGATTTAATTTCTGTATCAATAGTTCATAAGAACGATTGCTTTTTTATTCTATGAAATACTTACATACTATCCATTACATTATTTATTTTGCTGGGCAAAGGTGTGATTTTTATTATCGCTTGCATATTGCGTTTTCTATACAACTAAGAAAAACAGCACAAATTATTAACAACGCCATCTATCCGTGATCAATGAAAGTTACATTCACAACAAATAATTCTGACAGTCACTGTAATCATGATCTTATCTATATGTGTATAAGATTCATTTTAATATATCCAGGTACGAGATGCTGATAGGATATCCGCCGTTCTGTTCCGAGTCGCCTCAAGAGACGTACAGGAAGGTGATGTCCTGGAGAGAGTCGCTTACTTTCCCACCGGAAATACCCATCAGCGAAGATGCCAGGGAAACTGTTATGAGATTCTGTTCCGAACCTGATAGACGGTAAACTTATATTTATACGGTTAGGTATTTGATTAGACCATATTTACGGTAAAGTCGCAACATTTATACGGATACTAGTTTTTGTCAAACGTTGTTTTGCCATATAAAAATAGGGCTTAGTGATGAAATAGCAAAAATTTTGGGATGTATGTATTTTTTATGCTACATTGTAAAAAATGAAGACAAAAATTTCGTCCAAAAAAAAAATTTAAGGGTGATTTAGGGGTATGAAAAATAGGTGTTGACCGTTTCTCAGACCTACTCAATATGCCCACAAAATTTCAACAAAATCGGTCCAGCCGTTTTGGAGGGGTTCTCTGTCTAACGCCGCGACACGAGAATTTTATATATAAGAAAGTATTTAAATGGATCGTATTTACTTTTCGTACTAATTTCGAAACACTATGTGATGCATTAGTTAGTGCAGGTACATTAGTTAGTGCAGGTATATAAATATGTATGTATGTCTGTCTATGAGAATAACTAAGGAACCTTCAGTATATATTTTTTTATATTCTGTAATTTGCACACATAACGTATCTCTCTGAGGTCAACATATGCAGATGCAGTACTAATAAAATTAAAAAATGTGAAAGGTTTTAAAAGATGTATGTATGTTTGTAACACTTTCACGCTAAAAATATAAATGGATTTTAATGTTACTATATGATGATGTAGCTTATATGCCATAATAAGATATCCTACTAATATTATAATTGCGAAAGTTTGTGAGTGTGTGTATGTTTGTAACTTCTTCACGCTCAAACGGCTGAACCGATTTTGATAAAATTTTGTATACAGGAAGCTGACGTCCAGAAATAACACATAGGCTACTTTACATCCCGGAAATCCGCGGGTAACACCGCGGGGCGCAGCTATTAGACTATAAATAATCACGAAATTACGTGTTCCTAAGTTATCGAATCAAAATCGTTGTATTTATTTAAGTAACGTGATCAGTGGCGGCTGGTGGGTAATCGAACCGGTGGTGCACTTTACTAAAATATTAAAATTAGAAAATGCAACAAAACATAACGAGATGTCAATCTCTCGGTAATCTTCGGCCGCTCGAGAACCGACTCATTACTCGGTACATTTCTATGAACTATCTTTTGTTTCACGCGTTAGGCGTATTAATTCTTATCTCATACAAGATGTATAAGCAGTCCTCGTGCACTCGCCGAAGCGCCCGATTTATTAGTTTAGTAAAGCGCTCAAACTTTTTGACCATAATTAGGAAATTTTATGTTTTATACGTTTTTATATGTTTAAAAAATAAATATGTATTAAAATGCTAATTTAAAAATAATTATGAAGTAATATTTTGCAATATTTAAATCTTTTGAATTGGTGGTTCAGCGCACGAGTGCACTTAAGGTAAAGCCGCCACTGAACGTGACAATATATGTAGGCGTTTTTATACAGTTCTCTCTGTGATATATCTAATCTGTATTTCCACTAGCTTTACTATATGTAATTATCATTATCATTCCAGTCTCGGCTCTCAGCGTGGTATAGAAGACGTGAAGTCTGTGTCATTTTTCCGAGGAGTTGACTGGAGCCACGTCCGCGAACGGCCGGCAGCCATCACGGTCGACGTCCGCTCTATAGACGACACGTCGAACTTCGACGACTTCCCTGACGTTAAGCTCGAAATACGTGAGTTGTTGCGTTCTCACGGGGTGACGGCATACACACACACACACATACACACAGACTCACACACACACAGACTCACACACACACAGACTCACACACACATATATATACTCTACTCGTGTATTATAAAGAACTTATACAGTGTAAAATCTATAAAGAACAACCCACACACACACATACACCCTCACACACACACACATGCAGACTCACACACACACATATGTACTCCACTTGTGTATTGTAACGAACTTATATTATACAATATAGAAACTATAAGGAACACACACATACACGCTCACACACATACGTCCTCTACTAATATATGCTAGCGCTAGTATATACAGTGTGAAATATATAAGGAATCTGAATTAACGTAGTAGTATTATAAGTTTTAAAGATTTTTCGTTGTATGAAGTGTTAATAGAAATATGTACTGCCAATATTACTATGAATTCTGTGTATTATTCTTAATGGAAAATTAATTAGTTTTACATTTATAATCATAATTTTGTAGCAACCGTCTGTGAGATTATTATAAAAATAATTTAATAGATTCCAAAATCTATTTATCTATCTAATCTGAAATTGATTTTTTCGTTGAAGAATTTATGTTCATAACAATCTTACACTGACCTTACATTTTACACTGCTACAATTCTTATTCTTCTACAATATAACACAATAAAAATCTTCACATACATTCCATTCCACAGATTAAAAATATTGTTCGTTATAACATAGTCTATATTTGAAAAAAAAAAGCTATGAAATTAGCTTGGTTATGGATTAATAATAGCTTATTTTCCAGCATCAGCGCCCATAACACAGGAGGGTGAGATAGCTTATAAGGATTGGGTTTTCATCAACTACACGTTCAAGAGGTTCGAGGGTCTCACTCAGAGAGGGACGCCTACCAAGAAATGAGTCTAGACTAGCAGCTCCGAAACCCAACCGGTGTATGTTGACCCACAACAGACTATTCTGCCAGCATCACAACCCTTCAGACCAGTCTGCTGTTGCATTCTATGACGTCATCATCACATCTCACTACAAACATGTCGCTTGCGTCGATCGTATAACCAATGGGTAGTTCGGAGTGTTAAACCAAAATATGTTCAAACTGTTCCTCTTGTAGAGGTGTCAATGTATACTGGTCGTATGTATAGCTGTTAGATAAAATTTGAGCTCGGATCATTATTACAAATGAAATTAATCTCTTGTTACAATATTGTCTTGTATTAAAAACTAATAGTTCAATACAAATTCTACATATACAGTGTTTATTGACATTTATATATGGTAAATACATATTTTATGACCTACAGAAATAATTATCATATATTATATATTAACAAAAGTACAGTTTCATTTGTATGTGATCTGATTGTGTAGTCATTGTGAAATATCAACGAAAGCATTCAGGGGACTATGAAATTTGTTTTAAATAAAATAATTTGCTCATTAAAACTAAATAAAAGTATTTTGTAGTTGGTAGTATTGGATTCGCTTAACGATATATAAAATTTGGTAAAGCATCTTGCCAGAAGTAGCTAGCGGTTATTTTAGTGTTTTCACTCTGACACTTTGACTTGCCTTTTCACGAAACGCATCTATCTATAACAACGAACTCCATCGTTCCCGGTCGATTCTCGCAACCGAACATATCTGTCTATTATCTATATAAAAGAAAAAAAATCATAACTATTGTATATTTATAATTTATGTAAATACTTCAATATAAACAGTTTTTGGGATAAATAATATGAAAATGTAATTCCGTCCAGAGAGTTTAGTTACTATCATAAAATAATGATTATATAGATTTTATCACATTTAAATGGAAATCTCTATGAATTAAATTTATATTAGTTGTATACAGATATTTTCGGTGCGGGAATTGATCGGTTTTTCGCTGCTTGCTTGTGACGTGTTAAAAACTGACTCGTCTGTAATCAGCCTTAGTTCACGGTTATTTTATAAAATATATTTCCTGCCTCCGTATAAGGAGTTCAACTTGTTTGTATTATGAGATAAATTTGCTACAAATCAAATTATACCTTACACTGAATGTACTAGATTTCTTAATTGTACTTCTTGCCGATAGTATAAGTACAAAAAATTAAATGGCATACTATTTTTCAACCCTGATTCGACTCGACAAACGCAGTTTACCACAAGTCTTATATCACATACGGTGATTTACTAGTTTTCGAGTTTTACTCATACTTATGCGAAGATTTATGAATCAAAAACTATTAACGCACCGTAAGTAGTGTGAGTACATGTGGTAAGTAATACGTAATATTGATGTAGTTGTAAACGCACACAACGGTAGCAGTTTATTGAGACCATATCCAACGTTGTGTGTGTGCATTAGTCGTTGTGTGCAACCTAGACATTGATCATATGTATTTTACATATATATTTTTTTTCTTGTGTGTTAAAGAAGTATTTAACAGCTTTACGTAATGTGACGATTGTATAGAGCAGACAGCTAATAAAAATGTACTTTACACGCTTGTACATTAACTCACTGTTAGAAATAGTAATAATTATGATTAAACAAAATACGATGTTGTATAATTTTTAATTGTATCTTTGTATTATTTTCATTATTATGATTTTTTTTTTAATTTAGTTAATTTATTTAGTTAGTTTAATTAACTGTAGTTATTATTTAATTATAAATTTTGAGATCAGTGTTAATAACGATTGCTTGATGCGAGTGATATTTGAATGTCTATATGAATAACACTCCTATTGTTTATTTTGGAAAAGATGAAATTTTATGTCGACCTAAAACTATTTCCAGTTATACAAATGATTTTTGTATATTATAACAATACATTTATTTATATCTTATTGAAGTCAACTGTGAAAATGTATTGCATATACTTAAAAAGTATAATTTTTATTTGATTTTTAAATACATTTATTTCGCTGTAGTCAATTTATTTTCATGATTTTCTTCTATAATTCTATTCAAGTTATTTTTCATAGCATCAATAGTCTTCAAGTTGATGTTAAATTCTTCGTTTCTCTGATCAGTAGGTTAAAAGTTGATGAATATTTTCCACTGCCTCCCACACAGCCGCATACAAATATAGGAGTGTTATAAATATTAAAGTAAATAATACAAATAAATGTATTAAGAATCATAGTTAAGTTAACGCTAATTGAGACGCTTATGTAAAAAAAAATAACGGTTTCTGTAGTACTTTGAGATAACGACATACTTTAACGAGTAGACATTATTTATAGTTTTAGTACATAGATGTTATGCACTGATTAAGGTTCAACAAACGCTTGTTTTATTTCAACAAATTGGATATTTGCTTTTGTTATTGTTATTAGTGGGATGTGAAACGAAAAAAATATTATATATAATATTGATAAATGATATATTTAATTTGATAAATTCTTTTTCTATAAGTTTTTGAATGTTTTCAACGACTTATGTTTCTTACATGTGATTTTAAGAAAGTGGCAATACGATAAGCATTAAAGCGATATGAAATTACACTGTTTTTGATTTTAATCTTCATAGTAGCTGTTGTAGCAAGATTTGTGTGAATAAAAAGGTTTGTATGAAATGAAACGACATTATATTGTTTATATTTTAAGTTCAGCAAATAATAAACTAATCAGATCATGTATAGAGGTGTTACTACATAATAACAAAATAAAACTAATTCCAGTACATCAGGAATATCTGCAAGATATACGTCAAAAGTTTTTATCTAATATAAATGCATCTCGTCACCAACACTATGGGCTAGACCACGGCAAGACTATTATACTAACACCTTAATTACGGTGTATAGGGAATATAATATATTAAAATGCAATTTTTTCTTTATAATATACTCTACATTAAATGATTACTAATAGAAATCGACATTATTCAAATGCCGAGTAAATGCAATGTTGATTTATCAAGATTAAGAGTTATTACGGAGTCTGTCGATTATGGAATATTTCATCCGACAAATCTGTTTGTAAGATTTTTTGTCAATAGAGTCGCTTCAATTTAAGTAAGCTGATTAAGTAAGCTGATTCTTCTTCTTTAGTTAGTGGCGTTTCCTTATAGATTTCGCCAATGTCGTGTAACGATATTATACTGAACTATGTAAAGAGGGATTTGTGAGTGAACAAGGTCGCGACTATTATGATTCTTACAATAAGTGTTATTAAACACTGATATGCATTAGTGACACATGACAGTTGCCACCTGTTTATTAACATATTAGGTATATGTCAGCTATTGAAGTTTACTCTGAATAATAAACTAAATAAAACCTCGCTATACAGCAACGAACACTAAAATAAATCCTAAAACATTCCAGTCTTAACAAACATTTGTGACCTTAAAACGAAAGTAAATAATCAATTTATATGAAACCTCACTGATAAAAACCTTACACAAAGAAACGAAAAAAAAAACAAAAAAAAATGATTGCATCTTCCCAAACGAATCACGAACAATTGTAACAACTTATCAACAATTTTGTAAGAACATACAAAAATTAACAAATATAAGGAAATTGTACAAAAAATGTTTTCTTAAGTATAGTGAAATAAATTTTTAGATTAATCAAACACCTATTGATGACCTTAGTGTATGCGCGTATAGGAACTTAAGATAAAGCTTAAAAATGAAGACCAATTTAAGAGATTTTAATGTCTAAATAAATGCCTGCCAAATTATCATTACTATCACAAATAAAATGATTACGTTGGAACACAACTACTTATAAGAGATGTACGTATAGGTATACCATTACATTACATTTAATATAACTGACAAGAGTAACGCTATGCGGGTACATATATTTAGATATAATAATTGTTACAAGCTATCTGCTCGAACCCACCACCACAATGAGGGATGAAGACATTTCAATGAGCCGGCCGAGTGCGGCTCACATCATCAGTATGGCAGAAATAGCTCAAGATGAACAAATTCATTACCTATCGTTCTCAAACCTGCTTCACTTCCATTTATACTTATCCTAATTCCAACCATAAAGATGTCTGCCCCGAATCCCTCGAACTTCCGATTGTGACCGACTTGTATGTGGGTTGAGTGATTCATTAAATATTAGACATCGATAATATTAAAATCTATGTTTTTAAACTTGGTATATAGAAACCGATCGTGCATACTACGTTACGCTACAGGATCAATAACAAGCCGTGTGAGAGGGTAGAACAAGCAGTAGGTTCGAAGGATTCGAGGCCTCCAAAGCTTTTATCCGTGTTGGGGCATGGAGCAAGATGGCGGCGAAGGCAGGGCGCCGGCTTCCGGATCCTCTTCCTCCCCTTTCGGGATGTCGAATATCTCCGAGAACAGAGCGGGCAGCACCAGCCGCTGCCAGTTCAGACGGCACCAAGTCAGCTGGTCGTTATGCTGCAAACCCAAAACACGAGCTTCGCGAGTCGCCACCGCAAATGCTTCCATACGAGCCGGTACATCAGATATTCCGGACTCAGTCACCTATGATAGAAGAATAATACATAATAAAATCAAATTAATATCAAGTAGAAATATTTCCTGTAGATGATATTTCATACCACATATTGGAAGGCCTCCATTAGTGACATGTGGAGGGCGGTGATTTTGTCCTTATCAGACAGTCCGTTCCTATGAGGGGAGAGCAGCAGAGTGGCTGAGAAGAGAGCCATCTCATCTTCAGTGATGCACATCTTGTTGATACGAGCGGTGTACGCCAGCATCGACTTGGCGAACGGGATCTAGCAAAAACAGCGATGTATAATTTGTTCCCCATAAAAATATGCTGGGAATCTATACTCACATCATACATAAGCTCGAGCTGAGTCTGATCTATGGAGTTGCCATCATCAAACACGATAGTCGCCTCCGAAGAGATACGGCCCATACGAGACAGCCACACCTCGAAGAAGCCTAGCTGCGGATTTATTACAATCATAACATCGAATACACATTGACAGCTTGATAACTATACAATACATTTGCATACGCGACATACATATTTGCATACAACGCGAAGCTTAAACACATTCGCAACGCCCCAATTCGCATCGCTCCAACACATGGTCAATACCTTCTAGAACGTACTGCATTTTACCATTTGTGTACCTTGATAAGTATAAGTTGATCGTCTTGGGGCAGCACGTTGAAGCCGGGCACGCGTTTGGCGAACTCAACCACTTGCTGTACGGTGGGCGTCATGCGTACGGCCACATTGTACCATAGAGCTGTTAATTTATTAGCACGCACTGCTCCCGAGCAAGCTGCCTCCTCCCCGCCGTTTCCTGATAGATTAATTCAGCTTCAATAGAAATAAAGAAATAGAATAACTAAAGTATCCCCCTAACTTTAATTAAGATTATTAACCACCATCTTTTATACGAATCCCTCTATATTTAGGTGTTTTCGCGCCCTATTTACTAGTTGCTATGGATATAGAGACGTCGAATGTTCTTGCATTTGCTAGACCTTATCGCCTTTATATAAATTCTATTGAGTTCAATTGATGTAAACGGACGTACATATATGTTAACAAAACCCTTTCAACTGTTCATAGAATACATTTCCAAACTATGATTTTAGTTGCTCTTAAACTTCGATACAATTTTAATGACAATTACATTTGTGAAGCAAATCAAAATATATGTAATTGTTCCGATGCAACTCTTTTATTTATATATTTATTACATATATGTACGTTAAATAATTTAAATTTTCTATGTACTTCTATGACAGGTTGAGGTAAGGTTCTTTTTTAAAATCGTGAAATATCTTACATTTATTATGTAATGTATTTAAAGAAGCAATGTTAAATCATATTGCCTTTTAAATTCTATTCGTAATATTATAAAACTTGACTAATCTTTTGAAATTCATTAATTTTGATTTTTGAAATTAACAAATTAGTTAATATTGATTTAAGTTTATACTCATACAAAAATACAAAGTTATATATAATATTAGTATATCTAACAATGATTTTGTATTGTCGTCAATCAGAGTCCAGTGGCGATGATTGATAGTTATGAAGTTTAGTTTACTCAATGACTATATCACCATCCGTTACGAGTTGCAACAAATAAATCAATTTGATTTGTTGATTCGAACGCATACATCTGCATCTATTATAAAATATAAACTAGATTATTTCTAAGAGTTCTATTTAACTCACCATCATGGTCATTATCTTCGGTTTTCACGATGATAGCTTTCAGGTGCATGCTTCGTACGTAGTCTTCGGAGTAGGCGTCGTTATTGCGATGAGCTGTGATCACCACTTTAGCGAGATCCCTGGCTAGTTCTAGTTGTAGGGAATCCGTGTCCATTTCTTCGACCGAGGATGTTGGGGTTGGGGTTCCGACCCCCAGGTTCTTGGTCAGATCCGGCATGCTCTCCGAGCTGACGACCTCCCGAGGCCTCTTCGGCACCCGGCCGTACCTGACGGCTGATGAGAAAGATCTCATTACTTTGAGCACGATTGTATGGATGCGTTGCAAGTAATGAACTGCAATCAGAGTTGCATCGGGGCTTGACATCTCAATTGGAAAATAGGCGTAACGTTGCAGTGCGTTGATCTGTGTTCTATTTCTTTTTCCTATATCGTGATGAGAGTCCTTTTATTGGGAATACGAATGCTCTTCTCATTCGCTAATTTGTCGACATACGGATTATGTTTATATCACATATGCGACCTATTTTTTTGTATTTACGTTCATAAACACAATCAATTTCTTATTTAGTAGTTTTTTGAAATAAAATGCCTATTAAATCAATTTTATAACTAAATTCAAATTCGTACCTTTTTAGTATTACACATAATTAGCATAGATTAATATTAAACAATATTGCAAATATTTATCGATAGTTTAAATATGTTTTTATAACACGTAATTTACATTGAAAAGACTGGCCTTTTTCATGATAACATGAATTTTAATACAATTTAATAAATTTTGATTGCGCTCATTGTAATGCAAATCTTCATATAGGAGACGAATCCAAAACATTCCTTAAACTAATATATTATCTACAATTGGAAACTTCGAGATTTATGCAACAAGATTTTGAATTTAGAACGAGCGTATGTTTTTCATAAATAACGATCATTTAAAAATATTACCAAAAAATGTCACACGTATTTATACAAAAAAATATTATTTCATAAAAAAGATCCTTGTAAATTTTAATAAATTATAATTACAAAGTAATTAATACTTTCGCCATTACTATCGATTCAGGGCGAGCTTTTAAAGGTTTATTAGTAGGTACTGTCAGTGTTGCTAACATCAAATACCGCACGCTAACTGAATTTCACGGGCTCTCTAAACTTTAACTTAATTTCCTGCAGTTTCTGTTAGTGGTTCATAGTTGAACTTTTAAACTTTGAAACCGAACGTAGACTCAGATTGATATCTCATTGAACGGAGAGACGGACACAAAACTTGGTGGAATTCAATCAAATAATCTATTAGACTAAAATAGTTCATAAAGTTTTCTGTGCTGTAATATTAAAATAATCAGGAATATTTCTTTGCATGTTGATCAATATAATATAATTTCTTATTTTATTTGTGACAGATAATATATTGACATTGACGTATTTGTTTTTTTTGACGTGATAACGTCTTTAAAATCGTTTTAGTTGGGTGACATGTTCAGAAACTTGTGTCACACCAAAACCTCACGAGCGCGATCGCAGGTATAACGAGAGAGAGACGGACCGATCTCCCGTCTCATCTCGAGCGCTGCCAGTCATTCCGTGAAACTTGTCACGCGGAATCCTCACGAGCGGAGGCAGGCATAGCGTTCGAGTGAGTGGACCGATCTTCCGTCTCTCTCACTCTAGCGGCATACAAACGAATGGAGATTTTCTCGTGCTTTTAAGTTTTCGTTGAATGTTTAACAGAATGTTTAACTTGTCATTTTACACCCGAAATTTATCATCAAAAGTGTGAATAAAACGATAGATGTAATTTAAAATTTGAAAAAATTGTTATCTTCATTAATTCCTTACTTCCCAAAAACTTATATCACCAATAAGACGTTATCACGTAAACATCTCGATCGTAAACCTACTTTACAAACAACCAATTTTTTTGTAAATTTTACAGCTCTGGATATGAGTACTTTTGAGCCTATATACATTGACGTATATATGTATAAGTGTGGCCAGTAATGAATACTCACAATCGCGACTCATGCCAACGGCCAAGCACTTCTTGAATCTGCAAAACTGACAGCGGTTCCTGTTCAGTCTTATGACCAAACACTTGCCGTCCCGAAGACAACGATACTCAATCTGTTTCTGGATACTGCGTCTGAAGAAACCCTGAGAAAAGATTATATATTAGTTGTTTTATAATTAAATTGAAAACTAATCTATTACTTACAAGTTTAATAACTAGATGGCGTAGAAATAAATACTTTCAATAAGACATCCAAGTCAGAAAACTAACCAGTTTACTTTGTCTTATTCATTATTTGATTTAAAAGTATTTGTAAATTTAAGAGTACTTTTCATTACTGCATATCTTCATATATATAATATTCAATATATGCAACTATTTATTAACATTGTTCTCTGTATAAAGGTACTCGGAAATCGTAAATATATCCGACAGCTTGCTGCGGAATATCCGAAAATCCCGATGAATCCGGATTTTATGAAATTAAGTCCCATCCTGCAGGCATAGTGCGAATAATAAAAAGGGAATATTGTTGCTATCACGCGGCCCGGCATAAAGGCTTCGTATGAAAGCCTTGTAAATGTAGAATGACACACATGCAATTGAATCCGACTTTTACGTGGACAAAAAACATTTTAATCTTCTCTGTTGCATGCAAATTGAGTGAAATATTCAAATTTTTTTCACGTAAAATGTGATCCGGCTATCGAAAATCACATTTGTTGGTATAAAAGGGGTATCTTGTAACATACATATGTACACACGGGTGTATATTTCGTTCTGCTGCATACCCTTGATGTTTAATTCGATGATAAGGTTAGCGTGCTTCAGTGATTTGAAAGATGGACGCATCTTGTCTTATGTCTTGTGTACCTTTGTGAATGTAACTTCATATTGAATGAGTTAGAATGAACGAATGAACACGAATGGATCTTTTCGTTCAAATTTTACCCGCGACTTTGTTCGCGCTAGTTTCATAATTATAAATGTATTAGACCAGGGGAACTGTTTCGATTTAGAGATAGTAAATAAACTAATATTGGATTTTGTTAGCATTTTTTTTTGGTTAAACGAATTCAAAAGTATCCTATGTCCGTCTCCTAATTCCAAACTAACTACCCACTAATTTGCAGCCAAATCCGTACAGCCATTCTTGAGTTATAAATAGTATAACTAACAGTTATAAATAGTATAACAACAAAAGCCGATTTAGCAACAAAGCACCTGAAACTTATCTATTATAATAATTGTTTTTAATCGTTACATCTTATGCTCTCATCGTCACGACTATGACAAAATGTCCTATAAAAATTCTCGTGAAATTAATTTAATGCTGGTATATTAGTAGAACCCTAGATTGACCTGACCGGAGCTAAGCATCATAACTTGGTTACATGGAAATTATATTAAGTTGTTTATAAATTCTCGCTGGATGGACCACATACTTATTTTGTTGTTTGGTCCATATTTTTAACTCGATATTTCAGTATTTTTCCCATATTTTTAATATTTTTAACCTCGCTATCTTGTGAATAATGTTTTTTAGTATGTAGATACTTTTAATCCGATCTGTGCGAGGTTAAGTATGTTAAGCTTATAAAATCTTTACTTAATAGAATATCGGCTGTGGATCAGATTATCTTATATATATATTATGTATTAATATTTTACTATATTATTAATACTAATATTTTACAAGCTAGATGAATATCGTCATCAGCCTATCAGAGCCCACTGCTGAGCAAGGCCTCTTTCTCACATGGAGAAGGTTTGAGCATTAATCACCTCGCTTGTTCAAGACGGGTTGGTGATTTCAAACTTATAATTGTGAAATTATAAATCCAGGTTTCCTCTAGATGTTTTTCCTTACCATCCGTCAGTGGTATCTAAATACTCTTACAAAGTACATATGACTCGGAAAAATCACATTGGTACTTGCCAGGATCGAATCCGCGCCCTCATGCATGAGAGGCGGGCCCTTTAACCACTAGGCCACCACTGACTTTGAATATTCATTATAAAGAACAAAATAAATTATTTTACCTAACTAAAGTTCGCCGATTATTTTCTGTATCAAAGCTTTTTAATGAAATCGGATTAATTTATAAGAAAATTCTCTGTATATATTAATTTTCATACAAATAATATACGTTTTATAAAGTTAATTAATTTTGAGATAACTTGAATACGAAGTGAAGCCATCGTTAATGGCTTTAATGGACATCTGTATTGTTTCTCGTTTTTCAGTTTTTAAAGTAATTATATATTTAAATTTAATAAAATAACAAGACATTTATAATGTAACTAGCTTTCCGCACGCAGCTTCGTCCGCGTCGAGTTCGGTTATATCGCGTTTTCAAAAGAACCTTTCAAAAGTCTAGCATAAAAACTATCCTATGTTCTTTCTCAAGGTCAACTCTATCTCTGTACCAAATTTCAATAAAATCAGTTCAGTGGTTTAGGCGTGAAAGCGTAACAAACAGACAGAGTTACTTTCGCATTTATAATATTAGTAGGGATAATCATTATGATTAATTTCAAAAACAAATCTCATTAGTTTTGCATCGTCGTTTGCCGTATATCACACTCCACGTACGTCAATACTATATCTACTATTTGTTAGGGAAAAACGAAAAACTCCGCGTTTGCAGTGCGACAAAGATAACTTATAATAAGCGTACAAGTTATCCGTAACTTTATTGATAAGTTTCAAGTATTGAGTCGAAGTTTATAAATATAAAGGCTTCTTTGAAATTTCTAAATAATATTTTTATCACAAGTTCGACTTAGATTTAAACTAGTTCAACTAGAAGTTTAACTATTGATCTTTTAACAATTTATTCTATAACATAAATCAAGTTAAAAGTCTTTTAATATTTAATATTATATAATATATGTACATTAATATTTATTATCGAAATGGAACAAAAGCAGAGCGAAATGATTGTTAAGACTGTCAATTGCGGACGTTTAAAATTTTGACATCGTATATGGGTCAAATGCTTTTATTAATTACAGTGAAATGCTTTTAATTATAAAGATACACAACAATCGGAATTATCCACTTGGTTAAATACGAATCTAATATTTATCTACTAATGCGGTGCTATTTATTATGAGGCAAAACAATTAAACGAAATAAAATGTTTTATAATTAAATAAAGAGGTCTTATTTATATAACGTTTGTATCTGGCTATATATATTTTTTTATTTATCCTGTTGCCCATTTTTATTCAAAGAAAAATACCGCGAACTCATAAGCTTTGTTAACTACGACTAATCTTTCAGAATATGCATAAAATATATGACAATATGATATATTTTTTAAATTATTATTAAATTAAAAAAAAAACTCACCTGATTTACAATTTCGTTTAACAAACACTATATATATGAACGTAATATACGTAATATTGACCGTAATATGTACGTAGCGTACCGTAGCACGTCCGGAGGCTACAGGTCTACGTTGCTAAGTGCATTACCTTGCAGCCTTCGCAGGATGTGACCCCGTAGTGATATCCGGAGGCTTTGTCGCCGCACACCTTGCACGGCGCTGCTGCCTTACCGCCTGCGCCTGCGCTGTCCGCCTCTGAGACAAAACGACGAAAGAACATGTTAAAAAAATAACATATATATAAAGATGCATATTTAGTATAATATCTCTGTATTATTGTTAATGAAAAATGTTATTTTTTCAGTTAATGAAAATAGTTCGTTTTTCCTTTATATGCAAGATTAATTTTTATAACTATGGTTTAAGGAATGTTACTTTAGTTATAAAATATATATTATATTATATTTGATGAAAGTTCTATATAAATAAATTTATTAATTTGTTAATTCTTTTTAAAAATATTAATAAGAATATGCAATAAAAATCCAATGATATGTTTAAAGATGATGAAAATGAATTATTCTATATTAAATTATTTTAATAATATTATTTTAAGACAAAATAAATATTAAATTAAACCGAGGCTTTGTTTCTAGAGCACGTTTATGAATTGTACAATATTATGGTTTGTTAGAAAATAAGAATTTTATTAGATTTTTAATATTTATAACATATATATTTATTTCGCTGTGCGAACCTCTCGTTTTGTGAGAATTTCTTCATAATAGTTCTAGCTTTTTAATTTATTAGCTTGAAGAAATGAATAGACAATAATTGTGATATTTTTTTTGTTATACATTACTAGTTTTTGCCCGCGACTTCCTCCGCGTTAATTTCGTCATTAGTAATATATGTATAGCTGACCGGGCGAACTCTATTCCGTCTTAGAGGCCATAAATAACCAGATATCGGCATTTATTATATTTTTCTTGTTTCAATGGAACAGAATGATTGACATATTAGTTAGTTGTCAAATCTAATGTCAAAGAAAACGTTTGTATGGGAAATAGAAAAGGGCTGTTTTTATGGTTTTCCCAGTAATGAATCAATTTTTTTCAGCTTTTATACCTTCCTTGAACCTCCACGAACATTTCAAGACTAAGATAAGATTCAGCTCAGCCGTTCTCAAATTTTAGTAAGACTAACGAACAGTAATTCATTTTAATATACATAGATAAATCTGTTTTTATTATAAATCTGAGTCTTAATAAAATTATTTACAGTTGAAATAATTTTAAAGCTTTGAAACCTTAAGGCTGCATACACAATAATACGGGTTTAGTTAAATATTTAAAAAAATACAAACATTGAAAATATAAAAAAAAATTCTTGACAATTTTTTTAAATTAAAATCTATAAAGAAACTGCACAAATTAATACTATAAATCAATTAATTAGGATAATTATATTATCTTAATGATAAGACTTATATTAAATATCTTTTCTTTTCAATCCTTAAAGAAAAGTCTAAAAGATATCAACGCGTGTCCATTTATAATATGTATATAAACAAAACCCAAAATATATATGATAAAAGGGCTTTGATACATAAATATATATAATATACTCTTATATATATGTTATAAATTAAATAATACTGAACAGTAACTACTGAAAACTTAAATGGAAAATGTTTTAAGCTTTATAACTGTCGGAACACGAATGTTCGGAGTTTTGCACTTATGTTTTCAACATTAAATATTAAGTTTATATAAATGTAATATATTTATTATATAGAATATAATGGTTCACATAATGAGATGAGATTTTCGCTAGTATTCATTTAAATGAAACTAATATTTTTTAATATACTTCGCGTGCTTTATTTTTGTAATCTCGTCTTTGTGATCACGGTTGCTGTAAAGTAACCGAAACGTCGGGAGTATGTAGTTTTTATTAAAAATAAAGTCGCGTAGTATATACGATAAATATTAGTTTCATTTAAATGTATAAAACTCGCGAAAATCTTTGATCTCATTATATAGGATATAATATAGCTTCAATTTTTTTATGTATTGAGAATTATAGTCAATATAGATTAATTAACTATGTATATTATTATAATATTTTTCTTCTTCTTCCTGGCAATTTCCCAGCTTAAGCCAGGGTCTGCCTTACATGTTGTGAATAGTTATGTCTAATTGTTTTTACGACCGGCCGCCTGCCTGACATCAACCCTCTTTGGGAATGCATTAATCAGTGATGTCTAAATACTATTTAAAAGTACATATGACTCGGAAAAATCACACTGGTACTTGCCAGGATCGAACCCGCGGCTTCATGCATGAGATGCGGGCTTTTTAACCACTAGGCCACCACTGACTTATTATAGTATTTTTATCTATACAAAACAATATAAAAATCTTGTTGCGTTTCCCAGATCGTCTTTGTGAATGGGGCTAATCAAAAATATTACAGCATCCCTTCCTTGTATTGAAATTAGCTGTTGAACTGGAAACTGTGATGGAAAAGTCATGAAAAGAATTTATAGCAAATCTATGTATATTTAGAACTATTTAGTCCATTGATTGTAGCAATTCTTAATAATTGTAAGATTTATATCTATTGGTATTAGTATTGCTTTTATTTCTAACTATAAAAAATAAATTAATTATTATCTTATTACTGAAAACGTTTATTTGAAATGCACTTAATTAGTGTAATTAGTCGTTTTTGATGTTGGATATTAAGAGACGAATCCTCTCATCATTCAATGTATTCACGGTGCGTGTGTCAGGTCCATCGTTGTAGTGAGAGGAGCTTCAACAGTGACTGTGACTTACGACCCAGGTGTAGGTTTAAGGGGCTTCTATCTAACGCGTTAAACGCTCACCTCCACTGTCCGAGCTCCTCTCTCTACCTATAAACCTTTTAATTAAGTACTATTTGTTAAGTGAATTCGATTTACTTTACTAACATATGGCTGGTAATTATTTAGTCTTTTAAATGAATGATTTTGTTGCTACTTCATTATTCATTTTAATCGGCTTATTCACGAAGTTTGTAGTGATGTTACTACTAGTCTACTACTACTTTGTTCTAAGTTGGAACTGAGCTTAAAAGCTCTAAGTTCTAAGTGAAATGGTCGTCGACTGTTGGTTAGGCAATATAATATTTATAACAATTCTAAAACTATAAGCTACTTATAATATATTTGAGGAAAATCAAATATGTATATAATAAATAATTACATTTTCGACTGTTTACATTAAACTCTTGCTCTGTCTCTTTAGAAAGAGACAAAAAGGAAAAGAAAGAGACAGACAGAGAAAGAGAGAGAGAGAGAGAGAATATTTGACAATATCACTCATTAATTTATTTTCTCTCACGTTTTTTTTATCAAATCTAATTGTAAGTACCTTCTAATATAAGCGGAACTAAACCTAACTCTATTTAGTTTAAAACAGCCTCAAAGTTCACGTAAAATCATTTGCGAGTGGAAAACAGAAAGTTTATTCGTAAGCTGTAACATTTTAATGTATCTCTAGAACCAAAGTAATATAAAGCCTTGTTTGCTTTTGGCATTGTTAAAACTAAACCTGAATTTAACTAAATCTAAATGAATACTAAACTGTTGCATTAACATAACTTTACAACTAAACTACATATATTATGAATAAAAAATAAAACATTTATATTGAGTAATCATGCGGTATATTTAATTTAATGGCAACACCGGTGATGCGTGCGAAATACGCGGGAGTTTTCGTTCGTTTTAATTTAATTGGAGTTATTTTAAGTATTAACACTTAGAATATTGATATATTATATTATTATTTGATTTGTTAATAAATAAAAATAGTAAAAAGTCTAATAGATTGGATACTCCGGCGCAATATACTTCTGTACGATCGATAAAGCAACGGGTTATGTAAGCTCGGTACTTTCTTCCGCGAATGCTCCATCCTTTTCTAACTGGCTGTGAGTGAAAAGGCTGCAATCCGTTGATCACGATGATTGTACAGGGCTGTGTCTAAAGTTACGATAAATTGATGATTCAATTTAATTAAACTCATTATTATATAATATATCTTTGAGCCATCAAAGAAAGTTCTAGATATATTATATGCAAGTAATTTTCTAAGTTAAATATTATTATAAAGTATTTTCTGCGTAAACTACATCGGAAAATATTGGTTTCATACGAAAGGAAGATAATCTAGTTCTTCTTTTATAATCTTATATATAGGTTTATCGATATATAAAGCCAGTGTAGTGTAGATTTGATTTTAGTTTGGTCCATTCTATTTTGTGATACGAGCTCACCGTTCAAAGCTAGTTTCAGGTTCCTTAATCAATTGGGTCAGCGGGCAGGTCACCCCATTGTTCGGCTTTCATTCAAACAGCCTAGCATAAATCATGTACAGCACTCTACAACATTAATATGGGAATTCCGTACGTTGAAAACATTTATCGTCATATATATATAGGGTTGACAACATATATATATGTTTATATTGTCAACCCTAACGATTTTCCAAAGCAATGTTCGCAGTTCAACAAACTGCGCGCGAGTCGATCATTGAACCTCAACTAACCGTTATTCTATCTCGCTCCCACCCGTTGCATCCTTTAAAGCTATCTCTTTCTGAAATATCACCTAGCCTCTACTATTATTTCCATTGAAGGTTTAGTACTTAGGTAAATATATAGATCTATTTACCGGCTGGCAATGTATATGTACAGAGTTCACTATATTAAAGCAACATGCGCGGACGCAACCAAGCATTCCTAGCAGCTTTCTTGGTTTCCATATTTTAGTCTCTGATGTAAAGAAGAGACGCAAAAACCTTTATATTGTTTCTATAGGAAAGGAACTGATCAATATTGATGGGATAAAAAAGAGTTTGTATGAAAAAGGAGTTTTTATATAAATAGCGGTAAATTTATTGAAACACTTCATCGGAGGGATCTGTGCTTGTATTTAACAAGTCATTTAAAACCGGTTTAGATGTTTACTTATGTTTTTGTTTTGGTGCGAAATTTTAACAAAACTTTGATCGGATTTAAGAGAAAATGTACCCAAAAATCAAGCTCTTATTTTATATAATATTGCATATTTATTTTAGTTTTGAAATTATTTAAAATCCACATAGCTTTCATGCCAATTCAACTTATAAAACGGTACAGTTTTTACCCCTAACTTAGTATCGCCTAAATAACTGATATAAATATAATTTTATATTACTATAAAG